CGTGTCACGCCGCCCCCAGCACGACCGCCTCCTCCACCCGATCGCGTCACACTCAAGGTCCAAAGATGGTGTGCGCACTTGTTTGTGGTCATTTACCATTATAATGAACGGGAGGCGCAGTTTCTACCAAAACGCTCGCTGCAGAAAAACTCCATGTCCTATTTGAAAAAAGTCTGGACCATGAGTGAGGGCACAAACACAGCTAAGATATATCCAAATGGCAAGTTGCTCTTCCTTTCGCTTTTGCCGAGAGAGCAGTGCGTTTGAGCCATTGAATGATGAACAGGAAAAACTTGACTTTATTCTCCTGCCATGGGGGGGCGCTCTTTTAACGAGAAAAAACTCCTTCACAAATGTGTTGATGGCTGGACATTGCATCATCCTAGAAAACATGGAGGCCAGTGAGGACAAAAATAAAAAGTTATAAGACTTTTAAATATGTGGATTTTAGGGTCATCTTTGGCGCCCCCTAGAACCTAAACCGTGGGGTGCAGCGTCATGATTTGAATAACTTTTAATGGCCATGGGGTGTAGATTGGCCTGAGAAAATGTGGTGCCGGTGGAACGAAAGCCTTCGGAGGAGTTAGCGAAATTCCAATGTGTGCGAATCTGCAAAAAATGCGAAATAACCCTTTAACCGTACATTTTACAGATACGTGGCGATTGACTTTTTCGAAGATCTTATTGAAAGACACGTGTATGTAAAATTTTGTGTCAATACGACAAAACATACAGGCGTAGCACTCAACAATGTGTATTTTCACCTTAGTGGACAAGAAAAAATGGACTTTTTTCTCCTGCCATGGGGGGCGCTCTTTTGGCGAGTAAAAATTCCTTCACAAATGTGTTGATGGCTGGACATTGCATCATCCTAGAAAACTTGGAGGCCAGTGGGGACAAAAATAAAAAGTTATAAGACTTTTAAATATGTGGATTTTACGGTTATCTTTGGCGCCCCCTAGAACGTAAACCGTGGGGTGCAGCGTCATGATTTGAATAACTTTTAATGGCCATGGGGTGTAGATTGGCCTGAGAAAATGTGGTGCCGGTGGAACGAAAGCCTTCGGAGGAGTTAGCGAAATTCCAATGTGTGCGGATCGGCAAAAAATGCGGAATAACCCTTTAACCGTACATTTGACAGATACGTGCGCATTGACTTTTTTGTAGATCTTATTGAGATACATGTGTGTCTCAATTTTGGTGTCATTTTGCCAAAGCGTACAGGTGTTACACTCAACAATGTGTATTTTCACCTTAGGGGACAAGAAAAAATGGACTTTTTTCTCCTGCCATGGGGGGGCGCTCTTTTGGGGAGTAAAAATTCCTTCACAAATGTGTTGATGGCTGGACATTGCATCATCCTAGAAAACTTGGAGGCCAGTGAGGGCAAAAATAAAAAGTTATAAGACTTTTAAATATGTGGATCTTAGGGTTATCTTTGGCGCCCCCTAGAACCTAAACCGTGGGGTGCAGCGTCATGATTTGAATAACTTTTAATGGCCATGGGGTGTAGATTGGCCTGAGCAAATGTGGTGCCGGTGGAACGAAAGCCTTCGGAGGAGTTAGCGAAATTCCAATGTGTGCGGATCGGCAAAAAATGCGAAATAACCCTTTAACCGTACATTTGACAGATACGCCCGCACTGACTTTTCTGTAGATCTTATTGAGTTACATGTGTGTGTCAATTTTTGTGTCATTTTGACAAAGCGTACAGGCGTGACAGTGAATAGTGTGAATTTTCACCTTAGGGGGCGCTATGGAGCCATTTTGCATTTTCTTGTTTGGGCGACTTCGGAATATCAAATTTTTCACCAGGCCCGGTCGTCCTGCCAAATTTCATGAGTTTTCGCCAGTGGGAAGTGGGCCATTTTCCAGTTCAAAGGGGAGGAAAAATAATAACTAGGACCCCGTTGGGGCACTGGCGGGCCCGAGCTGTGTCGCGTCCCCCCCCCAACGCGCTGCCTCCCCGTCCCATTTGTGTCCTCTGGCCATCGCCCTCTTTGGTAACGCCCATCACTGCAAAGACCCTTTTCCTTCATCGGCGTTTGCTGTTCTTCCTGCCAGTGCGTGTTGCTTTCACTTACACTTGCCACAGCCAGCCTCGTGAGTGCCTAGCCTATTGGATATCACTGTCACCTACACAGGACAGTCATTACCTTTCTATTAATACTTTGTTTTTTAATTTCACAAATAATTTCCAAATTGTATAAACGACTGGAAAAAACTTGAGCCCCTGCCCCTGTATAATCATGTGCACGTCTCTGTTCTAGCTCTAAGGTAAATCTTCACTGCTCATGTTCTCCTCAGAAGCAGTCACCTCACTCCCCTCAGGTTACTGTACACATGCACCAACTGCCTGCTTCAGGTTTGGATGGAGCTTCATGGTTGTCTTTTGGAGAAATGACCAGTCAAGTTGTGTTTGAAATTTGATTTTTTTCAGGGGCAAAAGGAGCCTCTGCATTCTTGTCAAATATGTAAATAGCATGTTTTTGCAGGTGCTAAAAACCAGACTCTGAGTGTGTGTGTGTGTGTGTGTGTGTGTGCGTGTGTGTGTGTCTGTGTGTGCGTTCAAGTCACATGACATATTTAACCGGATGTAGCTGCAAGACGGAGCCTCGTTGACTCTCCGTTTCAATTTATCTCAAAAGTGAGGACCTCAACCTATATACCAGTTTTTAAATTGTGTTGATAGGCCAAATAAAACCAGAGTTATGATAAATTATGTCCGCGATACTTTTTTTCTGCTTATTTTGATCACGTTCGGCGCTCGACCGCGCTGTATGAGACAGGAAAACATAGCATGCAGACATTAGCGACAGGTCTTACAGGCGGAAAAGGCTTGCCAAAAGAAAAAAAAACACACCACAACATCTCTCCTATTGGTGGAAAACTTCACCACAACAACCAATCCAAAATTATATGGTGACTGATTGACAAGGGGCGGGCGCTTACGTTCTTCCTGCAACATGAGAAGGGAGGGAGGGACTCTCAGCAGGGATGCAGTCTGGGACACGTAGTTGCAAACCTAGCGACTTTGTTGTTAGATTCAATGACTTTTCAGACCCCCTAACGACTTTTTTAGAAAGAAAGGGACTTTTATCGACTTCTTCTGGAGTTTAGAGACTCTGACATGAAGCAGGCTTTCCTTACTGAGGAGTTAGCAACGCTGCTAAGGGTGCAGAGCCACACATGTGCTCAGAGCTCTGCATGGGAGACTGAAGCTGACAGAGCTGCAGCAGTTAGCAGGTTTCACCCTCAGAGACCACCAGGGGTTCATGTTGAGGCATTTTAATTTTTTTTTTTTTTGTGCCATAGACACTGTCAGCACAATCTGCAGTTACACTAACAAAAATGCTGCAAAAAACAAAGAATTATGGAAAAATTACACATGGACTGACATAGAGGAGGATCTACACAAGTTTTTTACATCATGTTTTACATCATGCATCATTTACATCATGTTTTTTTTGTAGTGGCATAAATAAAAAGTGACATTTGTGAGACTATACAGTGTTTTGTAAATAATTTTACAAAGAACGCCTGGGCCATTGCCTGCATTTTGATGTAAATAGAGGTAAATCACTATGTTCTTTGTTAAAAATTTGCATATGTTTTGAAGTTTACAATTTTTATTTGAAGTTTAAGTTTTAAAAACAGTTCATCACACATATTTTTGGTTTTCACAGTAAAAATGTTACTTTTTTCCACTCGGATTTTATGTTTTGTGTGTGAATTTGGGTCCATTGTGTAAATTCAGTATGTCAACATGATAAAATAACTGTAAATTCGCACAGGTGAGGTTGTGCTGAAAAAAATGATACCAGGCAAGGCACGTGATTGTCAAATTTTGTGTCAATATGACAAAGCGTATAGGCGTGAATCTCAACAATATGTATTTTCACCTTAGGGGACAAGAAAAAATGGACTTTTTTCTGCTGCCATGGGGGGGCGCTCTTTTGGGGAGTAAAAATTCCTTCACAAATGTGTTGATGGCTGGACATTGCATCATCCTAGAAAACTTGGAGGCCAGTGAGGACAAAAATAAAAAGTTATAAGACTTTTAAATATGTGGATTTTAGGGTTATCTTTGGCGCCCCCTAGAACCTAAACCGTGGGGTGCAGCGTCATGATTTGAATAACTTTTAATGGCCATGGGGTGTAGATTGGCCTGAGCAAATGTGGTGCCGGTGGAACGAAAGCCTTAGGAGGAGTTAGCCACATTCCAATGTGTGCGGATCGGCAAAAAATGCGGAATAACCCTTTAACCGTACATTTGACAGATACGCGCGCATTGACTTTTTCGTAGATCTTATTGAGTTACATGTGTGTGTCAATTTTTGTGTCATTTTGACAAAGCGTATAGGCGTGACACTCAATAATGTGTATTTTCACCTTAGGGGACAAGAAAAAATGGACTTTTTTCTCCTGCCATGGGGGGGCGCTCTTTTGGGGAGTAAAAATTCCTTCACAAATGTGTTGATGGCTGGACATTGCATCATCCTAGAAAACTTGGAGGCCAGTGAGGGCAAAAATAAAAAGTTATAAGACTTTTAAATATGTGGATTTTAGTGTTATCTTTGGCGCCCCCTAGAACCTAAACCTTGGGGTGCAGCGTCATGATTTTGATAACTTTTAATGGCCACGGGGTGTAGATTGGCCTGAGCAAATGTGGTGCCGGTGGAACGAAAGCCTTCGGAGGAGTTAGCGAAATTCCAATGTGTGCGGATCGGAAAAAAATGCGAAATAACCCTTTAACCGTAATTTTGACAGATACGGCCGCACTGACTTTTTTGTAGATCTTATTGAGATACATATGTGTGTCAATTTTTGTGTCAATATGACAAAGCGTACAGGCGTGACAGTCAATAGTGTGAATTTCCACCTTAGGGGGCGCTATGGAGCCATTTTGCATTTTATTGTTTGGGCGACTTCAGAATATCGAATTTTTCACCAGGCCCGGTCGTCCTGCCAAATTTCATGAGTTTTCGCCAGTGGGAAGTGGGCCATTTTCCAGTTCAAAGGGGAGGAAAAAGAAGAAAGAAAGAAAGAAAGAAAGAAAGAAAGAAACAAAGAAAAACCACTTGGGGAATAATAGGGCCTACGCCCGGCTGCTCTGCAGCTGGCTCGGGCCCTAATAACACTAGGGCCCCGTTGGGGCACTGGCGGGCCCGAGCCGTGTCGCGCCGCCCCCCCCCCCCCCCCCAACGCGCTGCCTCCCCGTCCCATTCGTGTCCTCTGGCCATCGCCCTCTCTGGTAACGCCCATCACTGCAAAGACCCTTTTCCTTCATCGGCGTTTGCTGTTCTTCCTGCCAGTGCGTGTTGCTTTCACTTACACTTGCCACAGCCAGCCTCGTGAGTGCCTAGCCTATTGGATATCACTGTCATCTACACAGGACAGTCATTACCTTTCTATTAATACTTTGTTTTTTAATTTCACATTAATTTCCTTATTGTATAAATGACTGGAAAAAACTTGAGCCCCTGCCCCTGTATAATCATGTGCACGTCCCTGTTCTAGCTCCAAGGTGAATCTTCACTGCTCATGTTCTCCTCAGAAGCAAGCACCTCACTCCCCTCAGGTTACTGTACACATGCACCAACTGCCTGCTTCAGGTTTGGATGGAGCTTCATGGTTGTCTTTTGGAGAAATGAGCAGTCAAGTTGTGTTTGAAATTTGATTTTTTTCAGGGGCAAAAGGAGCCTCTGCATTCTTGTCAAATATGTAAATAGCATGTTTTTGCAGGTGCTAAAAAACAGACTCTGAGTGTGTCTGTGTCTGTGTGTGTGTGTGTGTGTGTGTGTGTGTGTGTGTGTGTGTGTGTGTGTGTGTCTGTGTGTGTGTCTGTGTGTGTGTATATATCTTGCAGTACTCTGAGAAGAATAATAAGCATATTTCTGCGGTGAATTTTGAAGATTCATCTGAGAGTTAGGAGGGCTGATCATTCCCTTACCCTTTAGATGTCTGTCTATGTCTGTTTTTGTGTGATAATGAAAGAATCCCAACTCAAAAAGGCTCTGTTGATGTTTTTTTTTTGTTGTTCATTCATATTCAAACCACTATTTTATATCACTGCTAATACGCCAAGACCATTTTATGGTATTTAGCTTTATTATTTCTATACATTTTGCAAGGAAAGAAACCAAGGCCTTCACTAAAATTTCCATAAACTTTAGGAAAGGACCTCTGGTTGTTTAAGGGGGTCATTACTGCAAAAAAATATTCTTCCTATATTTTGAAGGTCAAACCTTAGATCCATTAGGTTTAAATAGAAAAAGCATTAAAATATGTTAGGATTATAGCATATGACAAATGTGTGCCTCTCAGTGGCATAACTACTTTGTCTGCTGGCTCTGCAGTCGATTGACGCTCCCCAGCGTTCAAGTCACATGACATATTTAACCGGATGTAGCTGCAAGACGGAGCCTCGTTCACCCTCCGTTTCAACTTATCTCAAAAGTGAGGACCTCAAACTATATACCAGTTTTTCAATTGTGTTGATAGGCCAAATAAAACCAGAGTTATGATAAATTATGTCCGCGATACTTTTTTTCTGCTTATTTTGATCACGTTCGGCGCTCGATCACGCTGTATGAGACAGGAAAACATAGCATGCAGACATTAGCGACAGCTCTTACAGGCGGAAAAGGCATGCCAAAAGAAAAAAAAAACACACCACAACATCTCTCCTATTGGTGGAAAACTTCACCACAACAACCAATCCAAAATTATATGGTGACTGATTGACAAGGGGGGCGCTTACGTTCTTCCTGCAATATGAGAAGGGAGGGAGGAACTCTCAGCAGGGATGCAGTCTGGGAAACGTAGTTGCAAACCTAGCGACTTTGTTGTTAGATTCAATGACTTTTCAGACCCCCTAACGACTTTTTTTAGAAAGAAAGGGAATTTTATCGACTTCCTCTGGAGTTTAGAGACTCTGACATGAAGCAGGCTTTCCTTACTGAGGAGTTAGCAACGCTGCTAAGGGTGCAGAGCCACACATGCGCTCAGAGCTCTGCATGGGAGACTAGAGCTGAGAGAGCTGCAGCAGTTAGCAGGTTTCACCCTCAGAGACCACCAGGAGTTCATGTTGAGGCATTTTCAGTTTTTTTTTTTTTGCCATAGACACTGTCAGCACAATCTGCAGTTACACTAACAAAAATGCTGCAAAAAACAAAGAATTATGGAAAAATTACACATGGACTGACATAGAGGAGGATCTACACAAGTTTTTTACATCATGTTTTACATCATGCATCATTTACATCATGTTTTTTTGTAGTGGCATAAATAAAAAGTGACATTTGTGAGACTATACAGTGTTTTGTAAATAATTTTACAAAGAACGCCTGGGCCATTGCCTGCATTTTGATGTAAATAGAGGTAAATTACTATGTTCTTTGTTAAAAATTTGCATATGTTTTGAAGTTTACAATTTTTATTTGAAGTTTAAGTTTTAAAAACAGTTCATCACACATATTTGTGGTTTAATTTCACATTAATTTCCATATTGTATAAATGACTGGAAAAAACTTGAGCCCCTGCCCCTGTATAATCATGTGCACGTCCCTGTTCTAGCTCCAAGGTGAATCTTCACTGCTCATGTTCTCCTCAGAAGTAGTCACCTCACTCTCCTCAGGTTACTGTACACATGCACCAACTATCTGCTTCAGGTTTGGATGGAGCTTCATGGTTGTCTTTTGGAGAAATGAACAGTCAAGTTGTGTTTGAAATTTGATTTTTTTCAGGGGCAAAAGGAAGCCTCTGCATTCTTGTCAAATATGTAAACAGCATGTTTTTGCAGGTGCTAAAAAACAGACTCTGAGTGTGTGTGTGTGTGTGTGTGTGTGTGTGTGTGTGTGTGTGTGTGTGTGTGTGTGTGTGTGTGTGTGTGTGTGTTGGCGTGTGTGTATATGTGTGTGTGTCCGGCAGTACTCTGTACTCCTGCAGTGGCCAAAAAGACTTTTAAGAATGTGGATTTTTGGGTCATCTTTGGCGCCCCCTAGAACTGCAGTACTCTGTACTCCTGCAGTGGCCAAAATGACTTTTAAGAATGTGGATTTTTGGGTTATCTTTGGCGCCCCCTAGAACGTAAACCGTGGGGTGCAGCGTCATGATTTTTACAACTTTGAATGGCCATGGGGTGTAGATTGCCCTGAGCAAATTTGGTATCGGTGGGACGAAAGCCTTAGGAGGAGATAGCCACATTCCAATGTGTGCGAATCGGCAAAAAATGCGAAATAGCCCTTTAACCATACATTTGACAGATACGTGCCTATTGACTTTTTTGTAGATCTTATTGAGATACACGTGATTGTCAAATTGTGTGTCAATATGACAAAGTGTATAGGCGTGACACTCAACAATGTGTATTTTTACCTTAGGAGACAAGAAAAAATTGACTTTTTTCTCCTGCCATGGGGGGGCGCTCTTTTGGGGAGTAAAAATTCCTTCACAAATGTGTTGATGGCTGGACATTGCATCATCCTAGAAAACTTGGAGGCCAGTGAGGACAAAAATAAAAAGTTATAAGACTTTTAAGAATGTGGATTTTTGTGTTATCTTTGGCGCCCCCTAGAAAGTAAACCGTGGGGTGCAGCATCATGATTTGTACAACTTTTAATGGCCATGGGGTGTAGATTGGCCTGAGCAAATTTGGTGCCGGTGGAACGAAAGCCTTCGGAGGAGTTAGCGAAATTCCAATGTGTGCGGATCAGCAAAAAAAGCGAAATAGCCCTTTAACCGTACATTTGGCAGATACGCCCGCACTGACTTTTTCGTAGATCTTATTGAGATACATATGTGTGTCAAATTTTGTGTCATTTTGACAAAGCGTACAGGCATCAGGTGAGTTTTCACCATAGGGGGCGCTATGGAGCCATTTTTCATTTTTTTGTTTGGACGACTTCAGAATATCAAATTTTTCACCAGGCCCGGTCGTCCTGCCAAATTTCCTGAGTTTTCGCCAGTGGGAAGTGGGCCATTTTCCAGTTTAAAGCGGAGGAAAAATAACGAAAGAAGAATCCATCAGGAACAAGAGGGCTCTCGCAGCTGCTTAGCAGCTACGCTCGGGCCCTAAGAAAGAAAGAACTAGGGCCCCGGTGGGGCACTGTCGGGCCCGAGCCGCGTTGCGCCGCCCCCAGCGCGACCGCCTCCCCCTCCCGATCGCGTCACACTCAAGGTCAAAAGATGGTGTGCGCACTTGTCTGTGGTCATTTCCCATTATAATGAATGGGAGGCGCAGTTTCTACCAAAACACTCGCTGCAGACAAACTACATGTCCTATTTGAAAAAAGTCTGGACCATGAGTGAGGGCACAAACACAGCTAGGATATATCCAAACGGCAAGTTGCTCCTTGTTACGGTGTTGCCGGGAGAGTGATGCGATTGAGCCATTGAGTGATGGGCAGGAAAAACTTGACTGTTTCTCCTGCCATGGGGGTTGGGGGTTGGGGGTTGGGGGATGGGGGGGGGGGATGTGGATTCTTTTAAGAATGTGGATATTTGGGTCATCTTTGGCGCCCCCTAGAACGTAAACCGTGGGGTGCAGCGTCATGATTTTTACAACTTTGAATGGCCATGGGGTGTAGATTGGCCTGAGCAAATTTGGTGTCAGTGGGACGAAAGCCTTAGGAGGAGTTAGCCACATTCCAATGTGTGCGAATCGGCAAAAAATGCAAAATAGCCCTTTAACCGTACATTTTACAGATACGCGCGCATTGACTTTTTCGTAGATCTTATTGAGATACATGTGATTGTCAAATTTTGTGTCAATATGACAAAGCGTACAGGTATGACAGTCAACAATGTGTTTTTTCACCTTATGGGACAAGAAAAAATGGACTTTTTTCTCCTGCCATGGGGGGGCGCTCTTTTGGGGAGTAAAAATTCCTTCACAAATGTGTTGATGGCTGGACATTGCATCATCCTAGAAAACTTGGAGGCCAGTGAGGACAAAAATAAAAAGTTATAAGACTTTGAAATATGTGGATTTTAGGGTTATCTTTGGCGCCCCCTAGAACCTAAACCGTGGGGTGCAGCGTCATGATTTGAATAACTTTTAATGGCCATGGGGTGTAGATTGGCCTGAGCAAATGTGGTGCCGGTGGAACGCCAGCCTTAGGAGGAGTTAGTGAAATTCCAATGTGTGCGGATCAGCAAAAAATGCGGAATAACCCTTTAACCGTACATTTGACAGATACGCGTGCATTGACTTTTTCGTAGATCTTATTGAGATACATGTGTGTGTCAAATTTTGTGTCAATATGACAAAGCGTACAGGCGTGACACTCAACAATGTGTATTTTCACCTTAGGGGACAAGAAAAAATTGACTTTTTTCTCCTGCCATGGGGGGGCGCTCTTTTGGGGATTAAAAATTCCTTCACAAATGTGTTGATGGCTGGACATTGCATCATCCTAGAAAACTTGGAGGCCAGTGAGGTCAAAAATAAAAAGTTATAAGACTTTTAAATATGTGGATTTTAGGGTTATCTTTGGCGCCCCCTAGAACCTAAACCGTGGGGTGCAGCGTCATGATTTGAATAACTTTTAATGGCCATGGGGTGTAGATTGGCCTGAGCAAATGTGGTGCCGGTGGAACGAAAGCCTTCGGAGGAGTTAGCGAAATTCCAATGTGTGCGGATCGGCAAAAAATGCGGAATAACCCTTTAACCGTACATTTGACAGATACGCCCGCACTGACTTTTTTGTAGATCTTATTGAGATACATGTGATTGTCAAATTTTGTGTCAATATGAAAAAACGTACAGGTATGACAGTCAACAATGTGTTTTTTCACCTTATGGGACAAGAAAAAATGGACTTTTTTCTCCTGCCATGGGGGGGCGCTCTTTTGGGGAGTAAAAATTCCTTCACAAATGTGTTGATGGCTGGACATTGCATCATCCTAGAAAACTTGGAGGCCAGTGAGGACAAAAATAAAAAGTTATAAGACTTTGAAATATGTGGATTTTAGGGTTATCTTTGGCGCCCCCTAGAACCTAAACCGTGGGGTGCAGCGTCATGATTTGAATAACTTTTAATGGCCATGGGGTGTAGATTGGCCTGAGCAAATGTGGTGCCGGTGGAACGCCAGCCTTAGGAGGAGTTAGCGAAATTCCAATGTGTGCGGATCAGCAAAAAATGCGGAATAACCCTTTAACCGTACATTTGACAGATACGCGCGCATTGACTTTTTCGTAGATCTTATTGAGATACATGTGTGTGTCAAATTTTGTGTCAATATGACAAAGCGTACAGGCGTGACACTCAACAATGTGTATTTTCACCTTAGGGGACAAGAAAAAATGGACTTTTTTCTCCTGCCATGGGGGGGCGCTCTTTTGGGGATTAAAAATTCCTTCACAAATGTGTTGATGGCTGGACATTGCATCATCCTAGAAAACTTGGAGGCCAGTGAGGTCAAAAATAAAAAGTTATAAGACTTTTAAATATGTGGATTTTAGGGTTATCTTTGGCGCCCCCTAGAACCTAAACCGTGGGGTGCAGCGTCATGATTTGAATAACTTTTAATGGCCATGGGGTGTAGATTGGCCTGAGCAAATGTGGTGCCGGTGGAACGAAAGCCTTCGGAGGAGTTAGCGAAATTCCAATGTGTGCGGATCGGCAAAAAATGCGGAATAACCCTTTAACCGTACATTTGACAGATACGCCCGCACTGACTTTTTTGTAGATCTTATTGAGATACATGTGTGTGTCAATTTTTGTGTCAATATGACAAAGCGTACAGGCGTGACAGTCAATAGTGTGAATTTTCACCTTAGGGGGCGCTATGGAGCCATTTTGCATTTTCTTGTTTGGGCGACTTCGGAATATCAAATTTTTCACCAGGCCCGGTCATCCTGCCAAATTTCATGAGTTTTCGCCAGTGGGAAGTGGGCCATTTTCCAGTTCAAAGGGGAGGAAAAAGAAGAAAGAAAGAAACAAAGAAAAACCACTTGGGGAATAATAGGGCTCTCGCAGCTGCTTAGCAGCTACGCTCGGGCCCTAACTAGGGCCCCGTTGGGGCACTGGCGGGCCCGAGCCGTGTCACGCCGCCCCCAGCGCGACCGCCTCCCCCACCCGATCGCGTCACACTCAAGGTCCAAAGATGGTGTGCGCACTTGTTTGTGGTCAATTACCATTATAATGAACGGGAGGCGCAGTTTCTACCAAAGCGCTCGCTGCAGAAAAACTCCATGTCCTATTTGAAAAAAGTCTGGACCATGAGTGAGGGCACAAACACAGCTAAGATATATCCAAATGGCAAGTTGCTCCTCCTTTCGCTTTTGCCGAGAGAGCAGTGCGTTTGAGCCATTGAATGATGAACAGGAAAAACTTGACTTTATTCTCCTGCCATGGGGGGGGCGCTCTTTTAACGAGAAAAAACTCCTTCACAAATGTGTTGATGGCTGGACATTGCATCATCCTAGAAAACATGGAGGCCAGTGAGGACAAAAATAAAAAGTTATAAGACTTTTAAATATGTGGATTTTAGGGTTATCTTTGGCGCCCCCTAGAACCTAAACCGTGGGGTGCAGCGTCATGATTTGAATAACTTTTAATGGCCATGGGGTGTAGATTGGCCTGAGCAAATGTGGTGCCGGTGGAACGAAAGCCTTCGGAGGAGTTAGCGAAATTCCAATGTGTGCGAATCTGCAAAAAATGCGAAATAACCCTTTAACCGTACATTTTACAGATACGTGGCCATTGACTTTTTCGAAGATCTTATTGAAATACACGTGTATGTAAAATTTTGTGTCAATACGACAAAACATACAGGCGTGACACTCAACAATGTGTATTTTCACCTTAGTGGACAAGAAAAAATGGACTTTTTTCTCCTGCCATGGGGGGGCGCTCTTTTGGCGAGTAAAAATTCCTTCACAAATGTGTTGATGGCTGGACATTGCATCATCCTAGAAAACTTGGAGGCCAGTGAGGGCAAAAATAAAAAGTTATAAGACTTTTAAATATGTGGATCTTAGGGTTATCTTTGGCGCCCCCTAGAACCTAAACCGTGGGGTGCAGCGTCATGATTTGAATAACTTTTAATGGCCATGGGGTGTAGATTGGCCTGAGCAAATGTGGTGCCGGTGGAACGAAAGCCTTCGGAGGAGTTAGCGAAATTCCAATGTGTGCAGATCGGCAAAAAATGCGAAATAACCCTTTAACCGTACATTTGACAGATACGCCCGCACTGACTTTTTTGTAGATCTTATTGAGATACATGTGTGTGTCAATTTTTGTGTCATTTTGACAAAGCGTACAGGCGTGACAGTGAATAGTGTGAATTTTCACCTTAGGGGGCGCTATGGAGCCATTTTGCATTTTCTTGTTTGGGCGACTTCGGAATATCAAATTTTTCACCAGGCCCGGTCGTCCTGCCAAATTTCATGAGTTTTCGCCAGTGGGAAGTGGGCCATTTTCCAGTTCAAAGGGGAGGAAAAATAACTAGGACCCCGTTGGGGCACTGGCGGGCCCGAGCTCCCCCCCCCCCAACGCGACCGCCTCCCCGTCCCATTTGTGTCCTCTGGCCATCGCCCTCTCTGGTAACGCCCATCACTGCAAAGACTGCTGTTCTGCTGTTCTTCCTGCCAGTGCGTGTTGCTTTCACTTACACTTGCCACAGCCAGCCTCGTGAGTGCCTAGCCTATTCGATATCACTGTCACCTACACAGGACAGTCATTACCTTTCTATTAATACTTTGTGTTTTAATTTCACATTAATTTCCATATTGTATAAACGACTGGAAAAAACTTGAGCCCCTGCCCCTGTATAATCATGTGCATGTCTCTGTTCTAGCTCCAAGGTGAATCTTCACTGCTCATGTTCTCCTCAGAAGCACTCACCTCACTCCCCTCAGGTTACTGTACACATGCACCAACTGCCTGCTTCAGGTTTGGATGGAGCTTCATGGTTGTCTTTTGGAGAAATGACCAGTCAAGTTGTGTTTGAAATTTGATTTTTTTTTCAGGGGCAAAAGGAGCCTCTGCATTCTTGTCAAATATGTAAATAGCATGTTTTTGCAGGTGCTAAAAACCAGACTCTGAGTGTGTGTGTGTGTGTGTGTGTGTGTGTGTGTGTGCGTGTGTGTGTGTCTGTGTGTGCGTTCAAGTCACATGACATATTTAACCGGATGTAGCTGCAAGACGGAGCCTCGTTGACTCTCCGTTTCAACTTATCTCAAAAGTGAGGACCTCAACCTATATACCAGTTTTTGAATTGTGTTGATAGGCCAAATAAAACCAGAGTTATGATAAATTATGTCCGCGATACTTTTTTTCTGCTTATTTTGATCACGTTCGGCGCTCGATCGCGCTGTATGAGACAGGAAAACATAGCATGCAGACATTAGCGACAGGTCTTACAGGCGGAAAAGGCTTGCCAAAAGAAAAAAAAAACACACCACAACATCTCTCCTATTGGTGGAAAACTTCACCACAACAACCAATCCAAAATTATATGGTGACTGATTGACAAGGGGAGGGCGCTTACGTTCTTCCTGCAACATGAGAAGGGAGGGAGGGACTCTCAGCAGGGATGCAGTCTGGGACACGTAGTTGCAAACCTAGCGACTTTGTTGTTAGATTCAATGACTTTTCAGACCCCCTAACGACTTTTTTTTAGAAAGAAAGGGACTTTTATCGACTTCTTCTGGAGTTTAGAGACTCTGACATGAAGCAGGCTTTCCTTACTGAGGAGTTAGCAACGCTGCTAAGGGTGCAGAGCCACACATGCGCTCAGAGCTCTGCATGGGAGACTGAAGCTGACAGAGCTGCAGCAGTTAGCAGGTTTCACCCTCAGAGACCACCAGGGGTTCATGTTGAGGCATTTTAATTTTTTTTTTTTTTTGTGCCATAGACACTGTCAGCACAATCTGCAGTTACACTAACAAAAATGCTGCAAAAAACAAAGAATTATGGAAAAATTACACATGGACTGACATAGAGGAGGATCTACACAAGTTTTTTACATCATGTTTTACATCATGCATCATTTACATCATGTTTTTTTGTAGTGGCATAAATAAAAAGTGACATTTGTGAGACTATACAGTGTTTTGTAAATAATTTTACAAAGAACGCCTGGGCCATTGCCTGCATTTTGATGTAAATAGAGGTAAATCACTATGTTCTTTGTTAAAAATTTGCATATGTTTTGAAGTTTACAATTTTTATTTGAAGTTTAAGTTTTAAAAACAGTTCATCACACATATTTGTGGTTTTCACAGTAAAAATGTTACTTTTTTCCACTCTGATTTTATGTTTTGTGTGTGAATTTGGGTCCATTGTGTAAATTCAGTATGTCAACATGATAAAATAACTGTAAATTCGCACAGGTGAGGTTGTGCTGAAAAAAAATGATACCAGGCAAGGCACGTGATTGTCAAATTTTGTGTCATTATGACAAAGCATATAGGCGTGAATCTCAACAATATGTATTTTCACCTTAGGGGACAAGAAAAAATGGACTTTTTTCTCCTGCCATGGGGGGCGCTCTTTTGGGGAGTAAAAATTCCTTCACAAATGTGTTGATGGCTGGACATTGCATCATCCTAGAAAACTTGGAGGCCAGTGAGGACAAAAATAAAAAGTTATAAGACTTTTAAATATGTGGATTTTAGGGTTGTCTTTGGCGCCCCCTAGAACCTAAACCGTGGGGTGCAGCGTCATGATTTGAATAACTTTTAATGGCCATGGGGTGTAGATTGGCCTGAGCAAATGTGGTGCCGGTGGAACGAAAGCCTTAGGAGGAGTTAGCCACATTCCAATGTGTGCGGATCGGCAAAAAATGCGGAATAACCCTTTAACCGTACATTTGACAGATACGCGCGCATTGACTTTTTCGTAGATCTTATTGAGTTACATGTGTGTGTCAATTTTTGTGTCATTTTGACAAAGCGTATAGGCGTGACACTCAACAATGTGTATTTTCACCTTAGGGGACAAGAAAAAATGGACTTTTTTCTCCTGCCATGGGGGGGCGCTCTTTTGGGGAGTAAAAATTCCTTCACAAATGTGTTGATGGCTGGACATTGCATCATCCTAGAAAACTTGGAGGCCAGTGAGGACAAAAATAAAAAGTTATAAGACTTTTAAATATGTGGATTTTAGGGTTATCTTTGGCGCCCCCTAGAACCTAAACCTTGGGGTGCAGCGTCATGATTTTGATAACTTTTAATGGACACGGGGTGAAGATTGGCCTGAGCAAATGTGGTGCCGGTGGAACGAAAGCCTTCGGAGGAGTTAGCGAAATTCCAATGTGTGCGGATCGGCAAAAAATGCGAAATAACCCTTTAACCGTACATTTGACAGATACGCCCGCACTGACTTTTTTGTAGATCTTATTGAGATACATGTGTGTGTCAATTTTTGTGTCATTTTGACAAAGCGTACACGCGTGACAGTCAATAGTGTGAATTTTCACCTTAGGGGACAAGAAAAAATGGACTTTTTTCTCCTGCCATGGGGGGGCGCTCTTTTGGGGAGTAAAAATTCCTTCACAAATGTGTTGATGGCTGGACATTGCATCATCCTAGAAAACTTGGAGGCCAGTGAGGACAAAAATAAAAAGTTATAAGACTTTTAAATATGTGGATTTTAGGGTTATCTTTGGCGCCCCCTAGAACCTAAACCTTGGGGTGCAGCGTCATGATTTTGATAACTTTTAATGGCCACGGGGTGTAGATTGGCCTGAGCAAATGTGGTGCCGGTGGAACGAAAGCCTTCGGAGGAGTTAGCGAAATTCCAATGTGTGCGGATCGGCAAAAAATGCGAAATAACCCTTTAACCGTACATTTGACAGATACGCCCGCACTGACTTTTTTGTAGATCTTATTGAGATACATGTGTGTGTCAATTTTTGTGTCATTTTGACAAAGCGTACACGCGTGACAGTCAATAGTGTGAATTTTCACCTTAGGGGGCGCTATGGAGCCATTTTGCATTTTCTTGTTTTGGCGACTTCAGAATATCAAATTTTTCACCAGGCCCGGTCGTCCTGCCAAATTTCCTGAGTTTTCGCCAGTGGGAAGTGGGCCATTTTCCAGTTCAAAGGGGAGGAAAAAGAAGAAAGAAAGAAACAAAGAAAAACCCCTACAGGAATAACAGGGCCTACGCCCGGCTGCTCTGCAGCTGGCTCGGGCCCTAACTAGGACCCCGTTGGGGCACTGGCGGGCCCGAGCCGTGTCGCGTCCCCCCCCCCCCCCCACCCCCCCACCCCCCAACATGCTGCCTCCCCGTCCCATTTGTGTCCTCTGGCCATCGCCCTCTCTGGTAACGCCCATCACTGCAAAGACCCTTTTCCTTCATCGGCGTTTGCTGTTCTTCCTGCCAGTGCGTGTTGCTTTCACTTACACTTGCCACAGCCAGCCTCGTGAGTGCCTAGCCTATTGGATATCACTGTCACCTACACAGGACAGTCATTACCTTTCTATTAATACTTTGTGTTTTAATTTCACATTAATTTCCATATTGTATAAACGACTGGAAAAAACTTGAGCCCCTGCCCCTGTATAATCATGTGCATGTCTCTGTTCTAGCTCCAAGGTGAATCTTCACTGCTCATGTTCTCCTCAGAAGCACTCACCTCACTCCCCTCAGGTTACTGTACACATGCACCAACTGCCTGCTTCAGGTTTGGATGGAGCTTCATGGTTGTCTTTTGGAGAAATGACCAGTCAAGTTGTGTTTGAAATTTGATTTTTTTCAGGGGCAAAAGGAGCCTCTGCATTCTTGTCAAATATGTAAATAGCATGTTTTTGCAGGTGCTAAAAACCAGACTCTGAGTGTGTGTGTGTGTGTGTGTGTGTGTGTGTGTGCGTGTGTGTGTGTCTGTGTGTGCGTTCAAGTCACATGACATATTTAATCGGATGTAGCTGCAAGACGGAGCCTCGTTGACTCTCCGTTTCAACTTATCTCAAAAGTGAGGACCTCAACCTATATACCAGTTTTTAAATTGTGTTGATAGGCCAAATAAAACCAGAGTTATGATAAATTATGTCCGCGATACTTTTTTTCTGCTTATTTTGATCACGTTCGGCGCTCGATCGCGCTGTATGAGACAGGAAAACATAGCATGCAGACATTAGCGACAGGTCTTACAGGCGGAAAAGGCTTGCCAAAAGAAAAAAAAAACACACCACAACATCTCTCCTATTGGTGGAAAACTTCACCACAACAACCAATCCAAAATTATATGGTGACTGATTGACAAGGGGCGGGCGCTTACGTTCTTCCTGCAACATGAGAAGGGAGGGAGGGACTCTCAGCAGGGATGCAGTCTGGGACACGTAGTTGCAAACCTAGCGACTTTGTTGTTAGATTCAATGACTTTTCAGACCCCCTAACGACTTTTTTTTAGAAAGAAAGGGACTTTTATCGACTTCTTCTGGAGTTTAGAGACTCTGACATGAAGCAGGCTTTCCTTACTGAGGAGTTAGCAACGCTGCTAAGGGTGCAGAGCCACACATGCGCTCAGAGCTCTGCATGGGAGACTGAAGCTGACAGAGCTGCAGCCGTTAGCAGGTTTCACCCTCAGAGACCACCAGGGGTTCATGTTGAGGCATTTTAAATTTTTTTTTTTTGTGCCATAGACACTGTCAGCACAATCTGCAGTTACACTAACAAAAATGCTGCAAAAAACAAAGAATTATGGAAAAATTACACATGGACTGACATAGAGGAGGATCTACACAAGTTTTTTACATCATGTTTTACATCATGCATCATTTACATCATGTTTTTTTGTAGTGGCATAAATAAAAAGTGACATTTGTGAGACTATACAGTGTTTTGTAAATAATTTTACAAAGAACGCCTGGGCCATTGCCTGCATTTTGATGTAAATAGAGGTAAATCACTATGTTCTTTGTTAAAAATTTGCATATGTTTTGAAGTTTACAATTTTTATTTGAAGTTTAAGTTTTAAAAACAGTTCATCACACATATTTGTGGTTTTCACAGTAAAAATGTTACTTTTTTCCACTCGGATTTTATGTTTTGTGTGTGAATTTGGGTCCATTGTGTAAATTCAGTATGTCAACATGATAAAATAACTGTAAATTCGCACAGGTGAGGTTGTGCTGAAAAAATGATACCAGGCAAGGCACGTGATTGTCAAATTTTGTGTCAATATGACAAAGCGTATAGGCGTGAATCTCAACAATATGTATTTTCACCTTAGGGGACAAGAAAAAATGGACTTTTTTCTCCTGCCATGGGGGGGCGCTCTTTTGGGGAGTAAAAATTCCTTCACAAATGTGTTGATGGCTGGACATTGCATCATCCTAGAAAACTAAAAAACTTGGAGGCCAGTGAGGACAAAAATAAAAAGTTATAAGACTTTTAAATATGTGGATTTTAGGGTTATCTTTGGCGCCCCCTAGAACCTAAACCGTGGGGTGCAGCGTCATGATTTGAATAACTTTTAATGGCCATGGGGTGTAGATTGTCCTGAGCAAATGTGGTGCCGGTGGAACGAAAGCCTTAGGAGGAGTTAGCCACATTCCAATGTGTGCGGATCGGCAAAAAATGCGGAATAACCCTTTAACCGTACATTTGACAGATACGCGCGCATTGACTTTTTCGTAGATCTTATTGAGTTACATGTGTGTGTCAATTTTTGTGTCATTTTGACAAAGCGTATAGGCGTGACACTCAACAATGTGTATTTTCACCTTAGGGGACAAGAAAAAATTGACTTTTTTCTCCTGCCATGGGGGGCGCTCTTTTGGGGAGTAAAAATTCCTTCACAAATGTGTTGATGGCTGGACATTGCATCATCCTAGAAAACTTGGAGGCCAGTGAGGACAAAAATAAAAAGTTATAAGACTTTTAAATATGTGGATTTTAGTGTTACCTTTGGCGCCCCCTAGAACCTAAACCTTGGGGTGCAGCGTCATGATTTTGATAACTTTTAATGGCCACGGGGTGTAGATTGGCCTGAGCAAATGTGGTGCCGGTGGAACGAAAGCCTTCGGAGGAGTTAGCGAAATTCCAATGTGTGCGGATCGGCAAAAAATGCGAAATAACCCTTTGACCGTACATTTGACAGATACGGCCGCATCGACTTTTTTGTAGATCTTATTGAGATACATATGTGTGTCAATTTTTGTGTCATTTTGACAAAGCGTATAGGCGTGACACTCAACAATGTGTATTTTCACCTTAGGGGACAAGAAAAAATGGACTTTTTTCTCCTGCCATGGGGGGGCGCTCTTTTGGGGAGTAAAAATTCCTTCACAAATGTGTTGATGGCTGGACATTGCATCATCCTAGAAAACTTGGAGGCCAGTGAGGACAAAAATAAAAAGTTATAAGACTTTTAAATATGTGGATTTTAGTGTTATCTTTGGCGCCCCCTAGAACCTAAACCTTGGGGTGCAGCGTCATGATTTTGATAACTTTTAATGGCCACGGGGTGTAGATTGGCCTGAGCAAATGTGGTGCCGGTGGAACGAAAGCCTTCGGAGGAGTTAGCGAAATTCCAATGTGTGCGGATCGGCAAAAAATGCGAAATAACCCTTTGACCGTACATTTGACAGATACGGCCGCACTGACTTTTTTGTAGATCTTATTGAGATACATATGTGTGTCAATTTTTGTGTCAATATGACAAAGCGTACAGGCGTGACAGTCAATAGTGTGAATTTCCACCTTAGGGGGCGCTATGGAGCCATTTTGCATTTTATTGTTTGGGCGACTTCAGAATATCGAATTTTTCACCAGGCCCGGTCGTCCTGCCAAATTTCATGAGTTTTCGCCAGTGGGAAGTGGGCCATTTTCCAGTTCAAAGGGGAGGAAAAAGAAGAAAGAAAGAAAGAAAGAAAGAAAGAAACAAAGAAAAACCACTTGGGGAATAATAGGGCCTACGCCCGGCTGCTCTGCAGCTGGCTCGGGCCCTAAAAAGAAGGAAACTACAAGAACAAGAGGGCTCTCGCAGCTGCTTAGCAGCTACGCTCGGGCCCTAACTAGGACCCCGTTGGGGCACTGGCGGGCCCGAGCCGTGTCGCCCCCCCCCCCCCCCCCAACGCGCTGCCTCCCCGTCCCATTTGTGTCCTCTGGCCATCGCCCTCTCTGGTAACGCCCATCACTGCAAAGACCCTTTTCCTTCATCGGCGTTTGCTGTTCTTCCTGCCAGTGCGTGTTGCTTTCACTTACACTTGCCACAGCCAGCCTCGTGAGTGCCTAGCCTATTGGATATCACTGTCACCTACACAGGACAGTCATTACCTTTCTATTAATACTTTGTGTTTTAATTTCACATTAATTTCCATATTGTATAAACGACTGGAAAAAACTTGAGCCCCTGCCCCTGTATAATCATGTGCATGTCTCTGTTCTAGCTCCAAGGTGAATCTTCACTGCTCATGTTCTCCTCAGAAGCACTCACCTCACTCCCCTCAGGTTACTGTACACATGCACCAACTGCCTGCTTCAGGTTTGGATGGAGCTTCATGGTTGTCTTTTGGAGAAATGACCAGTCAAGTTGTGTTTGAAATTTGATTTTTTTCAGGGGCAAAAGGAGCCTCTGCATTCTTGTCAAATATGTAAATAGCATGTTTTTGCAGGTGCTAAAAACCAGACTCTGAGTGTGTGTGTGTGTGTGTGTGTGTGTGTGTGTGTGCGTGTGTGTGTGTCTGTGTGTGCGTTCAAGTCACATGACATATTTAACCGGATGTAGCTGCAAGACGGAGCCTCGTTGACTCTCCGTTTCAACTTATCTCAAAAGTGAGGACCTCAACCTATATACCAGTTTTAAAATTGTGTTGATAGGCCAAATAAAACCAGAGTTATGATAAATTATGTCCGCGATACTTTTTTTCTGCTTATTTTTATCACGTTCGGCGCTCGATCGCGCTGTATGAGACAGGAAAACATAGCATGCAGACATTAGCGACAGGTCTTACAGGCGGAAAAGGCTTGCCAAAAGAAAAAAAAAACACACCACAACATCTCTCCTATTGGTGGAAAACTTCACCACAACAACCAATCCAAAATTATATGGTGACTGATTGACAAGGGGCGGGCGCTTACGTTCTTCCTGCAACATGAGAAGGGAGGGAGGGACTCTCAGCAGGGATGCAGTCTGGGACACGTAGTTGCAAACCTAGCGACTTTGTTGTTAGATTCAATGACTTTTCAGACCCCCTAACGACTTTTTTTTAGAAAGAAAGGGACTTTTATTGACTTCTTCTGGAGTTTAGAGACTCTGACATGAAGCAGGCTTTCCTTACTGAGGAGTTAGCAACGCTGCTAAGGGTGCAGAGCCACACATGCGCTCAGAGCTCTGCATGGGAGACTGAAGCTGACAGAGCTGCAGCAGTTAGCAGGTTTCACCCTCAGAGACCACCAGGGGTTCATGTTGAGGCATTTTAATTTTTTTTTTTTTTGTGCCATAGACACTGTCAGCACAATCTGCAGTTACACTAACAAAAATGCTGCAAAAAACAAAGAATTATGGAAAAATTACACATGGACTGACATAGAGGAGGATCTACACAAGTTTTTTACATCATGTTTTACATCATGCATCATTTACATCATGTTTTTTTGTAGTGGCATAAATAAAAAGTGACATTTGTGAGACTATACAGTGTTTTGTAAATAATTTTACAAAGAACGCCTGGGCCATTGCCTGCATTTTGATGTAAATAGAGGTAAATCACTATGTTCTTTGTTAAAAATTTGCATATGTCTTGAAGTTTACAATTTTTATTTGAAGTTTAAGTTTTAAAAACAGTTCATCACACATATTTGTGGTTTTCACAGTAAAAATGTTACTTTTTTCCACTCGGATTTTATGTTTTGTGTGTGAATTTGGGTCCATTGTGTAAATTCAGTATGTCAACATGATAAAATAACTGTAAATTCGCACAGGTGAGGTTGTGCTGAAAAAAATGATACCAGGCAAGGCACGTGATTGTCAAATTTTGTGTCAATATGACAAAGCGTATAGGCGTGAATCTCAACAATATGTATTTTCACCTTAGGGGACAAGAAAAAATGGACTTTTTTCTCCTGCCATGGGGGGCGCTCTTTTGGGGAGTAAAAATTCCTTCACAAATGTGTTGATGGCTGGACATTGCATCATCCTAGAAAACTTGGAGGCCAGTGAGGACAAAAATAAAAAGTTATAAGACTTTTAAATATGTGGATTTTAGGGTTATCTTTGGCGCCCCCTAGAACCTAAACCGTGGGGTGCAGCGTCATGATTTGAATAACTTTTAATGGCCATGGGGTGTAGATTGGCCTGAGCAAATGTGGTGCCGGTGGAACGAAAGCCTTCGGAGGAGTTAGCGAAATTCCAATGTGTGCGGATCGGCAAAAAAAGCAGAATAACCCTTTAACCGTACATTTGACAGATACGCGCGCATTGACTTTTTCGTAGATCTTATTGAGATACATGTGTGTGTCAATTTTTGTGTCATTTTGCCAAAGCGTACAGGTGTTACACTCAACAATGTGTATTTTCACCTTAGGGGACAAGAAAAAATTGACTTTTTTCTCCTGCCATGGGGGGGGGCGCTCTTTTGGGGAGTAAAAATTCCTTCACAAATGTGTTGATGGCTGGACATTGCATCATCCTAGAAAACTTGGAGGCCAGTGAGGACAAAAATAAAAAGTTATAAGACTTTTAAATATGTGGATTTTAGGGTTATCTTTGGCGCCCCCTAGAACCTAAACCGTGGGATGCAGCGTCATGATTTGAATAACTTTTAATGGCCATGGGGTGTAGATTGGCCTGAGCAAATGTGGTGCCGGTGGAACGAAAGCCTTCGGAGGAGTTAGCGAAATTCCAATGTGTGCGGATCGGCAAAAAATGCAGAATAACCCTTTAACCGTACATTTGACAGATACGCTCGCATTGACTTTTTCGTAGATCTTATAGAGACACATGTGTGTGTCAATTTTTGTGTCATTTTGCCAAAGCGTACAGGTGTTACACTCAACAATGTGTATTTTCACCTTAGGGGACAAGAAAAAATGGACTTTTTTCTCCTGCCATGGGGGGGGGCGCTCTTTTGGGGAGTAAAAATTCCTTCACAAATGTGTTGATGGCTGGACATTGCATCATCCTAGAAAACTTGGAGGCCAGTGAGGACAAAAATAAAAAGTTATAAGACTTTTAAATATGTGGATTTTAGGGTTATCTTTGGCGCCCCCTAGAACCTAAACCGTGGGATGCAGCGTCATGATTTGAATAACTTTTAATGGCCATGGGGTGTAGATTGGCCTGAGCAAATGTGGTGCCGGTGGAACGAAAGCCTTCGGAGGAGTTAGCGAAATTCCAATGTGTGCGGATCGGCAAAAAATGCAGAATAACCCTTTAACCGTACATTTGACAGATACGCTCGCATTGACTTTTTCGTAGATCTTATAGAGACACATGTGTGTGTCAATTTTTGTGTCATTTTGCCAAAGCGTACAGGTGTTACACTCAACAATGTGTATTTTCACCTTAGGGGACTAGAAAAAATTGACTTTTTTCTCCTGCCATGGGGGGGCGCTCTTTTGGGGAGTAAAAATTCCTTCACAAATGTGTTGATGGCTGGACATTGCATCATCCTAGAAAACTTGGAGGCCAGTGAGGGCAAAAATAAAAAGTTATAAGACTTTTAAATATGTGGATTTTAGGGTTATTTTTGGCGCCCCCTAGAACCTAAACCGTGGGGTGCAGCGTCATGATTTGAATAACTTTTAATGGCCATGGGGTGTAGATTGGCCTGAGCAAATGTGGTGCCGGTGGAACGAAAGCCTTCGGAGGAGTTAGCGAAATTCCAATGTGTGCGGATCGGCAAAAAATGCGAAATAACCCTTTAACCGTACATTTGACAGATACGCCCGCACTGACTTTTTTGTAGATCTTACTGAGATACATGTGTGTGTCAATTTTTGTGTCATTTTGACAAAGCGTACAGGCGTGACAGTGAATAGTGTGAATTTTCACCTTAGGGGGCGCTATGGAGCCATTTTGCATTTTCTTGTTTGGGCGACTTCGGAATATCAAATTTTTCACCAGGCCCGGTCGTCCTGCCAAATTTCATGAGTTTTCGCCAGTGGGAAGTGGGCCATTTTCCAGTTCAAAGGGGAGGAAAAATAATAACTAGGGCCCCGTTGGGGCACTGGCGGGCCCGAGCCGTGTCACGCCACCCCCAGCGCGACCGCCTCCCCCACCCGATCGCGTCACACTCAAGGTCCAAAGATGGTGTGCGCACTTGTTTGTGGTCATTTACCATTATAATGAACGGGAGGCGCAGTTTCTACCAAAACGCTCGCTGCAGAAAAACTCCATGTCCTATTTGAAAAAAGTCTGGACCATGAGTGAGGGCACAAACACAGCTAAGATATATCCAAATGGCAAGTTGCTCCTCCTTTCGCTTTTGCCGAGAGAGCAGTGCGTTTGAGCCATTGAATGATGAACAGGAAAAACTTGACTTTATTCTCCTGCCATGGGGGGGCGCTCTTTTAACGAGAAAAAACTCCTTCATAAATGTGTTGATGGCTGGACATTGCATCATCCTAGAAAACATGGAGGCCAGTGAGGACAAAAATAACTAGGACCCCGTTGGGGCACTGGCGGGCCCGAGCTGTGTCGCGTCCCCCCCCCAACGCGCTGCCTCCCCGTCCCATTTGTTTCCTCTGGCCATCGCCCTCTCTGGTAACGCCCATCACTGCAAAGACCCTTTTCCTTCATCAGCGTTTGCTGTTCTTCCTGCCAGTGCGTGTTGCTTTCACTTACACTTGCCACAGCCAGCCTCGTGAGTGCCTAGCCTATTGGATATCACTGTCACCTACACAGGACAGTCATTACCTTTCTATTAATACTTTGTTTTTTAATTTCACATTAATTTCCATATTGTATAAACAACTGGAAAAAACTTGAGCCCCTGCCCCTGTATAATCATGTGCACGTCTCTGTTCTAGCTCTAAGGTGAATCTTCACTGCTCATGTTCTCCTCAGAAGCAGTCACCTCACTCCCCTCAGGTTACTGTACACATGCACCAACTGCCTGCTTCAGGTTTGGATGGAGCTTCATGGTTGTCTTTTGGAGAAATGACCAGTCAAGTTGTGTTTGAAATTTGATTTTTTTCAGGGGCAAAAGGAGCCTCTGCATTCTTGTCAAATATGTAAATAGCATGTTTTTGCAGGTGCTAAAAACCAGACTCTGAGTGTGTGTGTGTGCGTGTGTGTGTGTGTCTGTGTGTGTGTGTGTGCGTTCAAGTCACATGACATATTTAACCGGATGTAGCTGCAAGACGGAGCCTCGTTGACTCTCCGTTTCAACTTATCTCAAAAGTGAGGACCTCAACCTATATACCAGTTTTTAAATTGTGTTGATAGGCCAAATAAAACCAGAGTTATGATAAATTATGTCCGCGATACTTGTTTTCTGCTTATTTTGATCACGTTCGGCGCTCGATCGCGCTGTATGAGACAGGAAAACATAGCATGCAGACATTAGCGACAGCTCTTACAGGCGGAAAAGGCTTGCCAAAGGAAAAAAAAACACACCACAACATCTCTCCTATTGGTGGAAAACTTCACCACAACAACCAATCCAAAATTATATGGTGACTGATTGACAAGGGGCGGGCGCTTACGTTCTTCCTGCAATATGAGAAGGGAGGGAGGGACTCTCAGCAGGGATGCAGTCTGGGACACGTAGTTGCAAACCTAGCGACTTTGTTGTTAGATTCAATGACTTTTCAGACCCCCTAACGACTTTTTTTTAGAAAGAAAGTGACTTTTATCGACTTCTTCTGGAGTTTAGAGACTCTGACATGAAGCAGGCTTTCCTTACTGAGGAGTTAGCAACGCTGCTAAGGGTGCAGAGCCACACATGCGCTCCGAGCTCTGCATGGGAGACTGAAGCTGACAGAGCTGCAGCAGTTAGCAGGTTTCACCCTCAGAGACCACCAGGGGTTCATGTTGAGGCATTTTTAGTTTTTTTTTTTTTTTTTTTGCCATAGACACTGTCAGCACAATCTGCAGTTACACTAACAAAAATGCTGCAAAAAACAAAGAATTATGGAAAAATTACACATGGACTAACATAGAGGAGGATCTACACAAGTTTTTTACATCATGTTTTACATCATGCATCATTTACATCATGTTTTTTTGTAGTGGCATAAATAAAAAGTGACATTTGTGAGACTATACAGTGTTTTGTAAATAATTTTACAAAGAACACCTGGGCGATTGCCTGCATTTTGATGTAAATAGAGGCAAATTACTATGTTCTTTGTTAAAAATTTGCATATGTTTTGAAGTTTACAATTTTTATTTGAAGTTTAAGTTTTAAAAACAGTTCATCACACATATTTGTGGTTTTCACAGTAAAAACGTTACTTTTTTCCACTCGGATTTTATGTTTTGTGTGTGAATTTGGGTCCAATGTGTAAATATAGTATGTCAAAATGATAAAATAACTGTAAATTGACACAGGTGAGTTTGTGCTGAAAAAAATGATACTAGGCAAGGCAAGGTAAAAATTTTGTAAGAGGAAATATAAAGGTAAAATCTAAAGTAGTCAAAAACGGCCAATAGTGACTCACAGACTCCACAGACAAGTCCCTTTGGCGCCACTCAGTGGGCAAAACTACTTTGTCTACTGTAATGTATATTTGGGTCATCTTTGGCGCCCCCTAAAACGTAAACCGTGGGGTGCAGCGTCATGATTTTTACAACTTTGAATGGCCATGGAGTGTAGATTGGCCTGAGCAAATTTGGTGTCAGTGGGACGAAAGCCTTAGGAGTAGTTAGCGAAATTCCAATGTGTGCGAATCGGCAAAAAATGCAAAATAGCCCTTTTACCGTACATTATACAGATACGGGCTCTTTGACTTTTTCGTAGATCTAATTGAGATACACATGATTGTCAATTTTTGTGTCATTTTGCCAAAGCGTACAGGCGTGACAGTCAACAATGTGTATTTTCACCTTAGGGGACAAGAAAAAATGGACTTTTTTCTCCTGCCATGGGGGGGCGCTCTATTAGGGAGTAAAAATTCCTTCACAAATGTGTTGATGGCTGGACATTGCATCATCCTAGAAAACTTGGAGGCCAGTGAGGACAAAAATAAAAAGTTATAAGACTTTTAAAATGTGGATTTTTGGGTTATCTTTGGCGCCCCCTAGAACGTAAACCGTGGGGTGCAGCGTCATGATTTGAATAACTTTTAATGGCCATGGGGTGTAATTTGGCCTGAGCAAATGTGGTGCCGGTGGAACGAAAGCCTTCGGAGGAGTTAGCGAAATTCCAATGTGTGCGAATCGGCAAAAAATGCGGAATAACCCTTTAACCGTACATTTGACAGATACGCGCGCATGGACTTTTTTGTAGATCTTATTGAGATACATGTGTGTGTCAATTTTTGTGTCATTTTGACAAAGCGTACAGGCGTGACACTCAACAATGTGTATTTTCACCTTAGGGGACAAGAAAAAATGGACTTTTTTCTCCTGCCATGGGGGGGCGCTCTTTTGGGGAGTAAAAATTCCTTCACAAATGTGTTGATGGCTGGACATTGCATCATCCTAGAAAACTTGGAGGCCAGTGAGGGCAAAAATAAAAAGTTATAAGACTTTTAAATATGTGGATTTTAGGGTTATCTTTGGCGCCCCCTAGAACCTAAACCGTGGGGTGCAGCGTCATGATTTGAATAACTTTTAATGGCCATGGGGTGTAGATTGGCCTGAGCAAATGTGGTGCCGGTGGAACGAAAGCCTTCGGAGGAGTTAGCGAAACTCCAATGTGTGCGGATCGGCAAAAAATGCGAAATAGCCCTTTAACCGTACATTTGACAGATACGCCCGCACTGACTTTTTTGTAGATCTTATTGAGATACATGTGTGTGTCAATTTTTGTGTCATTTTGACAAAGCGTACAGGCGTGACAGTCAATAGTGTGAATTTTCACCTTAGGGGGCGCTATGGAGCCATTTTGCATTTTCTTGTTTGGGCGACTTCGGAATATCAAATTTTTCACCAGGCCCGGTCGTCCTGCCAAATTTCATGAGTTTTCGCCAGTGGGAAGTGGGCCATTTTCCAGTTCAAAAGGGAGGAAAAAGAAACTAGGGCCCCGTTGGGGCACTGGCGGGCCCGAGCTGTGTCACGCCGCCCCCAACACGACCGCCTCTCCCTCCCGATCGCGTCACACTCAAGGTTCAACGATGGTGTGCGCACTTGTCTGTGGTCATTTACCATTATAATGAATGGGAGGCGCAGTTTCTACCAAAACGCTTGCTGCAGACAAACTACATGTCCTATTTGAAAAAAGTCTGGACCATGAGTGAGGGCACAAACACAGCTAGGATATATCCAAATGGCAAGTTCCTCCTCCTTTCGTTTTTTTCCGAGAGAGCGATGTGTTTGAGCCATTGAGCGATGGGCAGGAAAAACTTGACTTTTTCTCCTGCCATGGGGGGGCACTCTTTTAGGGAGAAAAAATTCCTTCACAAATGTGTTGATGGCTAGACATTGCATCATCCTAGAAAACTTTGAAGCCAGTGAGGACAAAAATGAAAAGTTATAAGACTTTTAAGAATGTGGATTTTTGGGTTATCTTTGGCGACCCCTAGAACGTAAACCGTGGGGTGCAGCATCATGATTTGTACAACTTTGAATGGCCATGGGGTGTAGATTGGCCTGAGCAAATTTGGTGCCGGTGGAACGAAAGCTTTAGGAGGAGTTAGCCACATTCCAATGTGAGCGAATCAACCAAAAATGCGAAATAGCCCTTTAACCGTACATTTTGCAGACACGTGCGCATTGACTTTTTCGTAGATCTTATTGAGATACACGTGTTTATCAAATTTTGTTTCAATATGACAAAGCGTACAGGCGTGACACTCAACAATGTGTATTTTCACCTTATAGGACAAGAAAAAATGGCCTTTTTTCTCCTGCCATGGGGGGGCGCTCTTTTGGGGAGTAAAAATTCCTTCACAAATGTGTTGATGGCTGGACATTGCATCATCCTAGAAAACTTGGAGGCCAGTGAGGACAGAAATAAAAAGTTATAAGACTTGTAAGAATGTGGATTTTTGGGTTATCTTTGGCGCCCCCTACAACGTAAACCGTGGGGTGCAGCGTCATGATTTGTACAACTTTGAATGGCCATGGGGTGTAGATTGGCCTGAGCAAATTTGGTGCCGGTGGAACGAAAGCCTTCGGAGGAGTTAGCGAAATTCCAATGTGTGCGGATCGGCAAAAAATGCGAAATAGCCCTTTAAACGTACATTTGACAGATTCTCCCGCACTGACTTTTTTGTAGATCTGATTGAGATACACGTGTGTGTCAAATTTTGTGTCATTTTGACAAAACGTACAGGCGTGACACTCAATCATGTGAATTTTTCACCTTAGGGGGCGCTATGGAGCCATTTTGCATTTGATTGTTTGGGTGACTTCAGAATATCGAATTTTTCACCAGGCCCAGTCGTCCTGCCAAATTTCATGAGTTTTCACCAGTGGGAAGTGGGCCATTTTCCAGTTCAAAGGGGCAGAAAAATAATAATAATAAGACTAGGGCCCCGGTGGGGCACTGTCGGGCCCGAGCCGCGTTGCGCCGCCCCCAGCGCGACCGCCTCCCCCTCCCGATCGCGTCACACTCAAGGTCCAAAGATGGTGTGCGCACTTGTCTGTGGTCATTTCCCATTATAATGAATGGGAGGCGCAGTTTCTACCAAAACACTCGCTGCAGACAAACTACATGTCCTATTTGAAAAAAGTCTGATCCATGAGTGAGGGCACAAACACAGCTAGGATATATCCAAATGGCAAGTTGCTCCTCCTTTCGGAGGAGTTTGAACACATGACATGTGTTTGAGCCATTGAGCGATGGGCAGGAAAAACTTGACTTTTTCTCCTGCCATGGGGGGCTCTTTTGGGGAGTAAAAATTCCTTCACAAATGTGTTGATGGCTAGACATTGCATCATCCTAGAAAACTTGGAAGCCAGTGAGGACAAAAATGAAAAGTTATAAGACTTTTAAGAATGTGGATATTTGGGTTATCTTTGGCGCCCCCTAGAACGTAAACCGTGGGGTGCAGCGTCATGATTTGTACAACTTTTAATGGCCATGGGGTGTAGATTGGCCTGAGCAAATGTGGTGCCGGTGGAACGAAAGCTTTAGGAGGAGTTAGCCACATTCCAATGTGTGCGAATCGATCAAAAATGCGTAATAGCCCTTTAACCGTACATTTTACAGATACGTGCGCATTGACTTTTTCGTAGATCTTATTGAGATACACGTGATTGTCAAATTTTGTTTCAATATGACAAAGCGTACAGGCGTGACACTCAACAATGTGTATTTTCACCTTATGGGACAAGAAAAAATGGACTTTTTTCTCCTGCCATGGGGGGGCGCTCTTTTGGGGAGTAAAAATTCCTTCACAAATGTGTTGATGGCTGGACATTGCATCATCCTAGAAAACTTGGAGGCCAGTGAGGACAAAAATAAAAAGTTATAAGACTTTTAAGACTGTGGATTTTTGGGTTATTTTTGGCGCCCCCTAGAACGTAAACCGTGGGGTGCAGCGTCATGATTTGTACAACTTTTAATGGCCATGGGGTGTAGATTGGCCTGAGCAAATTTGGTGCCGGTGGAACGAAAGCCTTCGGAGGAGTTAGCGAAATTCCAATGTGTGCGGTTCCGCAAAAAATGCAAAATAGCCCTTTAACCGTACATTTGACAGATACGTGCGCATATACTTTTTTGTAGATCTTATTGAGATACACGTGTGTGTCAAATTTTATGTCAATATGACAAAGCGTATAGGCGTGACACTCAACAATATGTATTTTCACCTTAGGGGACAAGAAAAAATGGACTTTTTTCTCCTGCCATGGGGGGGCGCTCTTTTGGGGAGTAAAAATTCCTTCACAAATGTGTTGATGGCTGGTCATTGCATCATCCTAGAAAACTTGGAGGCCAGTGAGGGCAAAAATAAAAAGTTATTAGACTTTTAAGAATGTGGATTTTTGGGTTATCTTTGGCGCCCCCTAGAACGTAAACCGTGGGGTGCAGCGTCATGATTTGTACAACTTTGAATGGCCATGGGGTGTAGATTGGCCTGAGCAAATGTGGTGCCGGTGGAACGAAAGCCTTCGGAGGAGTTAGCGAAATTCCACTGTGTGCGGATCGGCAAAAAATGCGAAATAGCCCTTTAACCGTACATTTGACAGATACGCCCGCACTGACTTTTTTGTAGATCTTATTGAGATACACGTGTGTGTCAAATTTTGTGTCATTTTGACAAAGCGTACAGGTGTGACACTCAATCATGTGAATTTTTCACCTTAGGGGGCGCTATGGAGCCATTTTGCATTTGATTGTTTGGGCGACTTCAGAATATCGAATTTTTCACCAGGCCCGGTCGTCCTGCCAAATTTCATGAGTTTTCACCAGTGGGAAGTGGGCCATTTTCCAGTTCAAAGGGGCAGAAAAATAAGAAGAAGAAGAAGAAGAAGAAGAACTAGGGCCCCGGTGGGGCACTGTCGGGCCCGAGCCGCGTCGCGCCGCCCCCAGCGCGACTGCCTCCCCCTCCCGATCGCGTCACACTCAAGGTCCAAAGATGGTGTGCGCACTTGTCTGTGGTCATTTCCCATTATAATGAATGGGAGGCGCAGTTTCTACCAAAACGCTCGCTGCAGACAAACTACATGTCCTATTTGAAAAAAGTCTGGACCATGAGTGAGGGCACAAACACAGCTAGTATATATCCAAATGGCAAGTTGCTCCTCCTTTCGGTTTTGCAGAGAGAGCGATGCGTTTGAGCCATTGAGCGATGGGCAGGAAAAACTTGACTTTTTCTCCTGCCATGGGGGGGCGCTCTTTTGGGGAGAAAAAATTCCTTCACAAATGTGTTGATGGCTGGACATTGCATCATCCTAGAAAACTTGGAGGCCAGTGAGGACAAAAATAAAAAGTTATAAGACTTTTAAAAATGTGGATATTTGGGTCCTCTTTGGCGCCCCCTAGAACGTAAACTGTGGGGTGCAGCGTCATGATTTGTACAACTTTGAATGGCCATGGGGTGTAGATTGACCTGAGCAAATTTGAAGCCGATGGGACAAAAGATTTAGGAGGAGTTAGCGAAATTCCAATGTGTGCGGATCGGCAAAAAATGCGAAATAACCCTTTAACCGTACATTTGACAGATACGCCCGCACTGACTTTTTTGTAGATCTTATTGAGATACATGTGTGTGTCAAATTTTGTGTCATTTTGACAAAGCGTAAAGGCGTGACAGTCAACAATGTGTATTTTGGCCTTAGGAGACAAGAAAAAATGGACTTTTTTCTCCTGCCATGGGGGGGGGGGCGCTCTTTTGGCGAGTAAAAATTCCTTCACAAATGTGTTGATGGCTGGACATTGCATCATCCTAGAGAACTTGGAGGCCAGTGAGGACAAAAATAAAAAGTTATAAGACTTTTAAGACTGTGGATTTTTGGGTTATCTTTGGCGCCCCCTAGAACGTAAACCGTGGGGTGCAGCGTCATGATTTGTACAACTTTTAATGGCCATGGGGTGTAGATTGGCCTCAGCAAATGTGGTGCCTTTGGAACGAAAGCCTTCGGAGGAGTTAGCAAAATTCCAATGTGTGCGGATCGGCAAAAAATGCAAAATAACCCATTAACCGTACATTTGACAGATACGCCCGCACTGACTTTTTTGTAGATCTTATTGAGATACATGTGTGTGTCAATTTTTGTGTCAATATGACAAAGCGTACAGCCGTCATGTGAATTTTCACCTTAGGGGGCGCTATGGAGCCATTTTGCATTTTATTGTTTGGGCGACTTCAGAATATCGAATTTTTCACCAGGCCCGGTCGTCCTGCCAAATGTCCTGAGTTTTCGCCAGTGGGAAGTGGGCCATTTTCCAGTTTGAAGCGGAGGAAAAATAATAACGAAAGAAGGAAACATGCAGGAACAAGAGGGCTCTCGCAGCTGCTTAGCAGCTACGCTCGGGCCCTAAAGAAGAATCCATCAGGAATAATAGGGCTCTCGCAGCTGCTTAGCAGCTACGCTCGGGCCCTAAAAAGAAACAAAGAAAAACCACTTGGGGAATAATAGGGCTCTCGCAGCTGCTTAGCAGCTACGCTCGGGCCCTAACTAGGGCCCCGTTGGGGCACTGGCGGGCCCGAGCCGTGTCGCGCCGCCCCCAGCGCGACCGCCTACCCCTCCCGATCGCGTCACACTCAAGGTCCAAAGATGGTGTGCGCACTTGTCTGTGGTCATTTACCATTATAATGAATGGGAGGCGCAGTTTCTACCAAAACGCTCGCTGCAGACAAACTCCATGTCCTTTTTGAAAAAAGTCTGGACCATGAGTGAGGGCACAAACACAGCTAGTATATATCCAAATGGCAAGTTGCTCCTCCTTTCCGTTTTGCCGAGAGAGCGATGCGTTTGAGCCATTGAGCGATGGGCAGGAAAAACTTGACTTTTTCTCCTGCCATGGGGGGGCGCTCTTTTGGGGAGAAAAAATTCCTTCACAAATGTGTTGATGGCTGGACATTGCATCATCCTAGAGAACTTGGAGGCCAGTGAGGACAAAAATAAAAAGTTATAAGACTTTTAAAAATGTGGATATTTGGGTCCTCTTTGGCGCCCCCTAGAACGTAAACCGTGGGGTGCAGCGTCATGATTTGTACAACTTTGAATGGCCATGGGGTGTAGATTGACCTGAGCAAATTTGAAGCCGATGGGACAAAAGCTTTAGGAGGAGTTAGTGAAATTCCAATGTGTGCGAATCGGCAAAAAATGCGAAATAGCCCTTTAACCGTACATTGAACAGATACGCTCGCATTGACTTTTTCGTAGATCGTATTGAGATACATGTGTATGTCAATTTTTGTGTCATTTTGACAAAGCATACAGGCGTGACAGTCAACAATGTGTATTTTCGCCTTAGGAGACAAGAAAAAATTGACTTTTTTCTCCTGCCATTGGGGGGCGCTCATTTGGGGAGTAAAAATTCCTTCACAAATGTGTTGATGGCTGGACATTGCATCATCCTAGAGAACTTGGAGGCCAGTGAGGACAAAAATAAAAAGTTATAAGACTTTTAAGACTGTGGATTTTTGGGTTATCTTTGGCGCCCCCTAGAACGTAAACCGTGGGGTGCAGCGTCATGATTTGTACAACTTTTAATGGCCATGGGGTGTAGATTGGCCTGAGCAAATGTGGTGCCGTTGGAACGAAAGCCTTCGGAGGAGTTAGCGAAATTCCAATGTGTGCGGATCGGCAAAAAATGCGAAATAACCCTTTAACCGTACATTTGACAGATACGCCCGCACTGACTTTTTTGTAGATCTTATTGAGATACATGTGTGTGTCAATTTTTGTGTCAATATGACAAAGCGTAAAGGCGTGACAGTCAATAGTGTGAATTTTCACCTTAGGGGGCGCTATGGAGCCATTTTGCATTTTATTGTTTGGGCGACTTCAGAATATCGAATTTTTCACCAGGCCCGGTCGTCCTGCCAAATTTCATGAGTTTTCGCCAGTGGGAAGTGGGCCATTTTCCAGTTTAAAGCGGAGGAAAAATAATAACTAGGGCCCCGTTGGGGCACTGGCGGGCCCGAGCCGTGTCGCGCCGCCCCCAGCGCGACCGCCTACCCCTCTTGATCGCGTCACACTCAAGGTCCAAAGATGGTGTGCGCACTTGTCTGTGGTCATTTACCATTATAATGAATGGGAGGCGCAGTTTCTACCAAAACGCTCGCTGCAGACAAACTCCATGTCCTTTTTGAAAAAAGTCTGGACCATGAGCGAGGGCACAAACACAGCTAGTATATATCCAAATGGCAAGTTGCTCCTCCTTTCGGTTTTGCCGAGAGAGCGATGCTTTTGAGCCATTGAGCGATGGGCAGGAAAAACTTGACTTTTTCTCCTGCCATGGGGGGCGCTCTTTTGGGGAGAAAAAATTCCTTCACAAATGTGTTGATGGCTGGACATTGCATCATCCTAGAAAACTTGGAGGCCAGTGAGGACAAAAATAAAAAGTTATAAGACTTTTAAAAATGTGGATATTTGGGTCGTCTTTGGCACCCCCTAGAACGTAAACCGTGGGGTGCAGCGTCATGATTTGTACAACTTTGAATGGCCATGGGGTGTAGATTGACCTGAGCAAATTTGAAGCCGATGGGACAAAAGCTTTAGGAGGAGTTAGCCACATTCCAATGTGTGCGAATCGGCAAAAAATGCAAAATAGCCCTTTAACCGTACATTGAACAGATACGCTCGCATTGACTTTTTCGTAGATCTTATTGAGATACATGTGTGTGTCAAATTTTGTGTCATTTTGACAAAGCGTAAAGGCGTGACAATCAACAATGTGTATTTTCGCCTTAGGAGACAAGAAAAAATGGACTTTTTTCTCCTGCCATGGGGGGCGCTCTTTTGGCGAGTAAAAATTCCTTCACAAATGTGTTGATGGCTGGACATTGCATCATCCTAGAGAACTTGGAGGCCAGTGAGGACAAAAATAAAAAGTTATAAGACTTTTAAGACTGTGGATTTTTGGGTTATCTTTGGCGCCCCCTAGAACGTAAACCGTGGGGTGCAGTGTCATGATTTGTACAACTTTTAATGGCCATGGGGTGTAGATTGGCCTGAGCAAATGTGGTGCCGTTGGAACGAAAGCCTTCAGAGGAGTTAGCGAAATTCCAATGTGTGCGGATCGGCAAAAAATGCGAAATAACCCTTTAACCGTACATGTGACAGATACGCCCGCACTGACTTTTTTGTAGATCTTATTGAGATACATGTGTGTGTCAAATTTTGTGTCATTTTGACAAAGCGTAAAGGCGTGACAGTCAACGATGTGTATTTTCGCCTTAGGAGACAAGAAAAAATGGACATTTTTCTCCTGCCATGGGGGGCGCTCTTTTGGCGAGTAAAAATTCCTTCACAAATGTGTTGATGGCTGGACATTGCATCATCCTAGAGAACTTGGAGGCCAGTGAGGACAAAAATAAAAAGTTATAAGACTTTTAAGACTGTGGATTTTTGGGTTATCTTTGGCGCCCCCTAGAACGTAAACCGTGGGGTGCAGCGTCATGATTTGTACAACTTTTATTGGCCATGGGGTGTAGATTGGCCTGAGCAAATGTGGTGCCGGTGGAAGGAAAACCTTCGGAGGAGTTAGCGAAATTCCAATGTGTGCGGATCGGCAAAAAATGCGAAATAAACCTTTAACCGTACATTTGACAGATACGCCCGCACTGACTTTTTTGTAGATCTTATTGAGATACACGTGTGTGTCAAATTTTGTGTCATTTTGACAAAGCGTACAGGTGTGACACTCAATCATGTGAATTTTTCACCTTAGGGGGCGCTATGGAGCCATTTTGCATTTGATTGTTTGGGCGACTTCAGAATATCGAATTTTTCACCAGGCCCGGTCGTCCTGCCAAATTTCATGACTTTTCACCAGTGGGAAGTGGGCCATTTTCCAGTTCAAAGGGGCAGAAAAATAATAAGAAGAAGAAGAAGAAGAAAGAAGAATCCATCAGGAATAATAGGGCTCTCGCAGCTGCTTAGCAGCTACGCTCGGGCCCTAATAATAATAATAATAACAAAAGAAGAATCCATCAGGAACAAGAGGGCTCTCGCAGCTGCTTAGCAGCTACGCTCGGGCCCTAAAAAGTTATAAGACTTTTAAATATGTGGATTTTAGGGTTATCTTTGGCGCCCCCTAGAACCTAAACCGTGGGGTGCAGCGTCATGATTTGAATAACTTTTAATGGCCATGGGGTGTAGATTGGCCTGAGCAAATGTGGTGCCGGTGGAACGAAAGCCTTCAAAAGGAGTTAGCGAAATTCCAATGTGTGCGAATCTGCAAAAAATGCGAAATCACCCTTTAACCGTACATTTTACAGATACGTGGCCATTGACTTTTTCGAAGATCTTATTGAAAGACACGTGTATGTAAAATTTTGTGTCAATACGACAAAACATACAGGCGTAGCACTCAACAATGTGTATTTTCACCTTAGTGGACAAGAAAAAATGGACTTTTTTCTCCTGCCATGGGGGGCGCTCTTTTGGCGAGTAAAAATTCCTTCACAAATGTGTTGATGGCTGGACATTGCATCATCCTAGAAAACTTGGAGGCCAGTTGGGACAAAAATAAAAAGTTATAAGACTTTTAAATATGTGGATTTTACGGTTATCTTTGGCGCCCCCTAGAACCTAAACCGTGGGGTGCAGCGTCATGATTTGAATAACTTTTAATGGCCATGGGGTGTAGATTGGCCTGAGAAAATGTGGTGCCGGTGGAACGAAAGCCTTCGGAGGAGTTAGCGAAATTCCAATGTGTGCGGATCGGCAAAAAATGCGGAATAACCTTTTAACCGTACATTTGACAGATACGTGCGCATTGACTTTTTTGTAGATCTTATTGAGATACATGTGTGTGTCAATTTTGGTGTCATTTTGCCAAAGCGTACAGGTGTTACACTCAACAATGTGTATTTTCACCTTAGGGGACAAGAAAAAATGGACTTTTTTCTCCTGCCATGGGGGGGCGCTCTTTTGGGGAGTAAAAATTCCTTCACAAATGTGTTGATGGCTGGACATTGCATCATCCTAGAAAACTTGGAGGCCAGTGAGGGCAAAAATAAAAAGTTATAAGACTTTTAAATATGTGGATCTTAGGGTTATCTTTGGCGCCCCCTAGAACCTAAACCGTGGGGTGCAGCGTCATGATTTGAATAACTTTTAATGGCCATGGGGTGTAGATTGGCCTGAGCAAATGTGGTGCCGGTGGAACGAAAGCCTTCGGAGGAGTTAGCGAAATTCCAATGTGTGCGGATCTGCAAAAAATGCGAAATAACCCTTTAACCGTACATTTGACAGATACGCCCGCACTGACTTTTTTGTAGATCTTATTGAGATACATGTGTGTGTCAATTTTTGTGTCATTTTGACAAAGCGTACAGGCGTGACAGTCAATAGTGTGAATTTTCACCTTAGGGGGCGCTATGGAGCCATTTTGCATTTTCTTGTTTGGGCGACTTCGGAATATCAAATTTTTCACCAGGCCCGGTCGTCCTGCCAAATTTCATGAGTTTTCGCCAGTGGGAAGTGGGCCATTTTCCAGTTCAAAGGGGAGGAAAAATAATAATAATAATAATAATAACAAAAGAAGGAAACATGCAGGAACAAGAGGGCTCTCGCAGCTGCTTAGCAGCTACGCTCGGGCCCTAATAACAAAAGAAGGAAACTACAAGAACAAGAGGGCTCTCGCAGCTGCTTAGCAGCTACGCTCGGGCCCTAACTAGGACCCCGTTGGGGCACTGGCGTGCCCGAGCCGTGTCGCCCCCCCCCCCCCCCCCCCCCGCGCTGCCTCCCCGTCCCATTTGTGTCCTCTGGCCATCGCCCTCTCTGGTAACGCCCATCACTGCAAAGACCCTTTTCCTTGATCGGCGTTTGCTGTTCTTCCTGCCAGTGCGTGTTGCTTTCACTTACACTTGCCACAGCCAGCCTCGTGAGTGCCTAGCCTATTCGATATCACTGTCACCTACACAGGACAGTCATTACCTTTCTATTAATACTTTGTGTTTTAATTTCACATTAATTTCCATATTGTATAAACGACTGGAAAAAACTTGAGCCCCTGCCCCTGTATAATCATGTGCATGTCTCTGTTCTAGCTCCAAGGTGAATCTTCACTGCTCATGTTCTCCTCAGAAGCACTCACCTCACTCCCCTCAGGTTACTGTACACATGCACCAACTGCCTGCTTCAGGTTTGGATGGAGCTTCATGGTTGTCTTTTGGAGAAATGACCAGTCAAGTTGTGTTTGAAATTTGATTTTTTTCAGGGGCAAAAGGAGCCTCTGCATTCTTGTCAAATATGTAAATAGCATGTTTTTGCAGGTGCTAAAAACCAGACTCTGAGTGTGTGTGTGTGTGTGTGTGTGTGTGTGTGTGTGTGTGCGTGTGTGTGTGTGTGCGTTCAAGTCACATGACATATTTAACCGGATGTAGCTGCAAGACGGAGCCTCGTTGACTCTCCGTTTCAACTTATCTCAAAAGTGAGGACCTCAACCTATATACCAGTTTTTAAATTGTGTTGATAGGCCAAATAAAACCAGAGTTATGATAAATTATGTCCGCGATACTTTTTTTCTGCTTATTTTTATCACGTTCGGCGCTCGATCGCGCTGTATGAGACAGGAAAACATAGCATGCAGACATTAGCGACAGCTCTTACAGGCGGAAAAGGCTTGCCAAAAGAAAAAAAAAACACACCACAACATCTCTCCTATTGGTGGAAAACTTCACCACAACAACCAATCCAAAATTATATGGTGACTGATTGACAAGGGGCGGGCGCTTACGTTCTTCCTGCAACATGAGAAGGGAGGGAGGGACTCTCAGCAGGGATGCAGTCTGGGACACGTAGTTGCAAACCTAGCGACTTTGTTGTTAGATTCAATGACTTTTCAGACCCCCTAACGACTTTTTTTTAGAAAGAAAGGGACTTTTATCGACTTCTTCTGGAGTTTAGAGACTCTGACATGAAGCAGGCTTTCCTTACTGAGGAGTTAGCAACGCTGCTAAGGGTGCAGAGCCACACATGCGCTCAGAGCTCTGCATGGGAGACTGAAGCTGACAGAGCTGCAGCAGTTAGCAGGTTTCACCCTCAGAGACCACCAGGGGTTCATGTTGAGGCATTTTAATTTTTTTTTTTTTTGTGCCATAGACACTGTCAGCACAATCTGCAGTTACACTAACAAAAATGCTGCAAAAAACAAAGAATTATGGAAAAATTACACATGGACTGACATAGAGGAGGATCTACACAAGTTTTTTACATCATGTTTTACATCATGCATCATTTACATCATGTTTTTTTGTAGTGGCATAAATAAAAAGTGACATTTGTGAGACTATACAGTGTTTTGTAAATAATTTTACAAAGAACGCCTGGGCCATTGCCTGCATTTTGATGTAAATAGAGGTAAATCACTATGTTCTTTGTTAAAAATTTGCATATGTCTTGAAGTTTACAATTTTTATTTGAAGTTTAAGTTTTAAAAACAGTTCATCACACATATTTGTGGTTTTCACAGTAAAAATGTTACTTTTTTCCACTCGGATTTTATGTTTTGTGTGTGAATTTGGGTCCATTGTGTAAATTCAGTATGTCAACATGATAAAATAACTGTAAATTCGCACAGGTGAGGTTGTGCTGAAAAAAATGATACCAGGCAAGGCACGTGATTGTCAAATTTTGTGTCAATATGACAAAGCGTATAGGCGTGAATCTCAACAATATGTATTTTCACCTTAGGGGACAAGAAAAAATGGACTTTTTTCTCCTGCCATGGGGGGCGCTCTTTTGGGGAGTAAAAATTCCTTCACAAATGTGTTGATGGCTGGACATTGCATCATCCTAGAAAACTTGGAGGCCAGTGAGGACAAAAATAAAAAGTTATAAGACTTTTAAATATGTGGATTTTAGGGTTATCTTTGGCGCCCCCTAGAACCTAAACCGTGGGGTGCAGCGTCATGATTTGAATAACTTTTAATGGCCATGGGGTGTAGATTGGCCTGAGCAAATGTGGTGCCGGTGGAACGAAAGCCTTCGGAGGAGTTAGCGAAATTCCAATGTGTGCGGATCGGCAAAAAAAGCAGAATAACCCTTTAACCGTACATTTGACAGATACGCGCGCATTGACTTTTTCGTAGATCTTATTGAGATACATGTGTGTGTCAATTTTTGTGTCATTTTGCCAAAGCGTACAGGTGTTACACTCAACAATGTGTATTTTCACCTTAGGGGACAAGAAAAAATGGACTTTTTTCTCCTGCCATGGGGGGGCGCTCTTTTGGGGAGTAAAAATTCCTTCACAAATGTGTTGATGGCTGGACATTGCATCATCCTAGAAAACTTGGAGGCCAGTGAGGGCAAAAATAAAAAGTTATAAGACTTTTAAATATGTGGATCTTAGGGTTATCTTTGGCGCCCCCTAGAACCTAAACCGTGGGGTGCAGCGTCATGATTTGAATAACTTTTAATGGCCATGGGGTGTAGATTGGCCTGAGCAAATGTGGTGCCGGTGGAACGAAAGCCTTCGGAGGAGTTAGCGAAATTCCAATGTGTGCGGATCGGCAAAAAATGCGAAATAACCCTTTAACCGTACATTTGACAGATACGCCCGCACTGACTTTTTTGTAGATCTTATTGAGATACATGTGTGTGTCAATTTTTGTGTCATTTTGACAAAGCGTACACGCGTGACAGTCAATAGTGTGAATTTTCACCTTAGGGGGCGCTATGGAGCCATTTTGCATTTTATTGTTTGGCCGACTTCGGAATATCAAATTTTTCACCAGGCCCGGTCGTCCTGCCAAATTTCATGAGTTTTCGCCAGTGGGAAGTGGGCCATTTTCCAGTTCAAAGGGGAGGAAAAATAATAACTAGGGCCCCGTTGGGGCACTGGCGGGCCCGAGCCGTGTCACGCCGCCCCCAGCGCGACCGCCTCCCCCACCCGATCGCGTCACACTCAAGGTCCAAAGATGGTGTGCGCACTTGTTTGTGGTCATTTACCATTATAATGAACGGGAGGCGCAGTTTCTACCAAAACGCTCGCTGCAGAAAAACTCCATGTCCTATTTGAAAAAAGTCTGGACCATGAGTGAGGGCACAAACACAGCTAAGATATATCCAAATGGCAAGTTGCTCCTCCTTTCGCTTTTGCCGAAAGAGCAGTGCGTTTGAGCCATTGAATGATGAACAGGAAAAACTTGACTTTATTCTCCTGCCATGGGGGGGGCGCTCTTTTAAAGAGAAAAAACTCCTTCACAAATGTGTTGATGGCTGGACATTGCATCATCCTAGAAAACATGGAGGCCAGTGAGGACAAAAATAAAAAGTTATAAGACTTTTAAATATGTGGATTTTAGGGTTATATTTGGCGCCCCCTAGAACCTAAACCGTGGGGTGCAGCGTCATGATTTGAATAACTTTTAATGGCCATGGGGTGTAGATTGGCCTGAGCAAATGTGGTGCCGGTGGAACGAAAGCCTTCGGAGGAATTAGCGAAATTCCAATGTGTGCGAATCTGCAAAAAATGCGAAATAACCCTTTAACCGTACATTTTACAGATACGTGGCCATTGACTTTTTCGAAGATCTTATTGAAATACACGTGTATGTAAAATTTTGTGTCAATACGACAAAACATAAAGGCGTAGCACTCAACAATGTGTATTTTCACCTTAGTGGACAAGAAAAAATTGACTTTTTTCTCCTGCCATGGGGGGCGCTCTTTTGCCGAGTAAAAATTCCTTCACAAATGTGTTGATGGCTGGACATTGCATCATCCTAGAAAACTTGGAGGCCAGTGAGGGCAAAAATAAAAAGTTATAAGACTTTTAAATATGTGGATCTTAGGGTTATCTTTGGCTCCCCCTAGAACCTAAACCGTGGGGTGCAGCGTCATGATTTGAATAACTTTTAATGGCCATGGGGTGTAGATTGGCCTGAGCAAATGTGGTGCCGGTGGAACGAAAGCCTTCGGAGGAGTTAGCGAAATTCCAATGTGTGCGGATCGGCAAAAAATGCGGAATAACCCTTTAACCGTACATTTGACAGATACGCGCGCATTGACTTTTTCGTAGATCTTATTGAGATACATGTGTGTGTCAATTTTTGTGTCATTTTGCCAAAGCGTACAGGTGTTACACTCAACAATGTGTATTTTCACCTTAGGGGACAAGAAAAAATGGACTTTTTTCTCCTGCCATGGGGGGGCGCTCTTTTGGGGAGTAAAAATTCCTTCACAAATGTGTTGATGGCTGGACATTGCATCATCCTAGAAAACTTGGAGGCCAGTGAGGGCAAAAATAAAAAGTTATAAGACTTTTAAATATGTGGATCTTAGGGTTATCTTTGGCGCCCCCTAGAACCTAAACCGTGGGGTGCAGCGTCATGATTTGAATAACTTTTAATGGCCATGGGGTGTAGATTGGCCTGAGCAAATGTGGTGCCGGTGGAACGAAAGCCTTCGGAGGAGTTAGCGAAATTCCAATGTGTGCGGATCGGCAAAAAATGCGAAATAACCCTTTAACCGTACATTTGACAGATACGCCCGCACTGACTTTTTTGTAGATCTTATTGAGATACATGTGTGTGTCAATTTTTGTGTCATTTTGACAAAGCGTACAGGCGTGACAGTGAATAGTGTGAATTTTCACCTTAGGGGGCGCTATGGAGCCATTTTGCATTTTCTTGTTTGGGCGACTTCGGAATATCAAATTTTTCACCAGGCCCGGTCGTCCTGCCAAATTTCATGAGTTTTCGCCAGTGGGAAGTGGGCCATTTTCCAGTTCAAAGGGGAGGAAAAATAATAATAATAATAACAAAAGAAGGAAACTACAGAAACAAGAGGGCTCTCGCAGCTGCTTAGCAGCTACGCTCGGGCCCTAACTAGGACCCCGTTGGGGCACTGGCGGGCCCGAGCCGTGTCGCGTCCCCCCCCCCCAACGTGCTGCCTCCCCGTCCCATTTGTGTCCTCTGGCCATCGCCCTCTCTGGTAACGCCCATCACTGCAAAGACCCTTTTCCTTCATCGGCGTTTGCTGTTCTTCCTGCCAGTGCGTGTTGCTTTCACTTACACTTGCCACAGCCAGCCTCGTGAGTGCCTAGCCTATTGGATATCACTGTCACCTACACAGGACAGTCATTACCTTTCTATTAATACTTTGTGTTTTAATTTCACATTAATTTCCATATTGTATAAACGACTGGAAAAAACTTGAGCCCCTGCCCCTGTATAATCATGTGCATGTCTCTGTTCTAGCTCCAAGGTGAATCTTCACTGCTCATGTTCTCCTCAGAAGCACTCACCTCACTCCCCTCAGGTTACTGTACACATGCACCAACTGCCTGCTTCAGGTTTGGATGGAGCTTCATGGTTGTCTTTTGGAGAAATGACCAGTCAAGTTGTGTTTGAAATTTGATTTTTTTCAGGGGAAAAAGGAGCCTCTGCATTCTTGTCAAATATGTAAATAGCATGTTTTTGCAGGTGCTAAAAACCAGACTCTGAGTGTGTGTGTGTGTGTGTGTGTGTGCGTGTGTGTGTGTGCGTTCAAGTCACATGACATATTTAACCGGATGTAGCTGCAAGACGGAGCCTCGTTGACTCTCCGTTTCAACTTATCTCAAAAGTGAGGACCTCAACCTATATACCAGTTTTTAAATTGTGTTGATAGGCCAAATAAAACCAGAGTTATGATAAATTATGTCCGCGATACTTTTTTTCTGCTTATTTTGATCACGTTCGGCGCTCGATCGCGCTGTATGAGACAGGAAAACATAGCATGCAGACATTAGCGACAGGTCTTACAGGCGGAAAAGGCTTGCCAAAAGAAAAAAAAAACACACCACAACATCTCTCCTATTGGTGGAAAACTTCACCACAACAACCAATCCAAAATTATATGGTGACTGATTGACAAGGGGCGGGTGCTTACGTTCTTCCTGCAACATGAGAAGGGAGGGAGGGACTCTCAGCAGGGATGCAGTCTGGGACACGTAGTTGCAAACCTAGCGACTTTGTTGTTAGATTCAATGACTTTTCAGACCCCCTAACGACTTTTTTTTAGAAAGAAAGGGACTTTTATCGACTTCTTCTGGAGTTTAGAGACTCTGACATGAAGCAGGCTTTCCTTACTGAGGAGTTAGCAACGCTGCTAAGGGTGCAGAGCCACACATGCGCTCAGAGCTCTGCATGGAAGACTGAAGCTGACAGAGCTGCAGCAGTTAGCAGGTTTCACCCTCAGAGACCACCAGGGGTTCATGTTGAGGCATTTTAATTTTTTTTTTTTTTTTGTGCCATAGACACTGTCAGCACAATCTGCAGTTACACTAACAAAAATGCTGCAAAAAACAAAGAATTATGGAAAAATTACACATGGACTGACATAGAGGAGGATCTACACAAGTTTTTTACATCATGTTTTACATCATGCATCATTTACATCATGTTTTTTTGTAGTGGCATAAATAAAAAGTGACATTTGTGAGACTATACAGTGTTTTGTAAATAATTTTACAAAGAACGCCTGGGCCATTGCCTGCATTTTGATGAAAATAGAGGTAAATCACTATGTTCTTTGTTAAAAATTTGCATATGTTTTGAAGTTTACAATTTTTATTTGAAGTTTAAGTTTTAAAAACAGTTCATCACACATATTTGTGGTTTTCACAGTAAAAATGTTACTTTTTTCCACTCGGATTTTATGTTTTGTGTGTGAATTTGGGTCCATTGTGTAAATTCAGTATGTCAACATGATAAAATAACTGTAAATTCGCACAGGTGAGGTTGTGCTGAAAAAAATGATACCAGGCAAGGCACGTGATTGTCAAATTTTGTGTCAATATGACAAAGCGTATAGGCGTGAATCTCAACAATATGTATTTTCACCTTAAGGGACAAGAAAAAATGGACTTTTTTCTCCTGCCATGGGGGGGCGCTCTTTTGGGGAGTAAAAATTCCTTCACAAATGTGTTGATGGCTGGACATTGCATCATCCTAGAAAACTTGGAGGCCAGTGAGGACAAAAATAAAAAGTTATAAGACTTTGAAATATGTGGATTTTAGGGTTATCTTTGGCGCCCCCTAGAACCTAAACCGTGGGGTGCAGCGTCATGATTTGAATAACTTTTAATGGCCATGGGGTGTAGATTGGCCTGAGCAAATGTGGTGCCGGTGGAACGAAAGCCTTAGGAGGAGTTAGCCACATTCCAATGTGTGCGGATCGGCAAAAAATGCGGAATAACCCTTTAACCGTACATTTGACAGATACGCGCACATTGACTTTTTCGTAGATCTTATTGAGTTACATGTGTGTGTCAATTTTTGTGTCATTTTGACAAAGCGTATAGGCGTGACACTCAACAATGTGTATTTTCACCTTAGGGGACAAGAAAAAATGGACTTTTTTCTCCTGCCATGGGGGGGCGCTCTTTTGGGGAGTAAAAATTCCTTCACAAATGTGTTGATGGCTGGACATTGCATCATCCTAGAAAACTTGGAGGCCAGTGAGGACAAAAATAAAAAGTTATAAGACTTTTAAATATGTGGATTTTAGTGTTATCTTTGGCGCCCCCTAGAACCTAAACCTTGGGGTGCAGCGTCATGATTTTGATAACTTTTAATGGCCACGGGGTGTAGATTGGCCTGAGCAAATGTGGTGCCGGTGGAACGAAAGCCTTCAGAGGAGTTAGCGAAATTCCAATGTGTGCGGATCGGCAAAAAATGCGAAATAACCCTTTAACCGTAATTTTGACAGATACGGCCGCACTGACTTTTTTGTAGATCTTATTGAGATACATATGTGTGTCAATTTTTGTGTCAATATGACAAAGCGTACAGGCGTGACAGTCAATAGTGTGAATTTCCACCTTAGGGGGCGCTATGGAGCCATTTTGCATTTTATTGTTTGGGCGACTTCAGAATATCGAATTTTTCACCAGGCCCGGTCGTCCTGCCAAATTTCATGAGTTTTCGCCAGTGGGAAGTGGGCCATTTTCCAGTTCAAAGGGGAGGAAAAAGAAAAAAGAAAGAAAGAAACAAAGAAAAACCACTTGGGGAATAATAGGGCCTACGCCCGGCTGCTCTGCAGCTGGCTCGGGCCCTAACTAGGACCCCGGTGGGGCACTGTCGGGCCCGAGCCGCGTCGCGCCACCCCCAGCGCGACCGCCTCCCCCTCCCGATCGCGTCACACTCAAGGTCCAAAGATGGTGTGCGCACTTGTCTGTGGTCATTTCCCATTATAATGAATGGGAGGCGCAGTTTCTACCAAAACACTCGCTGCAGACAAACTTCATGTCCTATTTGAAAAAAGTCTGGACCATGAGCGAGGGCACAAACACAGCTATGATATATCGAAATGGCAGGTTGCTCCTCCTTACGGTGTTGCCTGGAGAGCGATGCGATTGAGCCATTGAGCGATGGGCAGGGTTAACTTGACTTTTTCTCCTGCCTTGGGGGGGGGGGGGGGGGGGGTGGATTCCTTTAAGAATGTGGATTTTTGGGTCATCTTTGGCGCCCCCTAGAACTGCAGTACTCTGTACTCCTGCAGTGGCCAAAATGACTTTTAAGAATGTGGATTTTTGGGTCATCTTTGGCGCCCCCTAGAACGTAAACCGTGGGGTGCAGCGTCATGATTTTTACAACTTTGAATGGGCATGGGGTGTAGATTGCCCTGAGCAAATTTGGTATCGGTGGGACGAAAGCCTTAGGAGGAGATAGCCACATTCCAATGTGTGCGAATCGGCAAAAAATGCGAAATAGCCCTTTAACCGTACATCATACAGATACGCGCTTTTTGACTTTTTCGTAGATCTAATTGAGATACACATGATTGTCAATTTTTGTGTCAATATGACAAAGCGTTCAGGCGTGACACTCAACAATGTGTATTTTCATGTAAGGGGACAAGAAAAAATTGACTTTTTTCTCCTGCCATGGGGGGGCGCTCTTTTGGGGAGTAAAAATTCCTTCACAAATGTGTTGATGGCTGGACATTGCATCATCCTAGAAAACTTGGAGGGCAGTGAGGACAAAAATAAAAAGTTATAAGACTTTTAAGAATGTGGATTTTGGGTTATCTTTGGCGCCCCCTAGAACGTAAACCGTGGGGTGCAGCGTCATGATTTGTACAACTTTTAATGGCCATGGGGGGTAGATTGGCCTGCGCAAATGTGGTGCCGGTCGAACGAAAGCCTTCGGAGGAGTTAGCGAAATTCCAATGTGTGCAGATCTGCAAAAAATGCAAAATAACCCATTAACCGTACATTTGACAGATACGCCCGCACTGACTTTTTTGTAGATCTTATTGAGATACATGTGTGTGTCAATTTTTGTGTCAATATGACAAAGCGTAAAGGCGTGACAGTCAATAGTGTGAATTTTCACCTTAGGGGGCGCTATGGAGCCATTTTGCATTTTATTGTTTGGGCGACTTCAGAATATCGAATTTTTCACCAGGCCCGGTCGTCCTGCCAAATTTCATGAGTTTTCGCCAGTGGGAAGTGGGCCATTTTCCAGTTTAAAGCGGAGGAAAAATAATAATAATAATAATAATAACAAAAGAAGAATCCATCAGGAACAAGAGGGCTCTCGCAGCTGCTTAGCAGCTACGCTCGGGCCCTAAAAAGTTATAAGACTTTTAAATATGTGGATTTTAGGGTTATCTTTGGCGCCCCCTAGAACCTAAACCGTGGGGTGCAGCGTCATGATTTGAATAACTTTTAATGGCCATGGGGTGTAGATTGGCCTGAGCAAATGTGGTGCCGGTGGAACGAAAGCCTTCAAAAGGAGTTAGCGAAATTCCAATGTGTGCGAATCTGCAAAAAATGCGAAATCACCCTTTAACCGTACATTTTACAGATACGTGGCCATTGACTTTTTCGAAGATCTTATTGAAAGACACGTGTATGTAAAATTTTGTGTCAATACGACAAAACATACAGGCGTAGCACTCAACAATGTGTATTTTCACCTTAGTGGACAAGAAAAAATGGACTTTTTTCTCCTGCCATGGGGGGGCGCTCTTTTGGCGAGTAAAAATTCCTTCACAAATGTGTTGATGGCTGGACATTGCATCATCCTAGAAAACTTGGAGGCCAGTTGGGACAAAAATAAAAAGTTATAAGACTTTTAAATATGTGGATTTTACGGTTATCTTTGGCGCCCCCTAGAACCTAAACCGTGGGGTGCAGCGTCATGATTTGAATAACTTTTAATGGCCATGGGGTGTAGATTGGCCTGAGAAAATGTGGTGCCGGTGGAACGAAAGCCTTCGGAGGAGTTAGCGAAATTCCAATGTGTGCGGATCGGCAAAAAATGCGGAATAACCTTTTAACCGTACATTTGACAGATACGTGCGCATTGACTTTTTTGTAGATCTTATCTAGATACATGTGTGTGTCAATTTTGGTGTCATTTTGCCAAAGCGTACAGGTGTTACACTCAACAATGTGTATTTTCACCTTAGGGGACAAGAAAAAATGGACTTTTTTCTCCTGCCATGGGGGGGCGCTCTTTTGGGGAGTAAAAATTCCTTCACAAATGTGTTGATGGCTGGACATTGCATCATCCTAGAAAACTTGGAGGCCAGTGAGGGCAAAAATAAAAAGTTATAAGACTTTTAAATATGTGGATCTTAGGGTTATCTTTGGCGCCCCCTAGAACCTAAACCGTGGGGTGCAGCGTCATGATTTGAATAACTTTTAATGGCCATGGGGTGTAGATTGGCCTGAGCAAATGTGGTGCCGGTGGAACGAAAGCCTTCGGAGGAGTTAGCGAAATTCCAATGTGTGCGGATCTGCAAAAAATGCGAAATAACCCTTTAACCGTACATTTGACAGATACGCCCGCACAGACTTTTTTGTAGATCTTATTGAGATACATGTGTGTGTCAATTTTTGTGTCATTTTGACAAAGCGTACAGGCGTGACAGTGAATAGTGTGAATTTTCACCTTAGGGGGCGCTATGGAGCCATTTTGCATTTTCTTGTTTGGGCGACTTCGGAATATCAAATTTTTCACCAGGCCCGGTCGTCCTGCCAAATTTCATGAGTTTTCGCCAGTGGGAAGTGGGCCATTTTCCAGTTCAAAGGGGAGGAAAAATAATAACTAGGACCCCGTTGGGGCACTGGCGGGCCCGAGCTGTGTCGCGTCCCCCCCCCAACGCGCTGCCTCCCCGTCCCATTTGTGTCCTCTGGCCATCGCCCTCTTTGGTAACGCCCATCACTGCAAAGACCCTTTTCCTTCATCGGCGTTTGCTGTTCTTCCTGCCAGTGCGTGTTGCTTTCACTTACACTTGCCACAGCCAGCCTCGTGAGTGCCTAGCCTATTGGATATCACTGTCACCTACACAGGACAGTCATTACCTTTCTATTAATACTTTGTTTTTTAATTTCACAAATAATTTCCAAATTGTATAAACGACTGGAAAAAACTTGAGCCCCTGCCCCTGTATAATCATGTGCACGTCTCTGTTCTAGCTCTAAGGTAAATCTTCACTGCTCATGTTCTCCTCAGAAGCAGTCACCTCACTCCCCTCAGGTTACTGTACACATGCACCAACTGCCTGCTTCAGGTTTGGATGGAGCTTCATGGTTGTCTTTTGGAGAAATGACCAGTCAAGTTGTGTTTGAAATTTGATTTTTTTCAGGGGCAAAAGGAGCCTCTGCATTCTTGTCAAATATGTAAATAGCATGTTTTTGCAGGTGCTAAAAACCAGACTCTGAGTGTGTGTGTGTGTGTGTGTGTGTGTGCGTGTGTGTGTGTCTGTGTGTGCGTTCAAGTCACATGACATATTTAACCGGATGTAGCTGCAAGACGGAGCCTCGTTGACTCTCCGTTTCAATTTATCTCAAAAGTGAGGACCTCAACCTATATACCAGTTTTTAAATTGTGTTGATAGGCCAAATAAAACCAGAGTTATGATAAATTATGTCCGCGATACTTTTTTTCTGCTTATTTTGATCACGTTCGGCGCTCGACCGCGCTGTATGAGACAGGAAAACATAGCATGCAGACATTAGCGACAGGTCTTACAGGCGGAAAAGGCTTGCCAAAAGAAAAAAAAACACACCACAACATCTCTCCTATTGGTGGAAAACTTCACCACAACAACCAATCCAAAATTATATGGTGACTGATTGACAAGGGGCGGGCGCTTACGTTCTTCCTGCAACATGAGAAGGGAGGGAGGGACTCTCAGCAGGGATGCAGTCTGGGACACGTAGTTGCAAACCTAGCGACTTTGTTGTTAGATTCAATGACTTTTCAGACCCCCTAACGACTTTTTTTTAGAAAGAAAGGGACTTTTATCGACTTCTTCTGGAGTTTAGAGACTCTGACATGAAGCAGGCTTTCCTTACTGAGGAGTTAGCAACGCTGCTAAGGGTGCAGAGCCACACATGTGCTCAGAGCTCTGCATGGGAGACTGAAGCTGACAGAGCTGCAGCAGTTAGCAGGTTTCACCCTCAGAGACCACCAGGGGTTCATGTTGAGGCATTTTAATTTTTTTTTTTTTGTGCCATAGACACTGTCAGCACAATCTGCAGTTACACTAACAAAAATGCTGCAAAAAACAAAGAATTATGGAAAAATTACACATGGACTGACATAGAGGAGGATCTACACAAGTTTTTTACATCATGTTTTACATCATGCATCATTTACATCATGTTTTTTTTGTAGTGGCATAAATAAAAAGTGACATTTGTGAGACTATACAGTGTTTTGTAAATAATTTTACAAAGAACGCCTGGGCCATTGCCTGCATTTTGATGTAAATAGAGGTAAATCACTATGTTCTTTGTTAAAAATTTGCATATGTTTTGAAGTTTACAATTTTTATTTGAAGTTTAAGTTTTAAAAACAGTTCATCACACATATTTTTGGTTTTCACAGTAAAAATGTTACTTTTTTCCACTCGGATTTTATGTTTTGTGTGTGAATTTGGGTCCATTGTGTAAATTCAGTATGTCAACATGATAAAATAACTGTAAATTCGCACAGGTGAGGTTGTGCTGAAAAAAATGATACCAGGCAAGGCACGTGATTGTCAAATTTTGTGTCAATATGACAAAGCGTATAGGCGTGAATCTCAACAATATGTATTTTCACCTTAGGGGACAAGAAAAAATGGACTTTTTTCTGCTGCCATGGGGGGGCGCTCTTTTGGGGAGTAAAAATTCCTTCACAAATGTGTTGATGGCTGGACATTGCATCATCCTAGAAAACTTGGAGGCCAGTGAGGACAAAAATAAAAAGTTATAAGACTTTTAAATATGTGGATTTTAGGGTTATCTTTGGCGCCCCCTAGAACCTAAACCGTGGGGTGCAGCGTCATGATTTGAATAACTTTTAATGGCCATGGGGTGTAGATTGGCCTGAGCAAATGTGGTGCCGGTGGAACGAAAGCCTTAGGAGGAGTTAGCCACATTCCAATGTGTGCGGATCGGCAAAAAATGCGGAATAACCCTTTAACCGTACATTTGACAGATACGCGCGCATTGACTTTTTCGTAGATCTTATTGAGTTACATGTGTGTGTCAATTTTTGTGTCATTTTGACAAAGCGTATAGGCGTGACACTCAATAATGTGTATTTTCACCTTAGGGGACAAGAAAAAATGGACTTTTTTCTCCTGCCATGGGGGGGCGCTCTTTTGGGGAGTAAAAATTCCTTCACAAATGTGTTGATGGCTGGACATTGCATCATCCTAGAAAACTTGGAGGCCAGTGAGGGCAAAAATAAAAAGTTATAAGACTTTTAAATATGTGGATTTTAGTGTTATCTTTGGCGCCCCCTAGAACCTAAACCTTGGGGTGCAGCGTCATGATTTTGATAACTTTTAATGGCCACGGGGTGTAGATTGGCCTGAGCAAATGTGGTGCCGGTGGAACGAAAGCCTTCGGAGGAGTTAGCGAAATTCCAATGTGTGCGGATCGGAAAAAAATGCGAAATAACCCTTTAACCGTAATTTTGACAGATACGGCCGCACTGACTTTTTTGTAGATCTTATTGAGATACATATGTGTGTCAATTTTTGTGTCAATATGACAAAGCGTACAGGCGTGACAGTCAATAGTGTGAATTTCCACCTTAGGGGGCGCTATGGAGCCATTTTGCATTTTATTGTTTGGGCGACTTCAGAATATCGAATTTTTCACCAGGCCCGGTCGTCCTGCCAAATTTCATGAGTTTTCGCCAGTGGGAAGTGGGCCATTTTCCAGTTCAAAGGGGAGGAAAAAGAAGAAAGAAAGAAAGAAAGAAAGAAAGAAAGAAACAAAGAAAAACCACTTGGGGAATAATAGGGCCTACGCCCGGCTGCTCTGCAGCTGGCTCGGGCCCTAACTAGGACCCCGTTGGGGCACTGGCGGGCCCGAGCTGTGTCGCGTCCCCCCCCCAACGCGCTGCCTCCCCGTCCCATTTGTGTCCTCTGGCCATCGCCCTCTTTGGTAACGCCCATCACTGCAAAGACCCTTTTCCTTCATCGGCGTTTGCTGTTCTTCCTGCCAGTGCGTGTTGCTTTCACTTACACTTGCCACAGCCAGCCTCGTGAGTGCCTAGCCTATTGGATATCACTGTCACCTACACAGGACAGTCATTACCTTTCTATTAATACTTTGTTTTTTAATTTCACAAATAATTTCCAAATTGTATAAACGACTGGAAAAAACTTGAGCCCCTGCCCCTGTATAATCATGTGCACGTCTCTGTTCTAGCTCTAAGGTAAATCTTCACTGATCATGTTCTCCTCAGAAGCAGTCACCTCACTCCCCTCAGGTTACTGTACACATGCACCAACTGCCTGCTTCAGGTTTGGATGGAGCTTCATGGTTGTCTTTTGGAGAAATGACCAGTCAAGTTGTGTTTGAAATTTGATTTTTTTCAGGGGCAAAAGGAGCCTCTGCATTCTTGTCAAATATGTAAATAGCATGTTTTTGCAGGTGCTAAAAACCAGACTCTGAGTGTGTGTGTGTGTGTGTGTGTGTGTGCGTGTGTGTGTGTCTGTGTGTGCGTTCAAGTCACATGACATATTTAACCGGATGTAGCTGCAAGACGGAGCCTCGTTGACTCTCCGTTTCAATTTATCTCAAAAGTGAGGACCTCAACCTATATACCAGTTTTTAAATTGTGTTGATAGGCCAAATAAAACCAGAGTTATGATAAATTATGTCCGCGATACTTTTTTTCTGCTTATTTTGATCACGTTCGGCGCTCGACCGCGCTGTATGAGACAGGAAAACATAGCATGCAGACATTAGCGACAGGTCTTACAGGCGGAAAAGGCTTGCCAAAAGAAAAAAAAACACACCACAACATCTCTCCTATTGGTGGAAAACTTCACCACAACAACCAATCCAAAATTATATGGTGACTGATTGACAAGGGGCGGGCGCTTACGTTCTTCCTGCAACATGAGAAGGGAGGGAGGGACTCTCAGCAGGGATGCAGTCTGGGACACGTAGTTGCAAACCTAGCGACTTTGTTGTTAGATTCAATGACTTTTCAGACCCCCTAACGACTTTTTTTTAGAAAGAAAGGGACTTTTATCGACTTCTTCTGGAGTTTAGAGACTCTGACATGAAGCAGGCTTTCCTTACTGAGGAGTTAGCAACGCTGCTAAGGGTGCAGAGCCACACATGTGCTCAGAGCTCTGCATGGGAGACTGAAGCTGACAGAGCTGCAGCAGTTAGCAGGTTTCACCCTCAGAGACCACCAGGGGTTCATGTTGAGGCATTTTAATTTTTTTTTTTTTTTGTGCCATAGACACTGTCAGCACAATCTGCAGTTACACTAACAAAAATGCTGCAAAAAACAAAGAATTATGGAAAAATTACACATGGACTGACATAGAGGAGGATCTACACAAGTTTTTTACATCATGTTTTACATCATGCATCATTTACATCATGTTTTTTTTGTAGTGGCATAAATAAAAAGTGACATTTGTGAGACTATACAGTGTTTTGTAAATAATTTTACAAAGAACGCCTGGGCCATTGCCTGCATTTTGATGTAAATAGAGGTAAATCACTATGTTCTTTGTTAAAAATTTGCATATGTTTTGAAGTTTACAATTTTTATTTGAAGTTTAAGTTTTAAAAACAGTTCATCACACATATTTTTGGTTTTCACAGTAAAAATGTTACTTTTTTCCACTCGGATTTTATGTTTTGTGTGTGAATTTGGGTCCATTGTGTAAATTCAGTATGTCAACATGATAAAATAACTGTAAATTCGCACAGGTGAGGTTGTGCTGAAAAAAATGATACCAGGCAAGGCACGTGATTGTCAAATTTTGTGTCAATATGACAAAGCGTATAGGCGTGAATCTCAACAATATGTATTTTCACCTTAGGGGACAAGAAAAAATGGACTTTTTTCTGCTGCCATGGGGGGCGCTCTTTTGGGGAGTAAAAATTCCTTCACAAATGTGTTGATGGCTGGACATTGCATCATCCTAGAAAACTTGGAGGCCAGTGAGGACAAAAATAAAAAGTTATAAGACTTTTAAATATGTGGATTTTAGGGTTATCTTTGGCGCCCCCTAGAACCTAAACCGTGGGGTGCAGCGTCATGATTTGAATAACTTTTAATGGCCATGGGGTGTAGATTGGCCTGAGCAAATGTGGTGCCGGTGGAACGAAAGCCTTAGGAGGAGTTAGCCACATTCCAATGTGTGCGGATCGGCAAAAAATGCGGAATAACCCTTTAACCGTACATTTGACAGATACGCGCGCATTGACTTTTTCGTAGATCTTATTGAGTTACATGTGTGTGTCAATTTTTGTGTCATTTTGACAAAGCGTATAGGCGTGACACTCAATAATGTGTATTTTCACCTTAGGGGACAAGAAAAAATGGACTTTTTTCTCCTGCCATGGGGGGGCGCTCTTTTGGGGAGTAAAAATTCCTTCACAAATGTGTTGATGGCTGGACATTGCATCATCCTAGAAAACTTGGAGGCCAGTGAGGGCAAAAATAAAAAGTTATAAGACTTTTAAATATGTGGATTTTAGTGTTATCTTTGGCGCCCCCTAGAACCTAAACCGTGGGGTGCAGCGTCATGATTTGAATAACTTTTAATGGCCATGGGGTGTAGATTGGCCTGAGCAAATGTGGTGCCGGTGGAACGAAAGCCTTCGGAGGAGTTAGCGAAATTCCAATGTGTGCGGATCTGCAAAAAATGCGAAATAACCCTTTAACCGTACATTTGACAGATACGCCCGCACAGACTTTTTTGTAGATCTTATTGAGATACATGTGTGTGTCAATTTTTGTGTCATTTTGACAAAGCGTACAGGCGTGACAGTGAATAATGTGAATTTTCACCTTAGGGGGCGCTATGGAGCCATTTTGCATTTTCTTGTTTGGGCGACTTCGGAATATCAAATTTTTCACCAGGCCCGGTCGTCCTGCCAAATTTCATGAGTTTTCGCCAGTGGGAAGTGGGCCATTTTCCAGTTCAAAGGGGAGGAAAAATAATAACTAGGACCCCGTTGGGGCACTGGCGGGCCCGAGCTGTGTCGCGTCCCCCCCCAACGCGCTGCCTCCCCGTCCCATTTGTGTCCTCTGGCCATCGCCCTCTTTGGTAACGCCCATCACTGCAAAGACCCTTTTCCTTCATCGGCGTTTGCTGTTCTTCCTGCCAGTGCGTGTTGCTTTCACTTACACTTGCCACAGCCAGCCTCGTGAGTGCCTAGCCTATTGGATATCACTGTCACCTACACAGGACAGTCATTACCTTTCTATTAATACTTTGTTTTTTAATTTCACAAATAATTTCCAAATTGTATAAACGACTGGAAAAAACTTGAGCCCCTGCCCCTGTATAATCATGTGCACGTCTCTGTTCTAGCTCTAAGGTAAATCTTCACTGCTCATGTTCTCCTCAGAAGCAGTCACCTCACTCCCCTCAGGTTACTGTACACATGCACCAACTGCCTGCTTCAGGTTTGGATGGAGCTTCATGGTTGTCTTTTGGAGAAATGACCAGTCAAGTTGTGTTTGAAATTTGATTTTTTTCAGGGGCAAAAGGAGCCTCTGCATTCTTGTCAAATATGTAAATAGCATGTTTTTGCAGGTGCTAAAAACCAGACTCTGAGTGTGTGTGTGTGTGTGTGTGTGTGTGTGCGTGTGTGTGTGTCTGTGTGTGCGTTCAAGTCACATGACATATTTAACCGGATGTAGCTGCAAGACGGAGCCTCGTTGACTCTCCGTTTCAATTTATCTCAAAAGTGAGGACCTCAACCTATATACCAGTTTTTAAATTGTGTTGATAGGCCAAATAAAACCAGAGTTATGATAAATTATGTCCGCGATACTTTTTTTCTGCTTATTTTGATCACGTTCGGCGCTCGACCGCGCTGTATGAGACAGGAAAACATAGCATGCAGACATTAGCGACAGGTCTTACAGGCGGAAAAGGCTTGCCAAAAGAAAAAAAAACACACCACAACATCTCTCCTATTGGTGGAAAACTTCACCACAACAACCAATCCAAAATTATATGGTGACTGATTGACAAGGGGCGGGCGCTTACGTTCTTCCTGCAACATGAGAAGGGAGGGAGGGACTCTCAGCAGGGATGCAGTCTGGGACACGTAGTTGCAAACCTAGCGACTTTGTTGTTAGATTCAATGACTTTTCAGACCCCCTAACGACTTTTTTTAGAAAGAAAGGGACTTTTATCGACTTCTTCTGGAGTTTAGAGACTCTGACATGAAGCAGGCTTTCCTTACTGAGGAGTTAGCAACGCTGCTAAGGGTGCAGAGCCACACATGTGCTCAGAGCTCTGCATGGGAGACTGAAGCTGACAGAGCTGCAGCAGTTAGCAGGTTTCACCCTCAGAGACCACCAGGGGTTCATGTTGAGGCATTTTAATTTTTTTTTTTTTTTGCCATAGACACTGTCAGCACAATCTGCAGTTACACTAACAAAAATGCTGCAAAAAAAAAAGAATTATGGAAAAATTACACATGGACTGACATAGAGGAGGATCTACACAAGTTTTTTACATCATGTTTTACATCATGCATCATTTACATCATGTTTTTTTTGTAGTGGCATAAATAAAAAGTGACATTTGTGAGACTATACAGTGTTTTGTAAATAATTTTACAAAGAACGCCTGGGCCATTGCCTGCATTTTGATGTAAATAGAGGTAAATCACTATGTTCTTTGTTAAAAATTTGCATATGTTTTGAAGTTTACAATTTTTATTTGAAGTTTAAGTTTTAAAAACAGTTCATCACACATATTTTTGGTTTTCACAGTAAAAATGTTACTTTTTTCCACTCGGATTTTATGTTTTGTGTGTGAATTTGGGTCCATTGTGTAAATTCAGTATGTCAACATGATAAAATAACTGTAAATTCGCACAGGTGAGGTTGTGCTGAAAAAAATGATACCAGGCAAGGCACGTGATTGTCAAATTTTGTGTCAATATGACAAAGCGTATAGGCGTGAATCTCAACAATATGTATTTTCACCTTAGGGGACAAGAAAAAATGGACTTTTTTCTGCTGCCATGGGGGGGCGCTCTTTTGGGGAGTAAAAATTCCTTCACAAATGTGTTGATGGCTGGACATTGCATCATCCTAGAAAACTTGGAGGCCAGTGAGGACAAAAATAAAAAGTTATAAGACTTTTAAATATGTGGATTTTAGGGTTATCTTTGGCGCCCCCTAGAACCTAAACCGTGGGGTGCAGCGTCATGATTTGAATAACTTTTAATGGCCATGGGGTGTAGATTGGCCTGAGCAAATGTGGTGCCGGTGGAACGAAAGCCTTAGGAGGAGTTAGCCACATTCCAATGTGTGCGGATCGGCAAAAAATGCGGAATAACCCTTTAACCGTACATTTGACAGATACGCGCGCATTGACTTTTTCGTAGATCTTATTGAGTTACATGTGTGTGTCAATTTTTGTGTCATTTTGACAAAGCGTATAGGCGTGACACTCAATAATGTGTATTTTCACCTTAGGGGACAAGAAAAAATGGACTTTTTTCTCCTGCCATGGGGGGGCGCTCTTTTGGGGAGTAAAAATTCCTTCACAAATGTGTTGATGGCTGGACATTGCATCATCCTAGAAAACTTGGAGGCCAGTGAGGGCAAAAATAAAAAGTTATAAGACTTTTAAATATGTGGATTTTAGTGTTATCTTTGGCGCCCCCTAGAACCTAAACCTTGGGGTGCAGCGTCATGATTTTGATAACTTTTAATGGCCACGGGGTGTAGATTGGCCTGAGCAAATGTGGTGCCGGTGGAACGAAAGCCTTCGGAGGAGTTAGCGAAATTCCAATGTGTGCGGATCGGAAAAAAATGCGAAATAACCCTTTAACCGTAATTTTGACAGATACGGCCGCACTGACTTTTTTGTAGATCTTATTGAGATACATATGTGTGTCAATTTTTGTGTCAATATGACAAAGCGTACAGGCGTGACAGTCAATAGTGTGAATTTCCACCTTAGGGGGCGCTATGGAGCCATTTTGCATTTTATTGTTTGGGCGACTTCAGAATATGGAATTTTTCACCAGGCCCGGTCGTCCTGCCAAATTTCATGAGTTTTCGCCAGTGGGAAGTGGGCCATTTTCCAGTTCAAAGGGGAGGAAAAAGAAGAACTAGGACCCCGTTGGGGCACTGGCGGGCCCGAGCCGTGTCGCGTCCCCCCCCCCCCCCCACGTGCTGCCTCCCCGTCCCATTTGTGTCCTCTGGCCATCGCCCTCTCTGGTAACGCCCATCACTGCAAAGACCCTTTTCCTTCATCGGCGTTTGCTGTTCTTCCTGCCAGTGCGTGTTGCTTTCACTTACACTTGCCACAGCCAGCCTCGTGAGTGCCTAGCCTATTGGATATCACTGTCACCTACACAGGACAGTCATTACCTTTCTATTAATATTTGTGTTTTAATTTCACATTAATTTCCATATTGTATAAACGACTGGAAAAAACTTGAGCCCCTGCCCCTGTATAATCATGTGCATGTCTCTGTTCTAGCTCCAAGGTGAATCTTCACTGCTCATGTTCTCCTCAGAAGCACTCACCTCACTCCCCTCAGGTTACTGTACACATGCACCAACTGCCTGCTTCAGGTTTGGATGGAGCTTCATGGTTGTCTTTTGGAGAAATGACCAGTCAAGTTGTGTTTGAAATTTGATTTTTTTCAGGGGCAAAAGGAGCCTCTGCATTCTTGTCAAATATGTAAATAGCATGTTTTTGCAGGTGCTAAAAACCAGACTCTGAGTGTGTGTGTGTGTGTGTGTGTGTGTGTGTGTGTGTGTGTGTGTGTGTGTGTGTGTGTGTGTGAGTGTGTGTGTGTCTGTGTGTGCGTTCAAGTCACATGACATATTTAACCGGATGTAGCTGCAAGACGGAGCCTCGTTGACTCTCCGTTTCAACTTATCTCAAAAGTGAGGACCTCAACCTATATACCAGTTTTTAAATTGTGTTGATAGGCCAAATAAAACCAGAGTTATGATAAATTATGTCCGCGATACTTTTTTTCTGCTTATTTTGATCACGTTCGGCGCTCGATCGCGCTGTATGAGACAGGAAAACATAGCATGCAGACATTAGCGACAGCTCTTACAGGCGGAAAAGGCTTGCCAAAAGAAAAAAAAACACACCACAACATCTCTCCTATTGGTGGAAAACTTCACCACAACAACCAATCCAAAATTATATGGTGACTGATTGACAAGGGGCGGGCGCTTACGTTCTTCCTGCAACATGAGAAGGGAGGGAGGGACTCTCAGCAGGGATGCAGTCTGGGACACGTAGTTGCAAACCTAGCGACTTTGTTGTTAGATTCAATGACTTTTCAGACCCCCTAACGACTTTTTTTTAGAAAGAAAGGGACTTTTATCGACTTCTTCTGGAGTTTAGAGACTCTGACATGAAGCAGGCTTTCCTTACTGAGGAGTTAGCAACGCTGCTAAGGGTGCAGAGCCACACATGCGCTCAGAGCTCTGCATGGGAGACTAAAGCTGACAGAGCTGCAGCAGTTAGCAGGTTTCACCCTCAGAGACCACCAGGGGTTCATGTTGAGGCATTTTAATTATTATTTTTTTTTTGTGCCATAGACACTGTCAGCACAATCTGCAGTTACACTAACAAAAATGCTGCAAAAAACAAAGAATTATGGAAAAATTACACATGGACTGACATAGAGGAGGATCTACACAAGTTTTTTACATCATGTTTTACATCATGCATCATTTACATCATGTTTTTTTGTAGTGGCATAAATAAAAAGTGACATTTGTGAGACTATACAGTGTTTTGTAAATAATTTTACAAAGAATGCCTGGGCCATTGCCTGCATTTTGATGTAAATAGAGGTAAATCACTATGTTCTTTGTTAAAAATTTGCATATGTTTTGAAGTTTACAATTTTTATTTGAAGTTTAAGTTTTAAAAACAGTTCATCACACATATTTGTGGTTTTCACAGTAAAAATGTTACTTTTTTCCACTCGGATTTTATGTTTTGTGTGTGAATTTTGGTCCATTGTGTAAATTCAGTATGTCAACATGATAAAATAACTGTAAATTCGCACAGGTGAGGTTGTGCTGAAAAAAATGATACCAGGCAAGGCACGTGATTGTCAAATTTTGTGTCAATATGACAAAGCGTATAGGCGTGAATCTCAACAATATGTATTTTCACCTTAGGGGACAAGAAAAAATGGACTTTTTTCTCCTACCATGGGGCGGCGCTCTTTTGGGGAGTAAAAATTCCTTCACAAATGTGTTGATGGCTGGACATTGCATCATCCTAGAAAACTTGGAGGCCAGTGAGGACAAAAATAAAAAGTTATAAGACTTTTAAATATGTGGATTTTAGGGTTATCTTTGGCGCCCCCTAGAACCTAAACCGTGGGGTGCAGCGTCATGATTTTGATAACTTTTAATGGCCATGGGGTGTAGATTGGCCTGAGCAAATGTGGTGCCGGTGGAACGAAAGCCTTAGGAGGAGTTAGCGAAATTCCAATGTGTGCGGATCGGCAAAAAATGCGGAATAACCCTTTAACCGTACATTTGACAGATACGCGCGCATTGACTTTTTCGTAGATCTTATTGAGTTACATGTGTGTGTCAATTTTTGTGTCATTTTGACAAAGCGTATAGGCGTGACACTCAACAATGTGTATTTTCACCTTAGGGGACAAGAAAAAATGGACTTTTTTCTCCTGCCATGGGGGGGCGCTCTTTTGGGGAGTAAAAATTCCTTCACAAATGTGTTGATGGCTGGACATTGCATCATCCTAGAAAACTTGGAGGCCAGTGAGGACAAAAATAAAAAGTTATAAGACTTTTAAATATGTGGATTTTAGTGTTATCTTTGGCGCCCCCTAGAACCTAAACCTTGGGGTGCAGCGTCATGATTTTGATAACTTTTAATGGCCACGGGGTGTAGATTGGCCTGAGCAAATGTGGTGCCGGTGGAACGAAAGCCTTCGGAGGAGTTAGCGAAATTCCAATGTGTGCGGATCGGCAAAAAATGCGAAATAACCCTTTAACCGTAATTTTGACAGATACGGCCGCACTGACTTTTTTGTAGATCTTATTGAGATACATATGTGTGTCAATTTTTGTGTCAATATGACAAAGCGTACAGGCGTGACAGTCAATAGTGTGAATTTTCACCTTAGGGGGCGCTATGGAGCCATTTTGCATTTTATTGTTTGGGCGACTTCAGAATATCAAATTTTTCACCAGGCCCGGTCGTCCTGCCAAATTTCATGAGTTTTCGCCAGTGGGAAGTGGGCCATTTTCCAGTTCAAAGGGGAGGAAAAAGAAAAAAGAAAGAAAGAAACAAAGAAAAACCACTTGGGGAATAATAGGGCCTACGCCCGGCTGCTCTGCAGCTGGCTCGGGCCCTAAAGAAAGAAAGAAAGAAAGAAAGAAAGAAACAAAGAAAAACCACTTGGGGAATAATAGGGCCTACGCCCGGCTGCTCTGCAGCTGGCTCGGGCCCTAATAATAACAAAAGAAGGAAACTACAGGAACAAGAGGGCTCTCGCAGCTGCTTAGCAGCTACGCTCGGGCCCTAACTAGGACCCCGTTGGGGCACTGGCGGGCCCGAGCTGTGTCGCGTCCCCCCCCCAACGCGCTGCCTCCCTGTCCCATTTGTTTCCTCTGGCCATCGCCCTCTCTGGTAACGCCCATCACTGCAAAGACCCTTTTCCTTCATCAGCGTTTGCTGTTCTTCCTGCCAGTGCGTGTTGCTTTCACTTACACTTGCCACAGCCAGCCTCGTGAGTGCCTAGCCTATTGGATATCACTGTCACCTACACAGGACAGTCATTACCTTTCTATTAATACTTTGTTTTTTAATTTCACATTAATTTCCATATTGTATAAACAACTGGAAAAAACTTGAGCCCCTGCCCCTGTATAATCATGTGCACGTCTCTGTTCTAGCTCTAAGGTGAATCTTCACTGCTCATTTCTCCTCAGAAGCAGTCACCTCACTCCCCTCAGGTTACTGTACACATGCACCAACTGCCTGCTTCAGGTTTGGATGGAGCTTCATGGTTGTCTTTTGGAGAAATGACCAGTCAAGTTGTGTTTGAAATTTGATTTTTTTCAGGGGCAAAAGGAGCCTCTGCATTCTTGTCAAATATGTAAATAGCATGTTTTTGCAGGTGCTAAAAACCAGACTCTGAGTGTGTGTGTGTGCGTGTGTGTGTGTGTCTGTGTGTGTGTGTGTGCGTTCAAGTCACATGACATATTTAACCGGATGTAGCTGCAAGACGGAGCCTCGTTGACTCTCCGTTTCAACTTATCTCAAAAGTGAGGACCTCAACCTATATACCAGTTTTTAAATTGTGTTGATAGGCCAAATAAAACCAGAGTTATGATAAATTATGTCCGCGATACTTGTTTTCTGCTTATTTTGATCACGTTCGGCGCTCGATCGCGCTGTATGAGACAGGAAAACATAGCATGCAGACATTAGCGACAGCTCTTACAGGCGGAAAAGGCTTGCCAAAGGAAAAAAAAAACACACCACAACATCTCTCCTATTGGTGGAAAACTTCACCACAACAACCAATCCAAAATTATATGGTGACTGATTGACAAGGGGCGGGCGCTTACGTTCTTCCTGCAATATGAGAAGGGAGGGAGGGACTCTCAGCAGGGATGCAGTCTGGGACACGTAGTTGCAAACCTAGCGACTTTGTTGTTAGATTCAATGACTTTTCAGACCCCCTAACGACTTTTTTTTAGAAAGAAAGTGACTTTTATCGACTTCTTCTGGAGTTTAGAGACTCTGACATGAAGCAGGCTTTCCTTACTGAGGAGTTAGCAACGCTGCTAAGGGTGCAGAGCCACACATGCGCTCCGAGCTCTGCATGGGAGACTGAAGCTGACAGAGCTGCAGCAGTTAGCAGGTTTCACCCTCAGAGACCACCAGGGGTTCATGTTGAGGCATTTTTAGTTTTTTTTTTTTTTTTTTTGCCATAGACACTGTCAGCACAATCTGCAGTTACACTAACAAAAATGCTGCAAAAAACAAAGAATTATGGAAAAATTACACATGGACTAACATAGAGGAGGATCTACACAAGTTTTTTACATCATGTTTTACATCATGCATCATTTACATCATGTTTTTTTGTAGTGGCATAAATAAAAAGTGACATTTGTGAGACTATACAGTGTTTTGTAAATAATTTTACAAAGAACACCTGGGCGATTGCCTGCATTTTGATGTAAATAGAGGCAAATTACTATGTTCTTTGTTAAAAATTTGCATATGTTTTGAAGTTTACAATTTTTATTTGAAGTTTAAGTTTTAAAAACAGTTCATCACACATATTTGTGGTTTTCACAGTAAAAACGTTACTTTTTTCCACTCGGATTTTATGTTTTGTGTGTGAATTTGGGTCCAATGTGTAAATATAGTATGTCAAAATGATAAAATAACTGTAAATTGACACAGGTGAGGTTGTGCTGAAAAAAATGATACTAGGCAAGGCAAGGTAAAAATTTTGTAAGAGGAAATATAAAGGTAAAATCTAAAGTAGTCAAAAACGGCCAATAGTGACTCACAGACTCCACAGACAAGTCCCTTTGGCGCCACTCAGTGGGCAAAACTACTTTGTCTACTGTAATGTATATTTGGGTCATCTTTGGCGCCCCCTAAAACGTAAACCGTGGGGTGCAGCGTCATGATTTTTACAACTTTGAATGGCCATGGAGTGTAGATTGGCCTGAGCAAATTTGGTGTCAGTGGGACGAAAGCCTTAGGAGGAGTTAGCGAAATTCCAATGTGTGCGAATCGGCAAAAAATGCAAAATAGCCCTTTTACCTACATTATACAGATACGCGCTCTTTGACTTTTTCATAGATCTAATTGAGATACACATGATTGTCAATTTTTGTGTCATTTTGCCAAAGCGTACAGGCGTGACAGTCAACAATGTGTATTTTCACCTTAGGGGACAAGAAAAAATGGACTTTTTTCTCCTGCCATGGGGGGGCGCTCTTTTGGGGAGTAAAAATTCCTTCACAAATGTGTTGATGGCTGGACATTGCATCATCCTAGAAAACTTGGAGGCCAGTGAGGACAAAAATAAAAAGTTATAAGACTTTTAAAAATGTGGATTTTTGGGTTATCTTTGGCGCCCCCTAGAACGTAAATCGTGGGGTGCAGCGTCATGATTTGAATAACTTTTAATGGCCATGGGGTGTAGATTGGCCTGAGCAAATGTGGTGCCGGTGGAACGAAAGCCTTCGGAGGAGTTAGCGAAATTCCAATGTGTGCGGATCGGCAAAAAATGCGAAATAACCCTTTAACCGTACATTAGACAGATACGCGCGTATTGACTTTTTTGTAGATCTTATTGAGATACATGTGTGTGTCAATTTTTGTGTCATTTTGACAAAGCGTACAGGCGTGACAGTCAATAGTGTGAATTTTCACCTTAGGGGACAAGAAAAAATGGACTTTTTTCTCCTGCCATGGGGGGGCGCTCTTTTGGGGAGTAAAAATTCCTTCACAAATGTGTTGATGGCTGGACATTGCATCATCCTAGAAAACTTGGAGGCCAGTGAGGGCAAAAATAAAAAGTTATAAGACTTTTAAATATGTGGATTTTAGGGTTATCTTTGGCGCCCCCTAGAACCTAAACCGTGGGGTGCAGCGTCATGATTTGAATAACTTTTAATGGCCATGGGGTGTAGATTGGCCTGAGCAAATGTGGTGCCGGTGGAACGAAAGCCTTCGGAGGAGTTAGCGAAATTCCAATGTGTGCGGATCGGCAAAAAATGCGAAATAACCCTTTAACCGTACATTTGACAGATACGCCCGCACTGACTTTTTTGTAGATCTTATTGAGATACATGTGTGTGTCAATTTTTGTGTCATTTTGACAAAGCGTATAGGCGTGACAGTCAATAGTGTGAATTTTCACCTTAGGGGGCGCTATGGAGCCATTTTGCATTTTCTTGTTTGGGCGACTTCGGAATATCAAATTTTTCACCAGGCCCGGTCGTCCTGCCAAATTTCATGAGTTTTCGCCAGTGGGAAGTGGGCCATTTTCCAGTTCAAAGGGGAGGAAAAAGAAAAACTAGGGCCCCGTTGGGGCACTGGCGGGCCCGAGCCGTGTCGCGCCGCCCCCCCCCCAACGCGCTGCCTCCCCGTCCCATTCGTGTCCTCTGGCCATCGCCCTCTCTGGTAACGCCCATCACTGCAAAGACCCTTTTCCTTCATCGGCGTTTGCTGTTCTTCCTGCCAGTGCGTGTTGCTTTCACTTACACTTGCCACAGCCAGCCTCGTGAGTGCCTAGCCTATTGGATATCACTGTCATCTACACAGGACAGTCATTACCTTTCTATTAATACTTTGTTTTTTAATTTCACATTAATTTCCATATTGTATAAATGACTGGAAAAAACTTGAGCCCCTGCCCCTGTATAATCATGTGCACGTCCCTGTTCTAGCTCCAAGGTGAATCTTCACTGCTCATGTTCTCCTCAGAAGCAGTCACCTCACTCCCCTCAGGTTACTGTACACATGCACCAACTGCCTGCTTCAGGTTTGGATGGAGCTTCATGGTTGTCTTTTGGAGAAATGAGCAGTCAAGTTGTGTTTGAAATTAGATTTTTTTCAGGGGCAAAAGGAGCCTCTGCATTCTTGTCAAATATGTAAATAGCATGTTTTTGCAGGTGCTAAAAAACAGACTCTGAGTGTGTGTGTGTGTGTGTGTGTGTGTGCGTGTGTGTGTGTGTGTGTGTGTCTGTGTGTGTTTTTATCTTGCAGTACTCTGAGAAGAATAATAAGCATATTTCTGCGGTGAATTTTGAAGATTCATCTGAGAGTTAGGAGGGCTGATCATTCCCTTACCCTTTAGATGTCTGTCTATGTCTGTTTTTGTGTGATAATGAAAGAATCCCAACTCAAAAAGGCTCTGTTGATGTTTTTTTTTGTTGTTCATTCATATTCAAACCACTATTTTATATCACTGCTAATACGCCAAGACCATTTTATGGTATTTAGCTTTATTATTTCTATACATTTTGCAAGGAAAGAAACCAAGGCCTTCACTAAAATTTCCATAAACTTTAGGAAAGGACCTCTGGTTGTTTAAGGGGGTCATTACTGCAAAAACATATTCTTCCTAAATTTTGAAGGTCAAACCTTAGATCCATTAGGTTTAAATAGAAAAAGCATTAAAATATGTTAGGATTATAGCATATGACAAATGTGTGCCTCTCAGTGGCATAACTACTTTGTCTGCTGGCTCTGCAGTCGATTGACGCTCCCCAGCGTTCAAGTCACATGACATATTTAACCGGATGTAGCTGCAAGACGGAGCCTCGTTCACCCTCCGTTTCAACTTATCTCAAAAGTGAGGACCTCAAACTATATACCAGTTTTTAAATTGTGTTGATAGGCCAAATAAAACCAGAGTTATGATAAATTATGTCCGCGATACTTTTTTTCTGCTTATTTTGATCACGTTCGGCGCTCGATCACGCTGTATGAGACAGGAAAACATAGCATGCAGACATTAGCGACAGCTCTTACAGGCGGAAAAGGCATGCCAAAAGAAAAAAAAACACACCACAACATCTCTCCTATTGGTGGAAAACTTCACCACAACAACCAATCCAAAATTATATGGTGACTGATTGACAAGGGGCGGGCGCTTACGTTCTTTCTGCAATATGAGAAGGGAGGGAGGAACTCTCAGCAGGGATGCAGTCTGGGAAACGTAGTTGCAAACCTAGCGACTTTGTTGTTAGATTCAATGACTTTTCAGACCCCCTAACGACTTTTTTTTAGACAGAAAGGGAATTTTATCGACTTCCTCTGGAGTTTAGAGACTCTGACATGAAGCAGGCTTTCCTTACTGAGGAGTTAGCAACGCTGCTAAGGGTGCAGAGCCACACATGCGCTCCGAGCTCTGCATGGGAGACTAGAGCTGAGAGAGCTGCAGCAGTTAGCAGGTTTCACCCTCAGAGACCACCAGGAGTTCATGTTGAGGCATTTTCAGTTTTTTTTTTTTTTTTGCCATAGACACTGTCAGCACAATCTGCAGTTACACTAACAAAAATGCTGCAAAAAACAAAGAATTATGGAAAAATTACACATGGACTGACATAGAGGAGGATCTACACAAGTTTTTTACATCATGTTTTACATCATGCATCATTTACATCATGTTTTTTTGTAGTGGCATAAATAAAAAGTGACATTTGTGAGACTATACAGTGTTTTGTAAATGATTTTACAAAGAACGCCTGGGCCATTGCCTGCATTTTGATGTAAATAGAGGTAAATTACTATGTTCTTTGTTAAAAATTTGCATATGTTTTGAAGTTTACAATTTTTATTTGAAGTTTAAGTTTTAAAAACAGTTCATCACACATATTTGTGGTTTAACTTCACATTAATTTCCATATTGTATAAATGACTGGAAAAAACTTGAGCCCCTGCCCCTGTATAATCATGTGCACGTCCCTGTTCTAGCTCCAAGGTGAATCTTCACTGCTCATGTTCTCCTCAGAAGTAGTCACCTCACTCTCCTCAGGTTACTGTACACATGCACCAACTATCTGCTTCAGGTTTGGATGGAGCTTCATGGTTGTCTTTTGGAGAAATGAACAGTCAAGTTGTGTTTGAAATTTGATTTTTTTCAGGGGCAAAAGGAAGCCTCTGCATTCTTGTCAAATATGTAAACAGCATGTTTTTGCAGGTGCTAAAAAACAGACTCTGAGTGTGTGTGTGTGTGTGTGTGTGTGTGTGTGTGTGTGTGTGTGTGTGTGGCGTGTGTGTATATGTGTGTGTGTCCGGCAGTACTCTGTACTCCTGCAGTGGCCAAAAAGACTTTTAAGAATGTGGATTTTTGGGTCATCTTTGGCGCCCCCTAGAACTGCAGTACTCTGTACTCCTGCAGTGGCCAAAATGACTTTTAAGAATGTGGATTTTTGGGTCATCTTTGGCGCCCCCTAGAACGTAAACCGTGGGGTGCAGCGTCATGATTTTTACAACTTTGAATGGCCATGGGGTGTGGATTGCCCTGAGCAAATTTGGTATCGGTGGGACGAAAGCCTTAGGAGGAGTTAGCCACATTCCAATGTGTGCGAATCGGCAAAAAATGCGAAATAGCCCTTTAACCATACATTTGACAGATACGTGCCTATTGACTTTTTTGTAGATCTTATTGAGATACACGTGATTGTCAAATTGTGTGTCAATATGACAAAGTGTATAGGCGTGACACTCAACAATGTGTATTTTTACCTTAGGAGACAAGAAAAAATGGACTTTTTTCTCCTGCCATGGGGGGGCGCTCTTTTGGGGAGTAAAAATTCCTTCACAAATGTGTTGATGGCTGGACATTGCATCATCCTAGAAAACTTGGAGGCCAGTGAGGACAAAAATAAAAAGTTATAAGACTTTTAAGAATGTGGATTTTTGTGTTATCTTTGGCGCCCCCTAGAAAGTAAACCGTGGGGTGCAGCATCATGATTTGTACAACTTTTAATGGCCATGGGGTGTAGATTGGCCTGAGCAAACTTGGTGCCGGTGGAACGAAAGCCTTCGGAGGAGTTAGCGAAATTCCAATGTGTGTGCGGATCGGCAAAAAAAGCGAAATAGCCCTTTAACCGTACATTTGGCAGATACGCCCGCACTGACTTTTTCGTAGATCTTATTGAGATACACATGTGTGTCAAATTTTGTGTCATTTTGACAAAGCGTACAGGCATCAGGTGAGTTTTCACCATAGGGGGCGCTATGGAGCCATTTTTCATTTTTTTGTTTGGACGACTTCAGAATATCAAATTTTTCACCAGGCCCGGTCGTCCTGCCAAATTTCCTGAGTTTTCGCCAGTGGGAAGTGGGCCATTTTCCAGTTTAAAGCGGAGGAAAAATAACGAAAGAAGAATCCATCAGGAACAAGAGGGCTCTCGCAGCTGCTTAGCAGCTACGCTCGGGCCCTAACTAGGACCCCGTTGGGGCACTGGCGGGCCCGAGCCGTGTCGCGTCCCCCCCCCCCCCCCCCCCCACCCCCCAACATGCTGCCTCCCCGTCCCATTTGTGTCCTCTGGCCATCGCCCTCTCTGGTAACGCCCATCACTGCAAAGACCCTTTTCCTTCATCGGCGTTTGCTGTTCTTCCTGCCAGTGCGTGTTGCTTTCACTTACACTTGCCACAGCCAGCCTCGTGAGTGCCTAGCCTATTGGATATCACTGTCACCTACACAGGACAGTCATTACCTTTCTATTAATACTTTGTGTTTTAATTTCACATTAATTTCCATATTGTATAAACGACTGGAAAAAACTTGAGCCCCTGCCCCTGTATAATCATGTGCATGTCTCTGTTCTAGCTCCAAGGTGAATCTTCACTGCTCATGTTCTCCTCAGAAGCACTCACCTCACTCCCCTCAGGTTACTGTACACATGCACCAACTGCCTGCTTCAGGTTTGGATGGAGCTTCATGGTTGTCTTTTGGAGAAATGACCAGTCAAGTTGTGTTTGAAATTTGATTTTTTTCAGGGGCAAAAGGAGCCTCTGCATTCTTGTCAAATATGTAAATAGCATGTTTTTGCAGGTGCTAAAAACCAGACTCTGAGTGTGTGTGTGTGTGTGTGTGTGTGTGTGTGTGCGTGTGTGTGTGTCTGTGTGTGCGTTCAAGTCACATGACATATTTAATCGGATGTAGCTGCAAGACGGAGCCTCGTTGACTCTCCGTTTCAACTTATCTCAAAAGTGAGGACCTCAACCTATGTACCAGTTTTTAAATTGTGTTGATAGGCCAAATAAAACCAGAGTTATGATAAATTATGTCCGCGATACTTTTTTTCTGCTTATTTTGATCACGTTCGGCGCTCGATCGCGCTGTATGAGACAGGAAAACATAGCATGCAGACATTAGCGACAGGTCTTACAGGCGGAAAAGGCTTGCCAAAAGAAAAAAAAAACACACCACAACATCTCTCCTATTGGTGGAAAACTTCACCACAACAACCAATCCAAAATTATATGGTGACTGATTGACAAGGGGCGGGCGCTTACGTTCTTCCTGCAACATGAGAAGGGAGGGAGGGACTCTCAGCAGGGATGCAGTCTGGGACACGTAGTTGCAAACCTAGCGACTTTGTTGTCAGATTCAATGACTTTTCAGACCCCCTAACGACTTTTTTTTAGAAAGAAAGGGACTTTTATCGACTTCTTCTGGAGTTTAGAGACTCTGACATGAAGCAGGCTTTCCTTACTGAGGAGTTAGCAACGCTGCTAAGGGTGCAGAGCCACACATGCGCTCAGAGCTCTGCATGGGAGACTGAAGCTGACAGAGCTGCAGCCGTTAGCAGGTTTCACCCTCAGAGACCACCAGGGGTTCATGTTGAGGCATTTTAAATTTTTTTTTTTTTGTGCCATAGACACTGTCAGCACAATCTGCAGTTACACTAACAAAAATGCTGCAAAAAACAAAGAATTATGGAAAAATTACACATGGACTGACATAGAGGAGGATCTACACAAGTTTTTTACATCATGTTTTACATCATGCATCATTTACATCATGTTTTTTTGTAGTGGCATAAATAAAAAGTGACATTTGTGAGACTATACAGTGTTTTGTAAATAATTTTACAAAGAACGCCTGGGCCATTGCCTGCATTTTGATGAAAATAGAGGTAAATCACTATGTTCTTTGTTAAAAATTTGCATATGTTTTGAAGTTTACAATTTTTATTTGAAGTTTAAGTTTTAAAAACAGTTCATCACACATATTTGTGGTTTTCACAGTAAAAATGTTACTTTTTTCCACTCGGATTTTATGTTTTGTGTGTGAATTTGGGTCCATTGTGTAAATTCAGTATGTCAACATGATAAAATAACTGTAAATTCGCACAGGTGAGGTTGTGCTGAAAAAATGATACCAGGCAAGGCACGTGATTGTCAAATTTTGTGTCAATATGACAAAGCGTATAGGCGTGAATCTCAACAATATGTATTTTCACCTTAGGGGACAAGAAAAAATGGACTTTTTTCTCCTGCCATGGGGGGGCGCTCTTTTGGGGAGTAAAAATTCCTTCACAAATGTGTTGATGGCTGGACATTGCATCATCCTAGAAAACTAAAAAACTTGGAGGCCAGTGAGGACAAAAATAAAAAGTTATAAGACTTTTAAATATGTGGATTTTAGGGTTATCTTTGGCGCCCCCTAGAACCTAAACCGTGGGGTGCAGCGTCATGATTTGAATAACTTTTAATGGCCATGGGGTGTAGATTGTCCTGAGCAAATGTGGTGCCGGTGGAACGAAAGCCTTAGGAGGAGTTAGCCACATTCCAATGTGTGCGGATCGGCAAAAAATGCGGAATAACCCTTTAACCGTACATTTGACAGATACGCGCGCATTGACTTTTTCGTAGATCTTATTGAGTTACATGTGTGTGTCAATTTTTGTGTCATTTTGACAAAGCGTATAGGCGTGACACTCAACAATGTGTATTTTCACCTTAGGGGACAAGAAAAAATGGACTTTTTTCTCCTGCCATGGGGGGGCGCTCTTTTGGGGAGTAAAAATTCCTTCACAAATGTGTTGATGGCTGGACATTGCATCATCCTAGAAAACTTGGAGGCCAGTGAGGACAAAAATAAAAAGTTATAAGACTTTTAAATATGTGGATTTTAGTGTTATCTTTGGCGCCCCCTAGAACCTAAACCTTGGGGTGCAGCGTCATGATTTTGATAACTTTTAATGGCCACGGGGTGTAGATTGGCCTGAGCAAATGTGGTGCCGGTGGAACGAAAGCCTTCGGAGGAGTTAGCGAAATTCCAATGTGTGCGGATCGGCAAAAAATGCGAAATAACCCTTTGACCGTACATTTGACAGATACGGCCGCATTGACTTTTTCGTAGATCTTATTGAGATACATATGTGTGTCAATTTTTGTGTCATTTTGACAAAGCGTATAGGCGTGACACTCAACAATGTGTATTTTCACCTTAGGGGACAAGAAAAAATGGACTTTTTTCTCCTGCCATGGGGGGCGCTCTTTTGGGGAGTAAAAATTCCTTCACAAATGTGTTGATGGCTGGACATTGCATCATCCTAGAAAACTTGGAGGCCAGTGAGGACAAAAATAAAAAGTTATAAGACTTTTAAATATGTGGATTTTAGTGTTATCTTTGGCGCCCCCTAGAACCTAAACCTTGGGGTGCAGCGTCATGATTTTGATAACTTTTAATGGCCACGGGGTGTAGATTGGCCTGAGCAAATGTGGTGCCGGTGGAACGAAAGCCTTCGGAGGAGTTAGCGAAATTCCAATGTGTGCGGATCGGCAAAAAATGCGAAATAACCCTTTGACCGTACATTTGACAGATACGGCCGCACTGACTTTTTTGTAGATCTTATTGAGATACATATGTGTGTCAATTTTTGTGTCAATATGACAAAGCGTACAGGCGTGACAGTCAATAGTGTGAATTTCCACCTTAGGGGGCGCTATGGAGCCATTTTGCATTTTATTGTTTGGGCGACTTCAGAATATCGAATTTTTCACCAGGCCCGGTCGTCCTGCCAAATTTCATGAGTTTTCGCCAGTGGGAAGTGGGCCATTTTCCAGTTCAAAGGGGAGGAAAAAGAAGAAAGAAAGAAAGAAAGAAAGAAAGAAACAAAGAAAAACCACTTGGGGAATAATAGGGCCTACGCCCGGCTGCTCTGCAGCTGGCTCGGGCCCTAAAGAAAGAAAGAAACAAAGAACTAGGGCCCCGTTGGGGCACTGGCGGGCCCGAGCCGCGTCGCGCCGCCCCCAGCGTGACCGCCTCCCTGATCCATTAGGTTTAAATAGAAAAAGCATTAAAATATGTTAGGATTATAGCATATGACAAATGTGTGCCTCTCAGTGGCCATAACTACTTTGTCTGCTGGCTCTGCAGTCGATTGACGCTCCCCAGCGTTCAAGTCACATGACAAATTTAACCGGATGTAGCTGCAAGACGGAGCCTCGTTGACTCTCCGTTTCAACTTATCTCCAAAGTGAGGACCTTAAACTATATACCAGTTTTTAAATTGTGTTGATAGGCCAAATAAAACCAGAGTTATGATAAATTATGTCTGCGATACTTTTTTTCTGCTTATTTTGATCACGTTCGGCGCTCGATCGCGCTGTATGAGACAGGAAAACATAGCATGCAGACATTAGCGACAGCTCTTACAGGCGGAAAAGGCTTGCCAAAAGAAAAAAAAAAAACACACCACAACATCTCTCCTATTGGTGGAAAACTTCACCACAACAACCAATCCAAAATTATATGGTGACTGATTGACAAGGGGCGGGCGCTTACGTTCATCCTGCAACATGAGAAGCGAGGGAGGGACTCTCAGCAGGGATGCAGTCTGGGACACGTAGTTGCAAACCTAGCGACTTTGTTGTTAGATTCAATGACTTTTCAGACCCCCCTTACGACTTTTTTTTTAGAAAGAAAGGGAATTTTATCGACTTCTTCTGGAGTTTAGAGACTCTGAAATGAAGCAGGCTTTCCTTACTGAGGAGTTGGCAACGCTGCTAAGGGTGCAGAGCCACACATGCGCTCCGAGCTCTGCATGGGAGACTGAAGCTGACAGAGCTGCAGCAGTTAGCAGGTTTCACCCTCAGAGACCACCAGGGGTTCATGTTGAGGCATTTTCAGTTTTTTTTTTTTTTTTTGTGCCATAGACACTGTCAGCACAATCTGCAGCTACACTAACAAAAATGCTGCAAAAAACAAAGAATTATGGAAAAATTACACATGGACTGACATAGAGGAGGATCTACACAAGTTTTTTACATCATGTTTTACATCATGCATCATTTACATCATGTTTTTTTGTAGTGGCATAAATAAAAAGTGACATTTGTGAGACTATACAGTGTTTTGTAAATAATTTTACAAAGAACGCCTGGGCCATTGCCTGCATTTTGATGTAAATAGAGGTAAATCACTATGTTCTTTGTTAAAAATTTGCATATGTTTTGAAGTTTACAATTTTTATTTGAAGTTTAAGTTTTAAAAACAGTTCATCACACATATTTGTGGTTTTCACAGTAAAAATGTTACTTTTTTCCACTCGGATTTTATGTTTTGTGTGTGAATTTGGGTCCATTGTGTAAATTCAGTATGTCAACATGATAAAATAACTGTAAATTCGCACAGGTGAGGTTGTGCTGAAAAAAATGATACCAGGCAAGGCACGTGATTGTCAAATTTTGTGTCAATATGACAAAGCGTATAGGCGTGAATCTCAACAATATGTATTTTCACCTTAGGGGAAAAGAAAAAATGGACTTTTTTCTCCTGCCATGGGGGGGCGCTCTTTTGGGGAGTAAAAATTCCTTCACAAATGTGTTGATGGCTGGACATTGCATCATCCTAGAAAACTTGGAGGCCAGTGAGGACAAAAATAAAAAGTTATAAGACTTTTAAATATGTGGATTTTAGGGTTATCTTTGGCGCCCCCTAGAACCTAAACCGTGGGGTGCAGCGTCATGATTTAAATAACTTTTAATGGCCATGGGGTGTAGATTGGCCTGAGCAAATGTGGTGCCGGTGGAACGAAAGCCTTAGGAGGAGTTAGCCACATTCCAATGTGTGCGGATCGGCAAAAAATGCGGAATAACCCTTTAACCGTACATTTGACAGATACGCGCGCGTTGACTTTTTCGTAGATCTTATTGAGTTACATGTGTGTGTCAATTTTTGTGTCATTTTGACAAAGCGTATAGGCGTGACACTCAACAATGTGTATTTTCACCTTAGGGGACAAGAAAAAATGGACTTTTTTCTCCTGCCATGGGGGGGGCGCTCTTTTGGGGAGTAAAAATTCCTTCACAAATGTGTTGATGGCTGGACATTGCATCATCCTAGAAAACTTGGAGGCCAGGGAGGACAAAAATAAAAAGTTATAAGACTTTTAAATATGTGGATTTTAGTGTTATCTTTGGCGCCCCCTAGAACCTAAACCTTGGGGTGCAGCGTCATGATTTTGATAACTTTTAATGGCCAAGGGGTGTAGATTGGCCTGAGCAAATGTGGTGCCGGTGGAACGAAAGCCTTCGGAGGAGTTAGCGAAATTCCAATGTGTGCGGATCGGCAAAAAATGCGAAATAACCCTTCAACCGTAATTTTGACAGATACGGCCGCACTGACTTTTTTGTAGATCTTATTGAGATAGATATGTGTGTCAATTTTTGTGTCAATATGACAAAGCGTACAGGCGTGACAGTCAATAGTGTGAATTTCCACCTTAGGGGGCGCTATGGAGCCATTTTACATTTTATTGTTTGGGCGACTTCAGAATATCGAATTTTTCACCAGGCCCGGTCGTCCTGCCAAATTTTATGAGTTTTCGCCAGTGGGAAGTGGGCCATTTTCCAGTTCAAAGGGGAGGAAAAAGAAGAAAGAAAGAAAGAACTAGGGCCCCGTTGGGGCACTGGCGGGCCCGAGCCGTGTCACGCCGCCCCCAGCGCGACCGCCTCCCCCACCCGATCGCGTCACACTCAAGGTCCAAAGATGGTGTGCGCACTTGTTTGTGGTCATTTACCATTATAATGAACGGGAGGCGCAGTTTCTACCAAAACGCTCGCTGCAGAAAAACTCCATGTCCTATTTGAAAAAAGTCTGGACCATGAGTGAGGGCACAAACACAGCTAAGATATATCCAAATGGCAAGTTGCTCCTCCTTTCGCTTTTGCCGAAAGAGCAGTGCGTTTGAGCCATTGAATGATGAACAGGAAAAACTTGACTTTATTCTCCTGGCCATGGGGGGGCGCTCTTTTAAAGAGAAAAAACTCCTTCACAAATGTGTTGATGGCTGGACATTGCATCATCCTAGAAAACATGGAGGCCAGTGAGGACAAAAATAAAAAGTTATAAGACTTTTAAATATGTGGATTTTAGGGTTATATTTGGCGCCCCCTAGAACCTAAACCGTGGGGTGCAGCGTCATGATTTGAATAACTTTTAATGGCCATGGGGTGTAGATTGGCCTGAGCAAATGTGGTGCCGGTGGAACGAAAGCCTTCGGAGGAATTAGCGAAATTCCAATGTGTGCGAATCTGCAAAAAATGCGAAATAACCCTTTAACCGTACATTTTACAGATACGTGGCCATTGACTTTTTCGAAGATCTTATTGAAATACACGTGTATGTAAAATTTTGTGTCAATACGACAAAACATAAAGGCGTAGCACTCAACAATGTGTATTTTCACCTTAGTGGACAAGAAAAAATTGACTTTTTTCTCCTGCCATGGGGGGGCGCTCTTTTGCCGAGTAAAAATTCCTTCACAAATGTGTTGATGGCTGGACATTGCATCATCCTAGAAAACTTGGAGGCCAGTGAGGGCAAAAATAAAAAGTTATAAGACTTTTAAATATGTGGATCTTAGGGTTATCTTTGGCTCCCCCTAGAACCTAAACCGTGGGGTGCAGCGTCATGATTTGAATAACTTTTAATGGCCATGGGGTGTAGATTGGCCTGAGCAAATGTGGTGCCGGTGGAACGAAAGCCTTCGGAGGAGTTAGCGAAATTCCAATGTGTGCGGATCGGCAAAAAATGCGGAATAACCCTTTAACCGTACATTTGACAGATACGCGCGCATTGACTTTTTCGTAGATCTTATTGAGATACATGTGTGTGTCAATTTTTGTGTCATTTTGCCAAAGCGTACAGGTGTTACACTCAACAATGTGTATTTTCACCTTAGGGGACAAGAAAAAATGGACTTTTTTCTCCTGCCATGGGGGGGCGCTCTTTTGGGGAGTAAAAATTCCTTCACAAATGTGTTGATGGCTGGACATTGCATCATCCTAGAAAACTTGGAGGCCAGTGAGGGCAAAAATAAAAAGTTATAAGACTTTTAAATATGTGGATCTTAGGGTTATCTTTGGCGCCCCCTAGAACCTAAACCGTGGGGTGCAGCGTCATGATTTGAATAACTTTTAATGGCCATGGGGTGTAGATTGGCCTGAGCAAATGTGGTGCCGGTGGAACGAAAGCCTTCGGAGGAGTTAGCGAAATTCCAATGTGTGCGGATCGGCAAAAAATGCCAAATAACCCTTTAACCGTACATTTGACAGATACGCCCGCACTGACTTTTTTGTAGATCTTATTGAGATACATGTGTGTGTCAATTTTTGTGTCATTTTGACAAAGCGTACAGGCGTGACAGTGAATAGTGTGAATTTTCACCTTAGGGGGCGCTATGGAGCCATTTTGCATTTTCTTGTTTGGGCGACTTCGGAATATCAAATTTTTCACCAGGCCCGGTCGTCCTGCCAAATTTCATGAGTTTTCGCCAGTGGGAAGTGGGCCATTTTCCAGTTCAAAGGGGAGGAAAAATAATAATAATAATAACAAAAGAAGGAAACTACAGGAACAAGAGGGCTCTCGCAGCTGCTTAGCAGCTACGCTCGGGCCCTAACTAGGGCCCCGTTGGGGCACTGGCGGGCCCGAGCCGCGTCGCGCCGCCCCCAGCGCGACCGCCTCCCCGTCCCATTCGTGCCCTCTGGCCATCGCCCTCTCTGGTGACGCCCATCACTGCAAAGACCCTTTTCCTTCATCTGTGTTTGCTGTTCTTCCTGCCATTGCGTGTTGCTTTCACTTACACTTGCCACAGCCAGCCTCGTGAGTGCCTGGCCTGGTTTGACCTTTGCTCACCATGATTGTGTGACCTTGGTATCAGCTACTTGGGAAGTTCAACCGTTGTGGCAAAGCTTTGTTTGCGTGCTGTGCTCAACCACCTATTTTCTATGGATGTGTAAGTAAACCACTTTCTTTCTTACACAATGACACACTCATACTTATCACTCACTGCTACTGATGTGCTCTGTTAGTATGCATGCAGGAAACCTGATGAATGAAGAAATGCCCAGACTAGCCAACATCTCAATAAATTATGAGGTATGACATCACTTGAATGGTTTCCTTGGACTATGCTTCCATTATTCTAATTCTGTAATAAAAAGAAATTTTGTCCAAAAGGACTGTTGTTGTTTTTTCTTCTAATAATTAACATATTTAACATAATTAACATTCAATATGCGCTCATTACACACGTGCACACTCTTTGATGATCTGAGAAGCAGAGCTTAAAGGACAGTAGGAGTAGCTGAACAAAGTGTATTTGTAGGAAAGCCGTAAGAGCTATTGAAACGCCGTTTTCGCGGGTTGAAAGGTTAGGGTGTCCACCAAAGGTCAGAGGTCAAATAACATTTGTATCTCAAACTGTGACGTCAAAGTCAAGGTCCAAAGATGGTGTGCGCACCTGTCTTTGGTCATTTCCCATTATAATGAATGGGAGGCACAGTTTCTACCAAAACGCTCGCTGCAGACAAACTACATGTCCTATTTGAAAAAACTCTGGACCATGAGTGAGGGCACAAACACAGCTAGGACATATCCAAATGGCAAGTTGCTCCTCCTTTTGGTTTTAGCGGGAGAGCAATGCGTTTGAGCCATTAAGCGATGGGCTGGAAAAACTTGACTTTTTCTCCTGCCATGGGGGGGGGGGGGGCGCTCTTTTGGGGAGAAAAAATTCCTTCACAGATGTGTTGATGGCTGCACATTGCATCATCCTAGAAAACTTGGAGGCCAGTGAGGACAAAAATAAAAAGTTATAAGACTTTTAAAAATGTGGATATTTGGGTCATCTTTGGCGCCCCCTAGAACCTAAACCGTGGGGTGCAGCGTCATGATTTGTACAACTTTGAATGGCCATGGGGTGTAGATTGGCCTGAGCAAATTTGGTGTCAGTAGAACGAAAGCCTTAGGAGGAGTTAGCCACATTCCAATGTGTGCGAATCGGCAAAAAATGCAAGATAGCCCTTTAACCGTACATTTTACAGATATGTGCCCATTGACTTTTTCGTAGATCTTATTGAGATACACGTGTGTGTCAAATTTTGTGTCAATATGACAAAGCGTATAGGCGTGACACTGAACAATGTGTATTTTCACCTTAGGGGACAAGAAAAAATGGACTTTTTTCTCCTGCCATGTGGGGGCGCTCTTTAGGGGAGTAAAAATTCCTTTACAAATGTGTTGATGGCTGGACATTGCATCATCCTAGAAAACTTGGAGGCCAGTGAGGAAAAAAATAAAAAGTTATAAGACTTTTAAGAATGTGGATTTTTTGGTTATCTTTGGCGCCCCCTAGAACCTAAACCGTGGGGTGCAGCGTCATGATTTGTACAACTTTCGATGGCCATGGGGTGTAGATTGGCCTGAGCAAATGTGGTGCCGGTGGAACGAAAGCCTTCGGAGGAGTTAGCGAAATTTCAATGTGTGCGGATCGGCAAAAAATGCGAAATAACCCTTTAACCGTACATTTGACAGATACGCCCGCACTGACTTTTTTGTAGATCTTATTGAGATACATGTGTGTGTCAATTTTTATGTCAATATGACAAAGCGTACAGGCGTGACAGTCAACAGTGTGAATTTCCACCTTAGGGGGCGCTATGGAGCCATTTTGCATTTTATTGTTTGGGCGACTTCAGAATATCGAATTTTTCACCAGGCCCGGTCGTCCTGCCAAATTTCATGAGTTTTCGCCAGTGGGAAGTGGGCCATTTTCCAGTTTAAAGCGGAGGAAAAATAATAATAATAATAATAACTAGGGCCCCGTTGGGGCACTGGCGGGCCCGAGCCGTGTCGCGCCGCCCCCAGCGCGACCGCCTACCCCTCTTGATCGCGTCACACTCAAGGTCCAAAGATGGTGTGCGCACTTGTCTGTGGTCATTTACCATTATAATGAATGGGAGGCGCAGTTTCTACCAAAACGCTCGCTGCAGACAAACTCCATGTCCTTTTTGAAAAAAGTCTGGACCATGAGCGAGGGCACAAACACAGCTAGTATATATCCAAATGGCAAGTTGCTCCTCCTTTCGGTTTTGCCGAGAGAGCGATGCTTTTGAGCCATTGAGCGATGGGCAGGAAAAACTTGACTTTTTCTCCTGCCATGGGGGGGCGCTCTTTTGGGGAGAAAAAATTCCTTCACAAATGTGTTGATGGCTGGACATTGCATCATCCTAGAAAACTTGGAGGCCAGTGAGGACAAAAATAAAAAGTTATAAGACTTTTAAAAATGTGGATATTTGGGTCGTCTTTGGCACCCCCTAGAACGTAAACCGTGGGGTGCAGCGTCATGATTTGTACAACTTTGAATGGCCATGGGGTGTAGATTGACCTGAGCAAATTTGAAGCCGATGGGACAAAAGCTTTAGGAGGAGTTAGCCACATTCCAATGTGTGCGAATCGGCAAAAAATGCAAAATAGCCCTTTAACCGTACATTGAACAGATACGCTCGCATTGACTTTTTCGTAGATCTTATTGAGATACATGTGTGTGTCAAATTTTGTGTCATTTTGACAAAGCGTAAAGGCGTGACAATCAACAATGTGTATTTTCGCCTTAGGAGACAAGAAAAAATGGACTTTTTTCTCCTGCCATGGGGGGGCGCTCTTTTGGCGAGTAAAAATTCCTTCACAAATGTGTTGATGGCTGGACATTGCATCATCCTAGAGAACTTGGAGGCCAGTGAGGACAAAAATAAAAAGTTATAAGACTTTTAAGACTGTGGATTTTTGGGTTATCTTTGGCGCCCCCTAGAACGTAAACCGTGGGGTGCAGTGTCATGATTTGTACAACTTTTAATGGCCATGGGGTGTAGATTGGCCTGAGCAAATGTGGTGCCGTTGGAACGAAAGCCTTCAGAGGAGTTAGCGAAATTCCAATGTGTGCGGATCGGCAAAAAATGCGAAATAACCCTTTAACCGTACATGTGACAGATACGCCCGCACTGACTTTTTTGTAGATCTTATTGAGATACATGTGTGTGTCAAATTTTGTGTCATTTTGACAAAGCGTAAAGGCGTGACAGTCAACGATGTGTATTTTCGCCTTAGGAGACAAGAAAAAATGGACATTTTTCTCCTGCCATGGGGGGGCGCTCTTTTGGCGAGTAAAAATTCCTTCACAAATGTGTTGATGGCTGGACATTGCATCATCCTAGAGAACTTGGAGGCCAGTGAGGACAAAAATAAAAAGTTATAAGACTTTTAAGACTGTGGATTTTTGGGTTATCTTTGGCGCCCCCTAGAACGTAAACCGTGGGGTGCAGCGTCATGATTTGTACAACTTTTATTGGCCATGGGGTGTAGATTGGCCTGAGCAAATGTGGTGCCGGTGGAAGGAAAACCTTCGGAGGAGTTAGCGAAATTCCAATGTGTGCGGATCGGCAAAAAATGCGAAATAAACCTTTAACCGTACATTTGACAGATACGCCCGCACTGACTTTTTTGTAGATCTTATTGAGATACACGTGTGTGTCAAATTTTGTGTCATTTTGACAAAGCGTACAGGCGTGACACTCAATCATGTGAATTTTTCACCTTAGGGGGCGCTATGGAGCCATTTTGCATTTGATTTTTTGGGCGACTTCAGAATATCGAATTTTTCACCAGGCCCGGTCGTCCTGCCAAATTTCATGACTTTTCACCAGTGGGAAGTGGGCCATTTTCCAGTTCAAAGGGGCAGAAAAATAATAAGAAGAAGAAGAAGAAGAAAGAAGAATCCATCAGGAATAATAGGGCTCTCGCAGCTGCTTAGCAGCTACGCTCGGGCCCTAATAACAAAAGAAGAATCCATCAGGAACAAGAGGGCTCTCGCAGCTGCTTAGCAGCTACGCTCGGGCCCTAACTAGGGCCCCGTTGGGGCACTGGCGGGCCCGAGCCGTGTCGCACCCCCCCCCCCCCCAACGCGCTGCCTCCCCGTCCCATTCGTGTCCTCTGGCCATCGCCCTCTCTGGTAACGCCCATCACTGCAAAGACCCTTTTCCTTCATCGGCGTTTGCTGTTCTTCCTGCCAGTGCGTGTTGCTTTAACTTACACTTGCCACAGCCAGCCTCGTGAGTGCCTAGCCTATTGGATATCACTGTCACCTACACAGGACAGTCATACTTTGTTTTTTAATTTCACATTAATTTCCATATTGTATAAACGACTGGAAAAAACTTGAGCCCCTGCCCCTGTATTATCATGTGCACGTCCCTGTTCTAGCTCCAAGGTGAATCTTCAGTGCTCATGTTCTCCTCAGAAGCAGTCACCTCACTCCCCTCAGGTTACTGTACACATGCACCAACTGCCTGCTTCAGGTTTGGATGGAGCTTCATGGTTGTCTTTTGGAGAAATGACCAGTCAAGTTGTGTTTGAAATCTGATTTTTTTCAGGGGCAAAAGGAAGCCTCCGCATTCTTGTCAAATATGTAAATAGCATGTTTTTGCAGGTGCTAAAAAACAGACTCTGAGTGTGTGTGTGTGTGTGTGTGTGTGTGTGTGTGTGTGTGTGTGTGTGTGTGCGTGTGTGTGTGTGTGTGTCTGTGTGTGTGTGTGTGTGTGTATCCTGCAGTACTCTGAGAAGAATAATAAGCATATTTCTGAGGTGAATTTTGAAGATTCATCTGAGAGTTAGGTTTGATTCGATTCGATTGACGCTCCCCAGCGTTCAAGTCACATGACATATTTAACCGGATGTAGCTGCAAGACGGAGCCTCGTTAACTCTCCGTTTCAACTTATCTCAAAAGTGAGGACCTCAACCTATATACCAGTTTTTAAATTGTGTTGATAGGCCAAATAAAACCAGAGTTATGATAAATTATGTCCGCGATACTTTTTTTCTGCTTATTTTGATCACGTTCGGCGCTCGATCGTGCTGTATGAGACAGGAAAACATTGCATGCACACATTAGTGACAGGTCATACAGGCGGAAAAGGCTTGCCAAAAGAAAAAAAAACACACCACAACATCTCTCCTATTGGTGGAAAACTTCACCACAACAACCAATCCAAAATTATATGGTGACTGATTGACAAGGGGCGGGCGCTTACGTTCTTCCTGCAACATGAGAAGGGAGGGAGGGACTCTCAGCAGGGATGCAGTCTGGGACACGTAGTTGCAAACCTAGCGACTTTGTTGTTAGATTCAATTACTTTTCAGACCCCCTAACGACTTTTTTTAGAAAGAAAGGGACTTTTATCGACTTCTTCTGGAGTTTAGAGACTCTGACATGAAGCAGGCTTTCCTTACTGAGGAGTTAGCAACGCTGCTAAGGGTGCAGAGCCACACATGCGCTCCGAGCTCTGCATGGGAGACAGAAGCTGACAGAGCTGCAGCAGTTAGCAGGTTTCACCCTCAGAGACCACCAGGGGTTCATGTTGAGGCATTTTCAGTTTTTTTTTTTTTGCCATAGACAGTCAGCACAATCTGCAGTTACACTAACAAAAATGCTGCAAAAAACAAAGAATTATGGAAAAATTACACATGGACTGACATAGAGGAGGATCTACACAAGTTTTTTACATCATGTTTTACATCATGCATCATTTACATCATGTTTTTTTGTAGTGGCATAAATAAAAAGTGACATTTGTGAGACTATACAGTGTTTTGTAAATAATTTTACAAAGAACGCCTGGGCCATTGCCTGCATTTTGATGTAAATAGAGGTAAATTACTATGTTCTTTGTTAAAAATTTGCATATGTTTTGAAGTTTACAATTTTTATTTGAAGTTTAAGTTTTAAAAACAGTTCATCACACATATTTGTGGTTTAATTTCACATTAATTTCCATATTGTATAAATGACTGGAAAAAACTTGAGCCCCTGCCCCTGTATAATCATGTGCACGTCCCTGTTCTAGCTCCAAGGTGAATCTTCACTGCTCATGTTCTCCTCAGAAATAGTCACCTCACTCTCCTCAGGTTACTGTACACATGCACCAACTATCTGCTTCAGGTTTGGATGGAGCTTCATGGTTGTCTTTTGGAGAAATGAACAGTCAAGTTGTGTTTGAAATCTGATTTTTTTCAGGGGCAAAAGGAAGCCTCTGCATTCTTGTCAAATATGTAAACAGCATGTTTTTGCAGGTGCTAAAAAAAAGACTCTGAGTGTGTGTGTGTGTGTGTGTGTGTGTGTGTGTGTGTGTGTGTGTGTGTGTGTGTGTGTGTGTGTGTGTGTGTGTGTGTATCCTGCAGTACTCTGTACTCCTGCAGTGGCCAAAAAGACTTTTAAGAATGTGGATTTTTGGGTCATCTTTGGCGCCCCCTAGAACTGCAGTACTCTGTACTCCTGCAGTGGCCAAAATGACTTTTAAGAATGTGGATTTTTGGGTCATCTTTGGCGCCCCCTAGAACGTAAACCGTGGGGTGCAGCGTCATGATTTTTACAACTTTGAATGGGCATGGGGTGTAGATTGGCCTGAGCAAATTTGGTATCGGTGGGACGAAAGCCTTAGGAGGAGATAGCCACATTCCAATGTGTGCGAATCAACCAAAAATGCGAAATAGCCCTTTAACCGTACATTTTGCAGACACGTGCGCATTGACTTTTTCGTAGATCTTATTGAGATACACGTGATTATCAAATTTTGTTTCAATATGACAAAGCGTACAGGCGTGACACTCAACAATGTGTATTTTCACCTTATAGGACAAGAAAAAATGGCCTTTTTTCTCCTGCCATGGGGGGGCGCTCTTTTGGGGAGTAAAAATTCCTTCACAAATGTGTTGATGGCTGGACATTGCATCATCCTAGAAAACTTGGAGGCCAGTGAGGACAAAAATAAAAAGTTATAAGACTTGTAAGAATGTGGATTTTTGGGTTATCTTTGGCGCCCCCTACAACGTAAACCGTGGGGTGCAGCGTCATGATTTGTACAACTTTGAATGGCAATGGGGTGTAGATTGGCCTGAGCAAATTTGGTGCCGGTGGAACGAAAGCCTTCGGAGGAGTTAGCGAAATTCCAATGTGTGCGGATCGGCAAAAAATGCGAAATAGCCCTTTAAACGTACATTTGACAGATACGCCCGCACTGACTTTTTTGTAGATCTTATTGAGATACACGTGTGTGTCAAATTTTGTGTCATTTTGACAAAGCGTACAGGCGTGACACTCAATCATGTGAATTTTTCACCTTAGGGGGCGCTATGGAGCCATTTTGCATTTGATTGTTTGGGTGACTTCAGAATATCGAATTTTTCACCAGGCCCGGTCGTCCTGCCAAATTTCATGAGTTTTCACCAGTGGGAAGTGGGCCATTTTCCAGTTCAAAGGGGCAGAAAAATAACTAGGGCCCCGTTGGGGCACTGGCGGGCCCGAGCCGTGTCGCGCCGCCCCCAGCGCGACCGCCTACCCCTCTTGATCGCGTCACACTCAAGGTCCAAAGATGGTGTGCGCACTTGTCTGTGGTCATTTACCATTATAATGAATGGGAGGCGCAGTTTCTACCAAAACGCTCGCTGCAGACAAACTCCATGTCCTTTTTGAAAAAAGTCTGGACCATGAGCGAGGGCACAAACACAGCTAGTATATATCCAAATGGCAAGTTGCTCCTCCTTTCGGTTTTGCCGAGAGAGCGATGCTTTTGAGCCATTGAGCGATGGGCAGGAAAAACTTGACTTTTTCTCCTGCCATGGGGGGCGCTCTTTTGGGGAGAAAAATTCCTTCACAAATGTGTTGATGGCTGGACATTGCATCATCCTAGAAAACTTGGAGGCCAGTGAGGACAAAAATAAAAAGTTATAAGACTTTTAAAAATGTGGATATTTGGGTCGTCTTTGGCACCCCCTAGAACGTAAACCGTGGGGTGCAGCGTCATGATTTGTACAACTTTGAATGGCCATGGGGTGTAGATTGACCTGAGCAAATTTGAAGCCGATGGGACAAAAGCTTTAGGAGGAGTTAGCCACATTCCAATGTGTGCGAATCGGCAAAAAATGCAAAATAGCCCTTTAACCGTACATTGAACAGATACGCTCGCATTGACTTTTTCGTAGATCTTATTGAGATACATGTGTGTGTCAAATTTTGTGTCATTTTGACAAAGCGTAAAGGCGTGACAATCAACAATGTGTATTTTCGCCTTAGGAGACAAGAAAAAATGGACTTTTTTCTCCTGCCATGGGGGGGCGCTCTTTTGGCGAGTAAAAATTCCTTCACAAATGTGTTGATGGCTGGACATTGCATCATCCTAGAGAACTTGGAGGCCAGTGAGGACAAAAATAAAAAGTTATAAGACTTTTAAGACTGTGGATTTTTGGGTTATCTTTGGCGCCCCCTAGAACGTAAACCGTGGGGTGCAGTGTCATGATTTGTACAACTTTTAATGGCCATGGGGTGTAGATTGGCCTGAGCAAATGTGGTGCCGTTGGAACGAAAGCCTTCAGAGGAGTTAGCGAAATTCCAATGTGTGCGGATCGGCAAAAAATGCGAAATAACCCTTTAACCGTACATGTGACAGATACGCCCGCACTGACTTTTTTGTAGATCTTATTGAGATACATGTGTGTGTCAAATTTTGTGTCATTTTGACAAAGCGTAAAGGCGTGACAGTCAACGATGTGTATTTTCGCCTTAGGAGACAAGAAAAAATGGACATTTTTCTCCTGCCATGGGGGGGCGCTCTTTTGGCGAGTAAAAATTCCTTCACAAATGTGTTGATGGCTGGACATTGCATCATCCTAGAGAACTTGGAGGCCAGTGAGGACAAAAATAAAAAGTTATAAGACTTTTAAGACTGTGGATTTTTGGGTTATCTTTGGCGCCCCCTAGAACGTAAACCGTGGGGTGCAGCGTCATGATTTGTACAACTTTTATTGGCCATGGGGTGTAGATTGGCCTGAGCAAATGTGGTGCCGGTGGAAGGAAAACCTTCGGAGGAGTTAGCGAAATTCCAATGTGTGCGGATCGGCAAAAAATGCGAAATAAACCTTTAACCGTACATTTGACAGATACGCCCGCACTGACTTTTTTGTAGATCTTATTGAGATACACGTGTGTGTCAAATTTTGTGTCATTTTGACAAAGCGTACAGGCGTGACACTCAATCATGTGAATTTTTCACCTTAGGGGGCGCTATGGAGCCATTTTGCATTTGATTTTTTGGGCGACTTCAGAATATCGAATTTTTCACCAGGCCCGGTCGTCCTGCCAAATTTCATGACTTTTCACCAGTGGGAAGTGGGCCATTTTCCAGTTCAAAGGGGCAGAAAAATAATAAGAAGAAGAAGAAGAAGAAAGAAGAATCCATCAGGAATAATAGGGCTCTCGCAGCTGCTTAGCAGCTACGCTCGGGCCCTAACTAGGACCCCGTTGGGGCACTGGCGGGCCCGAGCCGTGTCGCGTCCCCCCCCCCCCCCCCCCCAACGTGCTGCCTTCCCGTCCCATTTGTGTCCTCTGGCCATCGCCCTCTCTGGTAACGCCCATCACTGCAAAGACCCTTTTCCTTCATCGGCGTTTGCTGTTCTTCCTGCCAGTGCGTGTTGCTTTCACTTACACTTGCCACAGCCAGCCTCGTGAGTGCCTAGCCTATTGGATATCACTGTCACCTACACAGGACAGTCATTACCTTTCTATTAATACTTTGTGTTTTAATTTCACATTAATTTCCATATTGTATAAACGACTGGAAAAAACTTGAGCCCCTGCCCCTGTATAATCATGTGCATGTCTCTGTTCTAGCTCCAAGGTGAATCTTCACTGCTCATGTTCTCCTCAGAAGCAGTCACCTCACTCCCCTCAGGGTACTGTACACATGCACCAACTGCCTGCTTCAGGTTTGGATGGAGCTTCATGGTTGTCTTTTGGAGAAATGACCAGTCAAGTTGTGTTTGAAATTTGATTTTTTTCAGGGGCAAAAGGAGCCTCTGCATTCTTGTCAAATATGTAAATAGCATGTTTTTGCAGGTGCTAAAAACCAGACTCTGAGTGTGTGTGTGTGTGTGTGTGTGCGTGTGTGTGTGTGTGTGTGTGTGTGTGTGTGTGTGCGTGTGTGTGTGTCTATGTGTGCGTTCAAGTCACATGACATATTTAACCGGATGTAGCTGCAAGACGGAGCCTTGTTGACTCTCCGTTTCAACTTATCTCAAAAGTGAGGACCTCAACCTATATACCAGTTTTTAAATTGTGTTGATAGGCCAAATAAAACCAGAGTTATGATAAATTATGTCCGCGATACTTTTTTTCTGCTTATTTTGATCACGTTCGGCGCTCGATCGCGCTGTATGAGACAGGAAAACATAGCATGCAGACATTAGCGACAGGTCTTACAGGCGGAAAAGGCTTGCCAAAAGAAAAAAAAAACACACCACAACATCTCTCCTATTGGTGGAAAACTTCACCACAACAACCAATCCAAAATTATATGGTGACTGATTGACAAGGGGCGGGCGCTTACGTTCTTCCTGCAACATGAGAAGGGAGGGAGGGACTCTCAGCAGGGATGCAGTCTGGGACACGTAGTTGCAAACCTAGCGACTTTGTTGTTAGATTCAATGACTTTTCAGACACCCTAACGACTTTTTTTTAGAAAGAAAGGGACTTTTATCGACTTCTTCTGGAGTTTAGAGACTCTGACATGAAGCAGGCTTTCCTTACTGAGGAGTTAGCAACGCTGCTAAGGGTGCAGAGCCACACATGCGCTCAGAGCTCTGCATGGGAGACTGAAGCTGACAGAGCTGCAGCAGTTAGCAGGTTTCACCCTCAGAGACCACCAGGGGTTCATGTTGAGGCATTTTAATTTTTTTTTTTTTTTTGTGCCATAGACACTGTCAGCACAATCTGCAGTTACACTAACAAAAATGCTGCAAAAAACAAAGAATTATGGAAAAATTACACATGGACTGACATAGAGGAGGATCTACACAAGTTTTTTACATCATGTTTTACATCATGCATCATTTACATCATGTTTTTTTGTAGTGGCATAAATAAAAAGTGACATTTGTGAGACTATACAGTGTTTTGTAAATAATTTTACAAAGAACGCCTGGGCCATTGCCTGCATTTTGATGTAAATAGAGGTAAATCACTATGTTCTTTGTTAAAAATTTGCATATGTTTTGAAGTTTACAATTTTTATTTGAAGTTTAAGTTTTGAAAACAGTTCATCACACATATTTGTGGTTTTCACAGTAAAAATGTTACTTTTTTCCACTCGGATTTTATGTTTTGTGTGTGAATTTGGGTCCATTGTGTAAATTCAGTATGTCAACATGATAAAATAACTGTAAATTCGCACAGGTGAGGTTGTGCTGAAAAAAATGATACCAGGCAAGGCACGTGATTGTCAAATTTTGTGTCAATATGACAAAGCGTATAGGCGTGAATCTCAACAATATGTATTTTCACCTTAGGGGACAAGAAAAAATGGACTTTTTTCTCCTGCCATGGGGGGGCGCTCTTTTGGGGAGTAAAAATTCCTTCACAAATGTGTTGATGGCTGGACATTGCATCATCCTAGAAAACTTGGAGGCCAGTGAGGACAAAAATAAAAAGTTATAAGACTTTTAAATATGTGGATTTTAGGGTTATCTTTGGCGCCCCCTAGAACCTAAACCGTGGGGTGCAGCGTCAAGATTTTGATAACTTTTAATGGCCATGGGGTGTAGATTGGCCTGAGCAAATGTGGTGCCGGTGGAACGAAAGCCTTAGGAGGAGTTAGCCACATTCCAATGTGTGCGGATCGGCAAAAAATGCGGAATAACCCTTTAACCGTACATTTGACAGATACGCGCGCATTGACTTTTTCGTAGATCTTATTGAGTTACATGTGTGTGTCAATTTTTGTGTCATTTGGACAAAGCGTATAGGCGTGACACTCAACAATGTGTATTTTCACCTTAGGGGACAAGAAAAAATGGACTTTTTTCTCCTGCCATGGGGGGGCGCTCTTTTGGGGAGTAAAAATTCCTTCACAAATGTGTTGATGGCTGGACATTGCATCATCCTAGAAAACTTGGAGGCCAGTGAGGACAAAAATAAAAAGTTATAAGACTTTTAAATATGTGGATTTTAGTGTTATCTTTGGCGCCCCCTAGAACCTAAACCTTGGGGTGCAGCGTCATGATTTTGATAACTTTTAATGGCCACGGGGTGTAGATTGGCCTGAGCAAATGTGGTGCCGGTGGAACGAAAGCCTTCGGAGGAGTTAGCGAAATTCCAATGTGTGCGGATCGGCAAAAAATGCGAAATAACCCTTTAACCGTACATTTGACAGATACGGCCGCACTGACTTTTTTGTAGATCTTATTGAGATACATATGTGTGTCAATTTTTGTGTCAATATGACAAAGCGTACAGGCGTGACAGGCAATAGTGTGAATTTCCACCTTAGGGGGCGCTATGGAGCCATTTTGCATTTTCTTGTTTGGGCGACTTCAGAATATCGAATTTTTCACCAGGCCCGGTCGTCCTGCCAAATTTCATGAGTTTTCGCCAGTGGGAAGTGGGCCATTTTCCAGTTCAAAGGGGAGGAAAAAGAAGAAAGAAAAAAGAACTAGGGCCCCGGTGGGGCACTGTCGGGCCCGAGCCGCGTCGTGCCGCCCCCAGCGTGACCGCCTCCCCCTCCCGATCGCGTCACACTCAAGGTCCAAAGATGGTGTGCGCACTTGTCTGTGGTCATTTCCCATTATAATGAATGGGAGGCGCAGTTTCTACCAAAACACTCGCTGCAGACAAACTTCATGTCCTATTTGAAAAAAGTCTGGACCATGAGTGAGGGCACAAACACAGCTGGGATATATCCAAATGGCAGGTTGCTCCTCCTTACGGTGTTGCCTGTAGAGCGATGCGATTGAGCCATTGAGCGATGGGCAGGAAAAACTTGACTTTTTCTCGTGCCATGGGGGGGGAGAATGTGGATTCTTTTAAGAATGTGGATTTTTTGGTCATCTTTGGCGCCCCCTAGAACGTAAACCGTGGGGTGCAGCATCATGATTTGAATAACTTTTAATGGCCATGGGGTGTAGATCGGCCTGAGCAAATTTGGTTTCAGTGGGACGAAAGCCTTAGGAGGAGTTAGCCACATTCCAATGTGTGCGAATCGGCAAAAAATGCAAAATAGCCCTCTAACCGTATATTTGACAGATACGCACCCATTGACTTTTTCGTAGATCTTATTGAGATACACGTGATTGTCAAATTTTGTGTCAATATGACAAAGCGTACAGGTGTCACACTCAACAATGTGAATTTTCACCTTTCGGGACAAGAAAAAATTGACTTTTTTCTCCTGCCATGGGGGGGGGGGCGCTCTTTTGGGGAGTAAAAATTCCTTCACAAATGCGTTGATGGCTGGACATTGCATCATCCTAGAAAACTTGGAGGCCAGTGAGGGCAAAAATAAAAAGTTATAAGACTTTGAAATATGTGGATTTTAGGGTTATCTTTGGCGCCCCCTAGAACCTAAACCGTGGGGTGCAGCGTCATGATTTGAATAACTTTTAATGGCCATGGGGTGTAGATTGGCCTGAGCAAATGTGGTGCCGGTGGAACGAAAGCCTTAGGAGGAGTTAGCGAAATTCCAATGTGTGCGGATCAGAAAAAATGCGGAATAACCCTTTAACCGTACATTTGACAGATACGCGCGCATTGACTTTTTCGTAGATCTTATTGAGATACATGTGTGTGTCAAATTTTGTGTCAATATGACAAAGCGTACAGGCGTGACACTCAACAATGTGTATTTTCAAATTAGGGGACAAGAAAAAATGGACTTTTTTCTCCTGCCATGGGGGGGCGCTCTTTTGGGGAGTAAAAATTCCTTCACAAATGTGTTGATGGCTGGACATTGCATCATCCTAGAGAACTTGGAGGCCAGTGAGGACAAAAATAAAAAGTTATAAGACTTTTAAATATGTGGATTTTAGGGTTATATTTGGCGCCCCCTAGAACCTAAACCGTGGGGTGCAGCATCATGATTTGAATAACTTTTAATGGCCATGGGGTGTAGATTGGCCTGAGCAAATGTGGTGCCGGTGGAACGAAAGCCTTCGGAGGAGTTAGCGAAATTCCAATGTGTGCGGATCGGCAAAAAATGCGAAATGACCCTTTAACCGTACATTTGACAGATACGCGCGTATGACTTTTTCGTAGATCTTATTGAGATACACATGTGTGTCAATTTTTGTGTCAATATGACAAAGCGTACAGGCGTGACAGTCAATAGTGTGAATTTTCACCTTAGGGGACAAGAAAAAATGGACTTTTTTCTCCTGCCATGGGGGGGCGCTCTTTTGGGGAGTCAAAATTCCTTCACAAATGTGTTGATGGCTGGACATTGCATCATCCTAGTAAACTTGGAGGCCAGTGAGGAAAAAAATAAAAAGTTATAAGACTTTTAAATATGTGGATTTTAGGGTTATCTTTGGCGCCCCCTAGAACCTAAACCGTGGGGTGCAGCGTCATGATTTGAATAACTTTTAATGGCCATGGGGTGTAGATTGACCTGAGCAAATGTTGTGCCGATGGAAGGAAAGTCTTCAGAGGAGTTAGCGAAATTCCGATGTGTGTGGATCGGCAAAAAATGCGAAATAACCCGTTAACCGTAAATTTGACAGATACGCCCGCACTGACTTTTTTGTAGATCTTATTGAGATACATATGTGTGTCAATTTTTGTGTCAATATGACAAAGCGTACAGCCGAGACAGTCAATAGTTTGAATTTTCATCTTAGGGGGCGCTATGGAGCCATTTTGCATTTTATTGTTTGGGCGACTTCAGAATATCAAATTTTTCACCAGGCCCGGTCGTCCTGCCAAATTTCATGAGTTTTCGCCAGTGGGAAGTGGGCCATTTTCCAGTTCAAAGGGGAGGAAAAAGAAGAAACTAGGACCCCGTTGGGGCACTGGCGGGCCCGAGCCGTGTCGCGTCCCCCCCCCCCCCCCACCCCCCCACCCCCCAACATGCTGCCTCCCCGTCCCATTTGTGTCCTCTGGCCATCGCCCTCTCTGGTAACGCCCATCACTGCAAAGACCCTTTTCCTTCATCGGCGTTTGCTGTTCTTCCTGCCAGTGCGTGTTGCTTTCACTTACACTTGCCACAGCCAGCCTCGTGAGTGCCTAGCCTATTGGATATCACTGTCACCTACACAGGACAGTCATTACCTTTCTATTAATACTTTGTGTTTTAATTTCACATTAATTTCCATATTGTATAAACGACTGGAAAAAACTTGAGCCCCTGCCCCTGTATAATCATGTGCATGTCTCTGTTCTAGCTCCAAGGTGAATCTTCACTGCTCATGTTCTCCTCAGAAGCACTCACCTCACTCCCCTCAGGTTACTGTACACATGCACCAACTGCCTGCTTCAGGTTTGGATGGAGCTTCATGGTTGTCTTTTGGAGAAATGACCAGTCAAGTTGTGTTTGAAATTTGATTTTTTTCAGGGGCAAAAGGAGCCTCTGCATTCTTGTCAAATATGTAAATAGCATGTTTTTGCAGGTGCTAAAAACCAGACTCTGAGTGTGTGTGTGTGTGTGTGTGTGTGTGTGTGTGTGTGTGCGTGTGTGTGTGTCTGTGTGTGCGTTCAAGTCACATGACATATTTAATCGGATGTAGCTGCAAGACGGAGCCTCGTTGACTCTCCGTTTCAACTTATCTCAAAAGTGAGGACCTCAACCTATATACCAGTTTTTAAATTGTGTTGATAGGCCAAATAAAACCAGAGTTATGATAAATTATGTCCGCGATACTTTTTTTCTGCTTATTTTGATCACGTTCGGCGCTCGATCGCGCTGTATGAGACAGGAAAACATAGCATGCAGACATTAGCGACAGGTCTTACAGGCGGAAAAGGCTTGCCAAAAGAAAAAAAAAACACACCACAACATCTCTCCTATTGGTGGAAAACTTCACCACAACAACCAATCCAAAATTATATGGTGACTGATTGACAAGGGGCGGGCGCTTACGTTCTTCCTGCAACATGAGAAGGGAGGGAGGGACTCTCAGCAGGGATGCAGTCTGGGACACGTAGTTGCAAACCTAGCGACTTTGTTGTTAGATTCAATGACTTTTCAGACCCCCTAACGACTTTTTTTTAGAAAGAAAGGGACTTTTATCGACTTCTTCTGGAGTTTAGAGACTCTGACATGAAGCAGGCTTTCCTTACTGAGGAGTTAGCAACGCTGCTAAGGGTGCAGAGCCACACATGCGCTCAGAGCTCTGCATGGGAGACTGAAGCTGACAGAGCTGCAGCCGTTAGCAGGTTTCACCCTCAGAGACCACCAGGGGTTCATGTTGAGGCATTTTAAATTTTTTTTTTTTTGTGCCATAGACACTGTCAGCACAATCTGCAGTTACACTAACAAAAATGCTGCAAAAAACAAAGAATTATGGAAAAATTACACATGGACTGACATAGAGGAGGATCTACACAAGTTTTTTACATCATGTTTTACATCATGCATCATTTACATCATGTTTTTTTGTAGTGGCATAAATAAAAAGTGACATTTGTGAGACTATACAGTGTTTTGTAAATAATTTTACAAAGAACGCCTGGGCCATTGCCTGCATTTTGATGAAAATAGAGGTAAATCACTATGTTCTTTGTTAAAAATTTGCATATGTTTTGAAGTTTACAATTTTTATTTGAAGTTTAAGTTTTAAAAACAGTTCATCACACATATTTGTGGTTTTCACAGTAAAAATGTTACTTTTTTCCACTCGGATTTTATGTTTTGTGTGTGAATTTGGGTCCATTGTGTAAATTCAGTATGTCAACATGATAAAATAACTGTAAATTCGCACAGGTGAGGTTGTGCTGAAAAAATGATACCAGGCAAGGCACGTGATTGTCAAATTTTGTGTCAATATGACAAAGCGTATAGGCGTGAATCTCAACAATATGTATTTTCACCTTAGGGGACAAGAAAAAATGGACTTTTTTCTCCTGCCATGGGGGGGCGCTCTTTTGGGGAGTAAAAATTCCTTCACAAATGTGTTGATGGCTGGACATTGCATCATCCTAGAAAACTAAAAAACTTGGAGGCCAGTGAGGACAAAAATAAAAAGTTATAAGACTTTTAAATATGTGGATTTTAGGGTTATCTTTGGCGCCCCCTAGAACCTAAACCGTGGGGTGCAGCGTCATGATTTGAATAACTTTTAATGGCCATGGGGTGTAGATTGTCCTGAGCAAATGTGGTGCCGGTGGAACGAAAGCCTTAGGAGGAGTTAGCCACATTCCAATGTGTGCGGATCGGCAAAAAATGCGGAATAACCCTTTAACCGTACATTTGACAGATACGCGCGCATTGACTTTTTCGTAGATCTTATTGAGTTACATGTGTGTGTCAATTTTTGTGTCATTTTGACAAAGCGTATAGGCGTGACACTCAACAATGTGTATTTTCACCTTAGGGGACAAGAAAAAATTGACTTTTTTCTCCTGCCATGGGGGGGCGCTCTTTTGGGGAGTAAAAATTCCTTCACAAATGTGTTGATGGCTGGACATTGCATCATCCTAGAAAACTTGGAGGCCAGTGAGGACAAAAATAAAAAGTTATAAGACTTTTAAATATGTGGATTTTAGTGTTATCTTTGGCGCCCCCTAGAACCTAAACCTTGGGGTGCAGCGTCATGATTTTGATAACTTTTAATGGCCACGGGGTGTAGATTGGCCTGAGCAAATGTGGTGCCGGTGGAACGAAAGCCTTCGGAGGAGTTAGCGAAATTCCAATGTGTGCGGATCGGCAAAAAATGCGAAATAACCCTTTGACCGTACATTTGACAGATACGGCCGCATTGACTTTTTCGTAGATCTTATTGAGATACATATGTGTGTCAATTTTTGTGTCATTTTGACAAAGCGTATAGGCGTGACACTCAACAATGTGTATTTTCACCTTAGGGGACAAGAAAAAATGGACTTTTTTCTCCTGCCATGGGGGGGCGCTCTTTTGGGGAGTAAAAATTCCTTCACAAATGTGTTGATGGCTGGACATTGCATCATCCTAGAAAACTTGGAGGCCAGTGAGGACAAAAATAAAAAGTTATAAGACTTTTAAATATGTGGATTTTAGTGTTATCTTTGGCGCCCCCTAGAACCTAAACCTTGGGGTGCAGCGTCATGATTTTGATAACTTTTAATGGCCACGGGGTGTAGATTGGCCTGAGCAAATGTGGTGCCGGTGGAACGAAAGCCTTCGGAGGAGTTAGCGAAATTCCAATGTGTGCGGATCGGCAAAAAATGCGAAATAACCCTTTGACCGTACATTTGACAGATACGGCCGCACTGACTTTTTTGTAGATCTTATTGAGATACATATGTGTGTCAATTTTTGTGTCAATATGACAAAGCGTACAGGCGTGACAGTCAATAGTGTGAATTTCCACCTTAGGGGGCGCTATGGAGCCATTTTGCATTTTATTGTTTGGGCGACTTCAGAATATCGAATTTTTCACCAGGCCCGGTCGTCCTGCCAAATTTCATGAGTTTTCGCCAGTGGGAAGTGGGCCATTTTCCAGTTCAAAGGGGAGGAAAAAGAAGAAAGAAAGAAAGAAAGAAAGAAAGAAACAAAGAAAAACCACTTGGGGAATAATAGGGCCTACGCCCGGCTGCTCTGCAGCTGGCTCGGGCCCTAAAGAAAGAAAGAAAGAAAGAAACAACTAGGGCCCCGGTGGGGCACTGTCGGGCCCGAGCCGCGTCGCGCCGCCCCCAGCGTGACCGCCTCCCCCTCCCGATCGCGTCACACTCAAGGTCCAAAGATGGTGTGCGCACTTGTCTGTAATCATTTCCCATTATAATGAATGGGAGGCGCAGTTTCTACCAAAACACTCGCTGCAGACAAACTTCATGTCCTATTTGAAAAAAGTCTGGACCATGAGTGAGGGCACAAACACAGCTATGATATATCGAAATGGCAGGTTGCTCCTCCTTACGGTGTTGCCTGGAGAGCGATGCGATTGAGCCATTGAGCGATGGGCAGGGTTAACTTGACTTTTTCTCCTGCCTTGGGGGGGGGGGGGGGGGGGATTCTTTTAAGAATGTGGATTTTTGGGTCATCTTTGGCGCCCCCTAGAACGTAAACCGTGGGGTGCAGCGTCATGATTTTTACAACTTTGAATGGCCATGGGGTGTAGATTGGCCTGAGCAAATTTTGTGTCAGTGGGACGAAAGCCTTAGGAGGAGTTAGCCACATTCCAATGTGTGCGAATCGGCAAAAAATGCAAAATAGCCCTTTAACCGTACATTTGACAGATACGCGCGCATTGACTTTTTTGTAGATATTATTGAGATACATATGTGTGTCAATTTTTGTGTCAATATGATAAAGCGTACAGGCGTGACAGTCAATAGTGTGAATTTCCACCTTAGGGGACAAGAAAAAATGGACTTTTTTCTCCTGCCATGGGGGGGCGCTCTTTTGGGGAGTAAAAATTCCTTCACAAATGTGTTGATGGCTGGACATTGCATCATCCTAGAAAACTTGGAGGCCAGTGAGGACAAAAATAAAAAGTTATAAGACTTTTAAAAATGTGGATTTTTGGGTTATCTTTGGCGCCCCCTAGAACGTAAACCGTGGGGTGCAGCGTCATGATTTGAATAACTTTTAATGGCCATGGGGTGTAGATTGGCCTGAGCAAATGTGGTGCCGGTGGAACGAAAGCCTTCGGAGGAGTTAGCGAAATTCCAATGTGTGCGGATCGGCAAAAAATGCGAAATAACCCTTTAACCGTACATTAGACAGATACGCGCGCATGGACTTTTTTGTAGATCTTATTGAGATACATGTGTGTGTCAATTTTTGTGTCATTTTGACAAAGCGTACAGGCGTGACAGTCAATAGTGTGAATTTTCACCTTAGGGGACAAGAAAAAATGGACTTTTTTCTCCTGCCATGGGGGGGCGCTCTTTTGGGGAGTAAAAATTCCTTCACAAATGTGTTGATGGCTGGACATTGCATCATCCTAGAAAACTTGGAGGCCAGTGAGGGCAAAAATAAAAAGTTATAAGACTTTTAAATATGTGGATTTTAGGGTTATCTTTGGCGCCCCCTAGAACCTAAACCGTGGGGTGCAGCGTCATGATTTGAATAACTTTTAATGGCCATGGGGTGTAGATTGGCCTGAGCAAATGTGGTGCCGGTGGAACGAAAGCCTTCGGAGGAGTTAGCGAAATTCCAATGTGTGCGGATCGGCAAAAAATGCGAAATAGCCCTTTAACCGTACATTTGACAGATACGCCCGCACTGACTTTTTTGTAGATCTTATTGAGATACATGTGTGTGTCAATTTTTGTGTCATTTTGACAAAGCGTACAGGCGTGACAGTCAATAGTGTGAATTTTCACCTTAGGGGGCGCTATGGAGCCATTTTGCATTTTCTTGTTTGGGCGACTTCGGAATATCAAATTTTTCACCAGGCCCGGTCGTCCTGCCAAATTTCATGAGTTTTCGCCAGTGGGAAGTGGGCCATTTTCCAGTTCAAAGGGGAGGAAAAATAATAACTAGGGCCCCGGTGGGGCACTGTCGGGCCCGAGCCGCGTTGCGCCGCCCCCAGCGCGACCGCCTCCCCCTCCCGATCGCGTCACACTCAAGGTCCAAAGATGGTGTGCGCACTTGTCTGTGGTCATTTCCCATTATAATGAATGGGAGGTGCAGTTTCTACCAAAACACTCGCTGCAGACAAACTACATGTCCTATTTGAAAAAAGTCTGGACCATGAGTGAGGGCACAAACACAGCTAGGATATATCCAAATGGCAAGTTGCTCCTCGTTACGGTGTTGCCGGGAGAGTGATGCGATTGAGCCATTGAGTTATGGGCAGGAAAAACTTGACTGTTTCTCCTGCCATGGGGGTTGGGGGTTGGGGGATGGGGGGGGGGGGGGTGGATTCTTTTAAGAATGTGGATATTTGGGTCATCTTTGGCGCCCCCTAGAACGTAAACCGTGGGGTGCAGCGTCATGATTTTTACAACTTTGAATGGCCATGGGGTGTAGATTGGCCTGAGCAAATTTGGTGTCAGTGGGACGAAAGCCTTAGGAGGAGTTAGCCACATTCCAATGTGTGCGAATCGGCAAAAAATGCAAAATAGCCCTTTAACCGTACATTTTACAGATACGCACGCATTGACTTTTTCGTAGATCTTATTGAGATACATGTGATTGTCAGATTTTGTGTCAATATGACAAAGCGTACAGGTATGACAGTCAACAATGTGTTTTTTCACCTTATGGGACAAGAAAAAATGGACTTTTTTCTCCTGCCATGGGGGGGCGCTCTTTTGGGGAGTAAAAATTCCTTCACAAATGTGTTGATGGCTGGACATTGCATCATCCTAGAAAACTTGGAGGCCAGTGAGGACTTAAATAAAAAGTTATAAGACCTTGAAATATCTGGATTTTAGGGTTATCTTTGGCGCCCCCTAGAACCTAAACCGTGGGGTGCAGCGTCATGATTTGAATAACTTTTAATGGCCATGGGGTGTAGATTGGCCTGAGCAAATGTGGTGCCGGTGGAACGAAAGCCTTAGGAGGAGTTAGCCACATTCCAATGTGTGCGGATCGGCAAAAAATGCGGAATAACCCTTTAACCGTACATTTGACAGATACGCGCGCATTGACTTTTTCGTAGATCTTATTGAGTTAGATGTGTGTGTCAATTTTTGTGTCATTTTGACAAAGCGTATAGGCGTGACACTCAACAATGTGTATTTTCACCTTAGGGGACAAGAAAAATGGACTTTTTTCTCCTGCCATGGGGGGGCGCTCTTTTGGGGAGTAAAAATTCCTTCACAAATGTGTTGATGGCTGGACATTGCATCATCCTAGAAAACTTGGAGGCCAGTGAGGACAAAAATAAAAAGTTATAAGACTTTTAAATATGTGGATTTTAGTGTTATCTTTGGCGCCCCCTAGAACCTAAACCTTGGGGTGCAGCGTCATGATTTTGATAACTTTTAATGGCCACGGGGTGTAGATTGGCCTGAGCAAATGTGGTGCCGGTGGAACGAAAGCCTTTGGAGGAGTTAGCGAAATTCCAATGTGTGCGGATCGGAAAAAAATGCGAAATAACCCTTTAACCGTACATTTGACAGATACGGCCGCACTGACTTTTTTGTAGATCTTATTGAGATACATATGTGTGTCAATTTTTGTGTCAATATGACAAAGCGTACAGGCGTGACAGTCAATAGTGTGAATTTCCACCTTAGGGGGCGCTATGGAGCCATTTTGCATTTTATTGTTTGGGCGACTTCAGAATATCGAATTTTTCACCAGGCCCGGTCGTCCTGCCAAATTTCATGAGTTTTCGCCAGTGGGAAGTGGGCCATTTTCCAGTTCAAAGGGGAGGAAAAAGAAGAAAGAAAGAAAGAAAGAAAGAAAGAAAGAAACAAAGAAAAACCACTTGGGGAATAATAGGGCCTACGCCCGGCTGCTCTGCAGCTGGCTCGGGCCCTAATAATAACAAACTAGGACCCCGTTGGGGCACTGGCGGGCCCGAGCCGTGTCGCGTCCCCCCCCCCCCCCCCCCAACGTGCTGCCTCCCCGTCCCATTTGTGTCCTCTGGCCATCGCTCTCTCTGGTAACGCCCATCACTGCAAAGACCCTTTTCCTTCATCTGCGTTTGCTGTTCTTCCTGCCAGTGCGTGTTGCTTTCACTTACACTTGCCACAGCCAGCCTCGTGAGTGCCTAGCCTATTGGATATCACTGTCACCTACACAGGACAGTCATTACCTTTCTATTAATACTTTGTGTTTTAATTTCACATTAATTTCCATATTGTATAAACGACTGGAAAAAACTTGAGCCCCTGCCCCTGTATAATCATGTGCATGTCTCTGTTCTAGCTCCAAGGTGAATCTTCACTGCTCATGTTCTCCTCAGAAGCACTCACCTCACTCCCCTCAGGTTACTGTACACATGCACCAACTGCCTGCTTCAGGTTTGGATGGAGCTTCATGGTTGTCTTTTGGAGAAATGACCAGTCAAGTTGTGTTTGAAATTTGATTTTTTTCAGGGGCAAAAGGAGCCTCTGCATTCTTGTCAAATATGTAAATAGCATGTTTTTGCAGGTGCTAAAAACCAGACTCTGAGTGTGTGTGTGTGTGTGTGTGTGTGTGTGCGTGTGTGTGTCTGTGTGTGCGTTCAAGTCACATGACATATTTAACCGGATGTAGCTGCAAGACGGAGCCTCGTTGACTCTCCGTTTCAACTTATCTCAAAAGTGAGGACCTCAACCTATATACCAGTTTTTAAATTGTGTTGATAGGCCAAATAAAACCAGAGTTATGATAAATTATGTCCGCGATACTTTTTTTCTGCTTATTTTGATCACGTTCGGCGCTCGATCGCGCTGTATGAGACAGGAAAACATAGCATGCAGACATTAGCGACAGCTCTTACAGGCGGAAAAGGCTTGCCAAAAGAAAAAAAAAAACACACCACAACATCTCTCCTATTGGTGGAAAACTTCACCACAACAACCAATCCAAAATTATATGGTGACTGATTGACAAGGGGGGCGCTTACGTTCTTCCTGCAACATGAGAAGGGAGGGAGGGACTCTCAGCAGGGATGCAGTCTGGGACACGTAGTTGCAAACCTAGCGACTTTGTTGTTAGATTCAATGACTTTTCAGACCCCCTAACGACTTTTTTTTAGAAAGAAAGGGACTTTTATCGACTTCTTCTGGAGTTTAGAGACTCTGACATGAAGCAGGCTTTCCTTACTGAGGAGTTAGCAACGCTGCTAAGGGTGCAGAGCCACACATGCGCTCAGAGCTCTGCATGGGAGACTGAAGCTGACAGAGCTGCAGCAGTTAGCAGGTTTCACCCTCAGAGACCACCAGGGGTTCATGTTGAGGCATTTTAAATTTTTTTTTTTTTTTGTGCCATAGACACTGTCAGCACAATCTGCAGCTACACTAACAAAAATGCTGCAAAAAACAAAGAATTATGGAAAAATTACACATGGACTGACATAGAGGAGGATCTACACAAGTTTTTTACATCATGTTTTACATCATGCATCATTTACATCATGTTTTTTTGTAGTGGCATAAATAAAAAGTGACATTTGTGAGACTATACAGTGTTTTGTAAATAATTTTACAAAGAACGCCTGGGCCATTGCCTGCATTTTGATGAAAATAGAGGTAAATCACTATGTTCTTTGTTAAAAATTTGCATATGTTTTGAAGTTTACAATTTTTATTTGAAGTTTAAGTTTTAAAAACAGTTCATCACACATATTTGTGGTTTTCACAGTAAAAATGTTACTTTTTTCCACTCGGATTTTATGTTTTGTGTGTGAATTTGGGTCCATTGTGTAAATTCAGTATGTCAACATGATAAAATAACTGTAAATTCGCACAGGTGAGGTTGTGCTGAAAAAAATGATACCAGGCAAGGCACGTGATTGTCAAATTTTGTGTCAATATGACAAAGCGTATAGGCGTGAATCTCAACAATATGTATTTTCACCTTAGAGGACAAGAAAAAATGGACTTTTTTCTCCTGCCATGGGGGGGCGCTCTTTTGGGGAGTAAAAATTCCTTCACAAATGTGTTGATGGCTGGACATTGCATCATCCTAGAAAACTTGGAGGCCAGTGAGGACAAAAATAAAAAGTTATAAGACTTTTAAATATGTGGATTTTAGGGTTATCTTTGGCGCCCCCTAGAACCTAAACCGTGGGGTGCAGCGTCATGATTTTGATAACTTTTAATGGCCATGGGGTGTAGATTGGCCTGAGCAAATGTGGTGCCGGTGGAACGAAAGCCTTAGGAGGAGTTAGCGAAATTCCAATGTGTGCGGATCGGCAAAAAATGCGGAATAACCCTTTAACCGTACATTTGACAGATACGCGCGCATTGACTTTTTCGTAGATCTTATTGAGTTACATGTGTGTGTCAATTTTTGTGTCATTTTGACAAAGCGTATAGGCGTGACACTCAACAATGTGTATTTTCACCTTAGGGGACAAGAAAAAATGGACTTTTTTCTCCTGCCATGGGGGGGCGCTCTTTTGGGGAGTAAAAATTCCTTCACAAATGTGTTGATGGCTGGACATTGCATCATCCTAGAAAACTTGGAGGCCAGTGAGGACAAAAATAAAAAGTTATAAGACTTTTAAATATGTGGATTTTAGTGTTATCTTTGGCGCCCCCTAGAACCTAAACCTTGGGGTGCAGCGTCATGATTTTGATAACTTTTAATGGCCACGGGGTGTAGATTGGCCTGAGCAAATGTGGTGCCGGTGGAACGAAAGCCTTCGGAGGAGTTAGCGAAATTCCAATGTGTGCGGATCGGCAAAAAATGCGAAATAACCCTTTAACCGTAATTTTGACAGATACGGCCGCACTGACTTTTTTGTAGATCTTATTGAGATACATATGTGTGTCAATTTTTGTGTCAATATGACAAAGCGTACAGGCGTGACAGTCAATAGTGTGAATTTTCACCTTAGGGGGCGCTATGGAGCCATTTTGCATTTTATTGTTTGGGCGACTTCAGAATATCAAATTTTTCACCAGGCCCGGTCGTCCTGCCAAATTTCATGAGTTTTCGCCAGTGGGAAGTGGGCCATTTTCCAGTTCAAAGGGGAGGAAAAAGAAAAAAGAAAGAAAGAAACAAAGAAAAACCACTTGGGGAATAATAGGGCCTACGCCCGGCTGCTCTGCAGCTGGCTCGGGCCCTAAAGAAGGAAACATGCAGGAACAAGAGGGCTCTCGCAGCTGCTTAGCAGCTACGCTCGGGCCCTAATAAGAAGAAGAAGAAGAAAGAAGAATCCATCAGGAATAATAGGGCTCTCGCAGCTGCTTAGCAGCTACGCTCGGGCCCTAAAGAAAGAAACAAAGAAAAACCACTTGAGGAACAACAGGGCCTACGCCCGGCCCCGTTGGGTCACTGGCGGGCCCGAGCCGTGTCGCATCCCCCCCCCCCCCCCCCCCAACGTGCTGCCTTCCCGTCCCATTTGTGTCCTCTGGCCATCGCCCTCTCTGGTAACGCCCATCACTGCAAAGACCCTTTTCCTTCATCGGCGTTTGCTGTTCTTCCTGCCAGTGCGTGTTGCTTTCACTTACACTTGCCACAGCCAGCCTCGTGAGTGCCTAGCCTATTGGATATCACTGTCACCTACACAGGACAGTCATTACCTTTCTATTAATACTTTGTGTTTTAATTTCACATTAATTTCCATATTGTATAAACGACTGGAAAAAACCTGAGCCCCTGCCCCTGTATAATCATGTGCATGTCTCTGTTCTAGCTCCAAGGTGAATCTTCACTGCTCATGTTCTCCTCAGAAGCACTCACCTCACTCCCCTCAGGTTACTGTACACATGCACCAACTGCCTGCTTCAGGTTTGGATGGAGCTTCATGGTTGTCTTTTGGAGAAATGACCAGTCAAGTTGTGTTTGAAATTTGATTTTTTTCAGGGGCAAAAGGAGCCTCTGCATTCTTGTCAAATATGTAAATAGCATGTTTTTGCAGGTGCTAAAAACCAGACTCTGAGTGTGTGTGTGTGTCTGTGTGTGCGTTCAAGTCACATGACATATTTAACCGGATGTAGCTGCAAGACGGAGCCTCGTTGACTCTCCGTTTCAACTTATCTCAAAAGTGAGGACCTCAACCTATATACCAGTTTTTAAATTGTGTTGATAGGCCAAATAAAACCAGAGTTATGATAAATTATGTCCGCAATACTTTTTTTCTACTTATTTTGATCACGTTCGGCGCTCGATCGCGCTGTATGAGACAGGATAACATAGCATGCAGACATTAGCGACAGGTCTTACAGGCGGAAAAGGCTTGCCAAAAGAAAAAAAAAACACACCACAACATCTCTCCTATTGGTGGAAAACTTCACCACAACAACCAATCCAAAATTATATGGTGACTGATTGACAAGGGGCGGGCGCTTACGTTCTTCCTGCAACATGAGAAGGGAGGGAGGGACTCTCAGCAGGGATGCAGTCTGGGACACGTAGTTGCAAACCTAGCGACTTTGTTGTTAGATTCAATGACTTTTCAGACCCCCTAACGACTTTTTTTTAGAAAGAAAGGGACTTTTATCGACTTCTTCTGGAGTTTAGAGACTCTGACATGAAGCAGGCTTTCCTTACTGAGGAGTTAGCAACGCTGCTAAGGGTGCAGAGCCACACATGCGCTCAGAGCTCTGCATGGGAGACTGAAGCTGACAGAGCTGCAGCAGTTAGCAGGTTTCACCCTCAGAGACCACCAGGGGTTCATGTTGAGGCATTTTAAATTTTTTTTTTTTTTTGTGCCATAGACACTGTCAGCACAATCTGCAGCTACACTAACAAAAATGCTGCAAAAAACAAAGAATTATGGAAAAATTACACATGGACTGACATAGAGGAGGATCTACACAAGTTTTTTACATCATGTTTTACATCATGCATCATTTACATCATGTTTTTTTGTAGTGGCATAAATAAAAAGTGACATTTGTGAGACTATACAGTGTTTTGTAAATAATTTTACAAAGAACGCCTGGGCCATTGCCTACATTTTGATGTAAATAGAGGTAAATCACTATGTTCTTTGTTAAAAATTTGCATATGTTTTGAAGTTTACAATTTTTATTTGAAGTTTAAGTTTTAAAAACAGTTCATCACACATATTTGTGGTTTTCACAGTAAAAATGTTACTTTTTTCCACTCGGATTTTATGTTTTGTGTGTGAATTTGGGTCCATTGTGTAAATTCAGTATGTCAACATGATAAAATAACTGTAAATTCGCACAGGTGAGGTTGTGCTGAAAAAAATGATACCAGGCAAGGCACGTGATTGTCAAATTTTGTGTCAATATGACAAAGCGTAGAGGCGTGAATCTCAACAATATGTATTTTCACCTTAGGGGACAAGAAAAAATGGACTTTTTTCTCCTGCCATGGGGGGGCGCTCTTTTGGGGAGTAAAAATTCCTTCACAAATGTGTTGATGGCTGGACATTGCATCATCCTAGAAAACTTGGAGGCCAGTGAGGACAAAAATAAAAAGTTATAAGACTTTTAAATATGTGGATTTTAGGGTTATCTTTGGCGCCCCCTAGAACCTAAACCGTGGGGTGCAGCGTCATGATTTAAATAACTTTTAATGGCCATGGGGTGTAGATTGGCCTGAGCAAATGTGGTGCCGGTGGAACGAAAGCCTTAGGAGGAGTTAGCCACATTCCAATGTGTGCGGATCGGCAAAAAATGCGGAATAACCCTTTAACCGTACATTTGACAGATACGCGCGCGTTGACTTTTTCGTAGATCTTATTGAGTTACATGTGTGTGTCAATTTTTGTGTCATTTTGACAAAGCGTATAGGCGTGACACTCAACAATGTGTATTTTCACCTTAGGGGACAAGAAAAAATGGACTTTTTTCTCCTGCCATGGGGGGGCGCTCTTTTGGGGAGTAAAAATTCCTTCACAAATGTGTTGATGGCTGGACATTGCATCATCCTAGAAAACTTGGAGGCCAGTGAGGACAAAAATAAAAAGTTATAAGACTTTTAAATATGTGGATTTTAGTGTTATCTTTGGCGCCCCCTAGAACCTAAACCTTGGGGTGCAGCGTCATGATTTTGATAACTTTTAATGGCCACGGGGTGTAGATTGGCCTGAGCAAATGTGGTGCCGGTGGAACGAAAGCCTTCGGAGGAGTTAGCGAAATTCCAATGTGTGCGGATCGGCAAAAAATGCGAAATAACCCTTTAACCGTACATTTGACAGATACGCCCGCACTGACTTTTTTGTAGATCTTATTGAGATACATATGTGTGTCAATTTTTGTGTCAATATGACAAAGCGTACAGGCGTGACAGTCAATAATGTGAATTTCCACCTTAGGGGGCGCTATGGAGCCATTTTGCATTTTCTTGTTTGGGCGACTTCAGAATATCGAATTTTTCACCAGGCCCGGTCGTCCTGCCAAATTTCATGAGTTTTCGCCAGTGGGAAGTGGGCCATTTTCCAGTTCAAAGGGGAGGAAAAAGAAGAAAGAAAGAAAGAAAGAAAGAAACAAAGAAAAACCACTTGAGGAATAATAGGGCTCTCGCAGCTGCTTAGCAGCTACGCTCGGGCCCTAATAATAATAATAACAAAAGAAGAATCCATCAGGAACAAGAGGGCTCTCGCAGCTGCTTAGCAGCTACGCTCGGGCCCTAAAGAAGAATCCATCAGGAACAAGACGGCTGTAACAGCTGCTTAGCAGCTACGCTCGGGCCCTAACTAGGGCCCCGGTGGGGCACTGTCGGGCCCGAGCCGCGTCGTGCCGCCCCCAGCGTGACCGCCTCCCCCTCCCGATCGCGTCACACTCAAGGTCCAAAGATGGTGTGCGCACTTGTCTGTGGTCATTTCCCATTATAATGAATGGGAGGCGCAGTTTCTACCAAAACACTCGCTGCAGACAAACTTCATGTCCTATTTGAAAAAAGTCTGGACCATGAGTGAGGGCACAAACACAGCTGGGATATATCCAAATGGCAGGTTGCTCCTCCTTACGGTGTTGCCTGTAGAGCGATGCGATTGAGCCATTGAGCGATGGGCAGGAAAAACTTGACTTTTTCTCGTGCCATGGGGGGGGAGAATGTGGATTCTTTTAAGAATGTGGATTTTTTGGTCATCTTTGGCGCCCCCTAGAACGTAAACCGTGGGGTGCAGCATCATGATTTGAATAACTTTTAATGGCCATGGGGTGTAGATCGGCCTGAGCAAATTTGGTTTCAGTGGGACGAAAGCCTTAGGAGGAGTTAGCCACATTCCAATGTGTGCGAATCGGCAAAAAATGCAAAATAGCCCTCTAACCGTATATTTGACAGATACGCACCCATTGACTTTTTCGTAGATCTTATTGAGATACACGTGATTGTCAAATTTTGTGTCAATATGACAAAGCGTACAGGTGTCACACTCAACAATGTGAATTTTCACCTTACGGGACAAGAAAAAATTGACTTTTTTCTCCTGCCATGGGGGGGGGCGCTCTTTTGGGGAGTAAAAATTCCTTCACAAATGTGTTGATGGCTGGACATTGCATCATCCTAGAAAACTTGGAGGCCAGTGAGGGCAAAAATAAAAAGTTATAAGACTTTGAAATATGTGGATTTTAGGGTTATCTTTGGCGCCCCCTAGAACCTAAACCGTGGGGTGCAGCGTCATGATTTGAATAACTTTTAATGGCCATGGGGTGTAGATTGGCCTGAGCAAATGTGGTGCCGGTGGAACGAAAGCCTTAGGAGGAGTTAGCGAAATTCCAATGTGTGCGGATCAGAAAAAATGCGGAATAACCCTTTAACCGTACATTTGACAGATACGCGCGCATTGACTTTTTCGTAGATCTTATTGAGATACATGTGTGTGTCAAATTTTGTGTCAATATGACAAAGCGTACAGGCGTGACACTCAACAATGTGTATTTTCAAATTAGGGGACAAGAAAAAATGGACTTTTTTCTCCTGCCATGGGGGGGCGCTCTTTTGGGGAGTAAAAATTCCTTCACAAATGTGTTGATGGCTGGACATTGCATCATCCTAGAGAACTTGAAGGCCAGTGAGGACAAAAATAAAAAGTTATAAGACTTTTAAATATGTGGATTTTAGGGTTATATTTGGCGCCCCCTAGAACCTAAACCGTGGGGTGCAGCATCATGATTTGAATAACTTTTAATGGCCATGGGGTGTAGATTGGCCTGAGCAAATGTGGTGCCGGTGGAACGAAAGCCTTCGGAGGAGTTAGCGAAATTCCAATGTGTGCGGATCGGCAAAAAATGCGAAATGACCCTTTAACCGTACATTTGACAGATACGCGCGTATGACTTTTTCGTAGATCTTATTGAGATACATATGTGTGTCAATTTTTGTGTCAATATGACAAAGCGTACAGGCGTGACAGTCAATAGTGTGAATTTTCACCTTAGGGGACAAGAAAAAATGGACTTTTTTCTCCTGCCATGGGGGGGCGCTCTTTTGGGGAGTCAAAATTCCTTCACAAATGTGTTGATGGCTGGACATTGCATCATCCTAGTAAACTTGGAGGCCAGTGAGGAAAAAAATAAAAAGTTATAAGACTTTTAAATATGTGGATTTTAGGGTTATCTTTGGCGCCCCCTAGAACCTAAACCGTGGGGTGCAGCGTCATGATTTGAATAACTTTTAATGGCCATGGGGTGTAGATTGACCTGAGCAAATGTTGTGCCGATGGAAGGAAAGTCTTCAGAGGAGTTAGCGAAATTCCGATGTGTGTGGATCGGCAAAAAATGCGAAATAACCCGTTAACCGTAAATTTGACAGATACGCCCGCACTGACTTTTTTGTAGATCTTATTGAGATACATATGTGTGTCAATTTTTGTGTCAATATGACAAAGCGTACAGCCGAGACAGTCAATAGTTTGAATTTTCATCTTAGGGGGCGCTATGGAGCCATTTTGCATTTTATTGTTTGGGCGACTTCAGAATATCAAATTTTTCACCAGGCCCGGTCGTCCTGCCAAATTTCATGAGTTTTCGCCAGTGGGAAGTGGGCCATTTTCCAGTTCAAAGGGGAGGAAAAAGAAGAAACTAGGGCCCCGTTGGGGCACTGGCGGGCCCGAGCCGTGTCACGCCGCCCCCAGCGCGACCGCCTCCCCCACCCGATCGCGTCACACTCAAGGTCCAAAGATGGTGTGCGCACTTGTTTGTGGTCATTTACCATTATAATGAACGGGAGGCGCAGTTTCTACCAAAACGCTCGCTGCAGAAAAACTCCATGTCCTATTTGAAAAAAGTCTGGACCATGAGTGAGGGCACAAACACAGCTAAGATATATCCAAATGGCAAGTTGCTCCTCCTTTCGCTTTTGCCGAAAGAGCAGTGCGTTTGAGCCATTGAATGATGAACAGGAAAAACTTGACTTTATTCTCCTGCCATGGGGGGCGCTCTTTTAAAGAGAAAAAACTCCTTCACAAATGTGTTGATGGCTGGACATTGCATCATCCTAGAAAACATGGAGGCCAGTGAGGACAAAAATAAAAAGTTATAAGACTTTTAAATATGTGGATTTTAGGGTTATATTTGGCGCCCCCTAGAACCTAAACCGTGGGGTGCAGCGTCATGATTTGAATAACTTTTAATGGCCATGGGGTGTAGATTGGCCTGAGCAAATGTGGTGCCGGTGGAACGAAAGCCTTCGGAGGAATTAGCGAAATTCCAATGTGTGCGAATCTGCAAAAAATGCGAAATAACCCTTTAACCGTACATTTTACAGATACGTGGCCATTGACTTTTTCGAAGATCTTATTGAAATACACGTGTATGTAAAATTTTGTGTCAATACGACAAAACATAAAGGCGTAGCACTCAACAATGTGTATTTTCACCTTAGTGGACAAGAAAAAATTGACTTTTTTCTCCTGCCATGGGGGGCGCTCTTTTGCCGAGTAAAAATTCCTTCACAAATGTGTTGATGGCTGGACATTGCATCATCCTAGAAAACTTGGAGGCCAGTGAGGGCAAAAATAAAAAGTTATAAGACTTTTAAATATGTGGATCTTAGGGTTATCTTTGGCTCCCCCTAGAACCTAAACCGTGGGGTGCAGCGTCATGATTTGAATAACTTTTAATGGCCATGGGGTGTAGATTGGCCTGAGCAAATGTGGTGCCGGTGGAACGAAAGCCTTCGGAGGAGTTAGCGAAATTCCAATGTGTGCGGATCGGCAAAAAATGCGGAATAACCCTTTAACCGTACATTTGACAGATACGCGCGCATTGACTTTTTCGTAGATCTTATTGAGATACATGTGTGTGTCAATTTTTGTGTCATTTTGCCAAAGCGTACAGGTGTTACACTCAACAATGTGTATTTTCACCTTAGGGGACAAGAAAAAATGGACTTTTTTCTCCTGCCATGGGGGGGCGCTCTTTTGGGGAGTAAAAATTCCTTCACAAATGTGTTGATGGCTGGACATTGCATCATCCTAGAAAACTTGGAGGCCAGTGAGGGCAAAAATAAAAAGTTATAAGACTTTTAAATATGTGGATCTTAGGGTTATCTTTGGCGCCCCCTAGAACCTAAACCGTGGGGTGCAGCGTCATGATTTGAATAACTTTTAATGGCCATGGGGTGTAGATTGGCCTGAGCAAATGTGGTGCCGGTGGAACGAAAGCCTTCGGAGGAGTTAGCGAAATTCCAATGTGTGCGGATCGGCAAAAAATGCGAAATAACCCTTTAACCGTACATTTGACAGATACGCCCGCACTGACTTTTTTGTAGATCTTATTGAGATACATGTGTGTGTCAATTTTTGTGTCATTTTGACAAAGCGTACAGGCGTGACAGTGAATAGTGTGAATTTTCACCTTAGGGGGCGCTATGGAGCCATTTTGCATTTTCTTGTTTGGGCGACTTCGGAATATCAAATTTTTCACCAGGCCCGGTCGTCCTGCCAAATTTCATGAGTTTTCGCCAGTGGGAAGTGGGCCATTTTCCAGTTCAAAGGGGAGGAAAAATAATAATAATAATAACACTAGGACCCCGTTGGGGCACTGGCGGGCCCGAGCTGTGTCGCGTCCCCCCCCCAACGCGCTGCCTCCCCGTCCCATTTGTGTCCTCTGGCCATCGCCCTCTTTGGTAACGCCCATCACTGCAAAGACCCTTTTCCTTCATCGGCGTTTGCTGTTCTTCCTGCCAGTGCGTGTTGCTTTCACTTACACTTGCCACAGCCAGCCTCGTGAGTGCCTAGCCTATTGGATATCACTGTCACCTACACAGGACAGTCATTACCTTTCTATTAATACTTTGTTTTTTAATTTCACATTAATTTCCAAATTGTATAAACGACTGGAAAAAACTTGAGCCCCTGCCCCTGTATAATCATGTGCACGTCTCTGTTCTAGCTCTAAGGTAAATCTTCACTGCTCATGTTCTCCTCAGAAGCAGTCACCTCACTCCCCTCAGGTTACTGTACACATGCACCAACTGCCTGCTTCAGGTTTGGATGGAGCTTCATGGTTGTCTTTTGGAGAAATGACCAGTCAAGTTGTGTTTGAAATTTGATTTTTTTCAGGGGCAAAAGGAGCCTCTGCATTCTTGTCAAATATGTAAATAGCATGTTTTTGCAGGTGCTACAAACCAGACTCTGAGTGTGTGTGTGTGCGTGTGTGTGTGTGTCTGTGTGTGTGTGTGTGTGTGTGTGTGCGTTCAAGTCACATGACATATTTAACCGGATGTAGCTGCAAGACGGAGCCTCGTTGACTCTCCGTTTCAATTTATCTCAAAAGTGAGGACCTCAACCTATATACCAGTTTTTAAATTGTGTTGATAGGCCAAATAAAACCAGAGTTATGATAAATTATGTCCGCGATACTTGTTTTCTGCTTATTTTGATCACGTTCGGCGCTCGATCGCGCTGTATGAGACAGGAAAACATAGCATGCAGACATTAGCGACAGGTCTTACAGGCGGAAAAGGCTTGCCAAAGGAAAAAAAATACACACCACAACATCTCTCCTATTGGTGGAAAACTTCACCACAACAACCAATCCAAAATTATATGGTGACTGATTGACAAGGGGCGGGAACTTACGTTCTTCCTGCAATATGAGAAGGGAGGGAGGGACTCTCAGCAGGGATGCAGTCTGGGACACGTAGTTGCAAACCTAGCGACTTTGTTGTTAGATTCAATGACTTTTCAGACCCCCTAACGACTTTTTTTTAGAAAGAAAGTGACTTTTATCGACTTCTTCTGGAGTTTAGAGACTCTGACATGAAGCAGGCTTTCCTTACTGAGGAGTTAGCAACGCTGCTAAGGGTGCAGAGCCACACATGCGCTCCGAGCTCTGCATAGGAGACTGAAGCTGACAGAGCTGCAGCAGTTAGCAGGTTTCACCCTCAGAGACCACCAGGGGTTCATGTTGAGGCATTTTCAGTTTTTTTTTTTTTTTTTTGCCATAGACACTGTCAGCACAATCTGCAGTTACACTAACAAAAATGCTGCAAAAAACAAAGAATTATGGAAAAATTACACATGGACTAACATAGAGGAGGATCTACACAAGTTTTTTACATCATGTTTTACATCATGCATCATTTACATCATGTTTTTTTGTAGTGGCATAAATAAAAAGTGACATTTGTGAGACTATACAGTGTTTTGTAAATAATTTTACAAAGAACACCTGGGCCATTGCCTGCATTTTGATGTCAATAGAGGTAAATTACTATGTTCTTTGTTAAAAATTTGCATATGTTTTGAAGTTTACAATTTTTATTTGAAGTTTAAGTTTTAAAAACAGTTCATCACACATATTTGTGGTTTTCACAGTAAAAACGTTACTTTTTTCCACTCGGATTTTATGTTTTGTGTGTGAATTTGGGTCCAATGTGTGAATATAGTATGTCAAAATGATAAAATAACTGTAAATTGACACAGGTGAGGTTGTGCTGAAAAAAATGATACCAGGCAAGGCACGGTAAAAATTTTGTAAGAGGAAATATAAAGGTAAAATCTAAAGTAGTCAAAAACGGCCAATAGTGACTCACAGACTCCACAGACAAGTCCCTTTGGCGCCACTCAGTGGGCAAAACTACTTTGTCTACTGTAATGTATATTTGGGTCATCTTTGGCGCCCCCTAAAACGTAAACCGTGGGGTGCAGCGTCATGATTTTTACAACTTTGAATGGCCATGGAGTGTAGATTGGCCTGAGCAAATTTGGTGTCAGTGGGACGAAAGCCTTAGGAGGAGTTAGCGAAATTCCAATGTGTGCGAATCGGCAAAAAATGCAAAATAGCCCTTTTACCGTACATTATACAGATACGCGCTCTTTGACTTTTTCGTAGATCTAATTGAGATACACATGATTGTCAATTTTTGTGTCATTTTGCCAAAGCGTACAGGCGTGACAGTCAACAATGTGTATTTTCACCTTAGGGGACAAGAAAAAATGGACTTTTTCCTCCTGCCATGGGGGGGCGCTCTTTTAGGGAGTAAAAATTCCTTCACAAATGTGTTGATGGCTGGACATTGCATCATCCTAGAAAACTTGGAGGCCAGTGAGGACAAAAATAAAAAGTTATAAGACTTTTAAAAATGTGGATTTTTGGGTTATATTTGGCGCCCCCTAGAACGTAAACCGTGGGGTGCAGCGTCATGATTTGAATAACTTTGAATGGCCATGGGGTGTAGATTGGCCTGAGCAAATGTGGTGCCGGTGGAACGAAAGCCTTCGGAGGAGTTAGCGAAATTCCAATGTGTGCGGATCGGCAAAAAATGCGAAATAACCCTTTAACCGTACATTAGACAGATACGCGCGCATGGACTTTTTTGTAGATCTTATTGAGATACATGTGTGTGTCAATTTTTGTGTCATTTTGACAAAGCGTACAGGCGTGACAGTCAATAGTGTGAATTTTCACCTTAGGGGACAAGAAAAAATGGACTTTTTTCTCCTGCCATGGGGGGGCGCTCTTTTGGGGAGTAAAAATTCCTTCACAAATGTGTTGATGGCTGGACATTGCATCATCCTAGAAAACTTGGAGGCCAGTGAGGGCAAAAATAAAAAGTTATAAGACTTTTAAATATGTGGATTTTAGGGTTATCTTTGGCGCCCCCTAGAACCTAAACCGTGGGGTGCAGCGTCATGATTTGAATAACTTTTAATGGCCATGGGGTGTAGATTGGCCTGAGCAAATGTGGTGCCGGTGGAACGAAAGCCTTCGGAGGAGTTAGCGAAATTCCAATGTGTGCGGATCGGCAAAAAATGCGAAATAACCCTTTAACCGTACATTTGACAGATACGCCTGCACTGACTTTTTTGTAGATCTTATTGAGATACATGTGTGTGTCAATTTTTGTGTCATTTTGACAAAGCGTACAGGCGTGACAGTCAATAGTGTGAATTTTCACCTTAGGGGGCGCTATGGAGCCATTTTGCATTTTCTTGTTTGGGCAACTTCGGAATATCAAATTTTTCACCAGGCCCGGTCGTCCTGCCAAATTTCATGAGTTTTCGCCAGTGGGAAGTGGGCCATTTTCCAGTTCAAAGGGGAGGAAAAATAATAATAATAATAACAAAAGAAGGAAACATGCAGGAACAAGAGGGCTCTCGCAGCTGCTTAGCAGCTACGCTCGGGCCCTAAAAAGAAGGAAACTACAGGAACAAGAGGGCTCTCGCAGCTGCTTAGCAGCTACGCTCGGGCCCTAACTAGGACCCCGTTGGGGCACTGGCGGGCCCGAGCCGTGTCGCGTCCCCCCCACCCCCCCACCCCCCCACCCCCCAACATGCTGCCTCCCCGTCCCATTTGTGTCCTCTGGCCATCGCCCTCTCTGGTAACGCCCATCACTGCAAAGACCCTTTTCCTTCATCGGCGTTTGCTGTTCTTCCTGCCAGTGCGTGTTGCTTTCACTTACACTTGCCACAGCCAGCCTCGTGAGTGCCTAGCCTATTGGATATCACTGTCACCTACACAGGACAGTCATTACCTTTCTATTAATACTTTGTGTTTTAATTTCACATTAATTTCCATATTGTATAAACGACTGGAAAAAACTTGAGCCCCTGCCCCTGTATAATCATGTGCATGTCTCTGTTCTAGCTCCAAGGTGAATCTTCACTGCTCATGTTCTCCTCAGAAGCACTCACCTCACTCCCCTCAGGTTACTGTACACATGCACCAACTGCCTGCTTCAGGTTTGGATGGAGCTTCATGGTTGTCTTTTGGAGAAATGACCAGTCAAGTTGTGTTTGAAATTTGATTTTTTTCAGGGGCAAAAGGAGCCTCTGCATTCTTGTCAAATATGTAAATAGCATGTTTTTGCAGGTGCTAAAAACCAGACTCTGAGTGTGTGTGTGTGTGTGTGTGTGTGTGTGTGTGTGTGCGTGTGTGTGTGTCTGTGTGTGCGTTCAAGTCACATGACATATTTAATCGGATGTAGCTGCAAGACGGAGCCTCGTTGACTCTCCGTTTCAACTTATCTCAAAAGTGAGGACCTCAACCTATGTACCAGTTTTTAAATTGTGTTGATAGGCCAAATAAAACCAGAGTTATGATAAATTATGTCCGCGATACTTTTTTTCTGCTTATTTTGATCACGTTCGGCGCTCGATCGCGCTGTATGAGACAGGAAAACATAGCATGCAGACATTAGCGACAGGTCTTACAGGCGGAAAAGGCTTGCCAAAAGAAAAAAAAAACACACCACAACATCTCTCCTATTGGTGGAAAACTTCACCACAACAACCAATCCAAAATTATATGGTGACTGATTGACAAGGGGCGGGCGCTTACGTTCTTCCTGCAACATGAGAAGGGAGGGAGGGACTCTCAGCAGGGATGCAGTCTGGGACACGTAGTTGCAAACCTAGCGACTTTGTTGTTAGATTCAATGACTTTTCAGACCCCCTAACGACTTTTTTTTAGAAAGAAAGGGACTTTTATCGACTTCTTCTGGAGTTTAGAGACTCTGACATGAAGCAGGCTTTCCTTACTGAGGAGTTAGCAACGCTGCTAAGGGTGCAGAGCCACACATGCGCTCAGAGCTCTGCATGGGAGACTGAAGCTGACAGAGCTGCAGCCGTTAGCAGGTTTCACCCTCAGAGACCACCAGGGGTTCATGTTGAGGCATTTTAAATTTTTTTTTTTTTGTGCCATAGACACTGTCAGCACAATCTGCAGTTACACTAACAAAAATGCTGCAAAAAACAAAGAATTATGGAAAAATTACACATGGACTGACATAGAGGAGGATCTACACAAGTTTTTTACATCATGTTTTACATCATGCATCATTTACATCATGTTTTTTTGTAGTGGCATAAATAAAAAGTGACATTTGTGAGACTATACAGTGTTTTGTAAATAATTTTACAAAGAACGCCTGGGCCATTGCCTGCATTTTGATGAAAATAGAGGTAAATCACTATGTTCTTTGTTAAAAATTTGCATATGTTTTGAAGTTTACAATTTTTATTTGAAGTTTAAGTTTTAAAAACAGTTCATCACACATATTTGTGGTTTTCACAGTAAAAATGTTACTTTTTTCCACTCGGATTTTATGTTTTGTGTGTGAATTTGGGTCCATTGTGTAAATTCAGTATGTCAACATGATAAAATAACTGTAAATTCGCACAGGTGAGGTTGTGCTGAAAAAATGATACCAGGCAAGGCACGTGATTGTCAAATTTTGTGTCAATATGACAAAGCGTATAGGCGTGAATCTCAACAATATGTATTTTCACCTTAGGGGACAAGAAAAAATGGACTTTTTTCTCCTGCCATGGGGGGCGCTCTTTTGGGGAGTAAAAATTCCTTCACAAATGTGTTGATGGCTGGACATTGCATCATCCTAGAAAACTAAAAAACTTGGAGGCCAGTGAGGACAAAAATAAAAAGTTATAAGACTTTTAAATATGTGGATTTTAGGGTTATCTTTGGCGCCCCCTAGAACCTAAACCGTGGGGTGCAGCGTCATGATTTGAATAACTTTTAATGGCCATGGGGTGTAGATTGTCCTGAGCAAATGTGGTGCCGGTGGAACGAAAGCCTTAGGAGGAGTTAGCCACATTCCAATGTGTGCGGATCGGCAAAAAATGCGGAATAACCCTTTAACCGTACATTTGACAGATACGCGCGCATTGACTTTTTCGTAGATCTTATTGAGTTACATGTGTGTGTCAATTTTTGTGTCATTTTGACAAAGCGTATAGGCGTGACACTCAACAATGTGTATTTTCACCTTAGGGGACAAGAAAAAATTGACTTTTTTCTCCTGCCATGGGGGGGCGCTCTTTTGGGGAGTAAAAATTCCTTCACAAATGTGTTGATGGCTGGACATTGCATCATCCTAGAAAACTTGGAGGCCAGTGAGGACAAAAATAAAAAGTTATAAGACTTTTAAATATGTGGATTTTAGTGTTATCTTTGGCGCCCCCTAGAACCTAAACCTTGGGGTGCAGCGTCATGATTTTGATAACTTTTAATGGCCACGGGGTGTAGATTGGCCTGAGCAAATGTGGTGCCGGTGGAACGAAAGCCTTCGGAGGAGTTAGCGAAATTCCAATGTGTGCGGATCGGCAAAAAATGCGAAATAACCCTTTGACCGTACATTTGACAGATACGGCCGCATTGACTTTTTCGTAGATCTTATTGAGATACATATGTGTGTCAATTTTTGTG